TGAATCAGGAATGGTGGGAAATGGCTGCTGAAAGGGTTAATTCCTCTTCTTCCTATGCCAGGAGTCTGATTCAGTTAAGGTTCTCCATAGACTTCATCTAACGAATGTCAAATTAAAGAAGCTATTTCCAGACGTGGATGTTTGTTGTAATAGGTGCTCTCTGGCTCCTGCTGATCATAGCCACATGTTTTTTTCTTGTCTAAAGTTGGAACATTTTTGGAGTTCTTTCCTTGATACTTTTTTCTATAATTTTCAACTTTTCTCTTGAACCATGCCCTTTGATTGCTATTTTTGGTGTAACGGCTTTGTTATATAACCCTTCAAATAAGAATGCTAATGCTCTAGCCTTTGTGTCACTGATAGAATTAATATAGATCGCACCACTAAACACATGAAAACGAAGGTAACGAGCGTGGTTTTAAAAATGTACGGAGTAGAAAGTACAGATATTTGTGTAAAATTGTAAAAAGTAAAAGTAAAAAGTTGTCAAAAAATAATAAGTGGAGTAAAGTACTGATACAATAGAAATCTACTTAAGTACAGAAACAAAGTATTTGTACTTCGTTACTTCCCATCTCTGGCAAGCGAGATAATATTTATATTCGTTTACTTGCTTTAAATGATCATGTTGTTCTGTGCATGTCCTTGAGTTTTGTGTGATACATTCAAAAATATTGGTTTCTTTGAGCAGGTCATATTAAAGGTACAGTACATATCTGACTGCTTGTATTAAAGGACAAAATTGTATAGCTTATAAAATTGTATAGCATTTAAATTCAAATATATTTATAAATGAGAACTTTTAATACAAGAATTATTGTGTTGCTTAGTAAAATATCAAATTGATTGTGGAAAGCATCATCAATGCACTGAGATATCGAATTAAACCGAATCGATGGCATGATAATCGTAACGTAACCAAAGACCAGTGTAGGTTCACACTCATATTACACAAGAAGAAAAGATTGAATTTTGTGGCCCTTGAATTTGTTTCCGAATCCCCATGACACCCTATGTCAAGGAAAAAATGTGACAAATTTGTGTGATTTGATCGGGACTTTAATATCTTTTGGGAGAAGCCTGTGTCATTTGCTAGTAAAAAAATAAATAAATAAATAAAATAAATATATATTTATATATATAATAAAATAAATAAATAAAACTTGCTGGTTGAATAAAGGTAACTTCAAGTCTTTGCCAGGGGTATAAATAATTTCGGGCTTGACTCTATATAAATATAGTATAAAGATCTAAAACAACACGAGGGAGGGTGTGTAATTGATGACAGAATGACTATTATAAGCAAAATGTCTCAAACACCAAATCAATTGATTCACTCAAATGAAAAGAAAACAACATCAAGCCTGAAAGAAAGATTAATGTCAAGCATTTTCTTCAAACACACACTCGCACCATGTTATGAGACACAGATAAAGATAATTCAGTAGATGAGTGAGTACCTGAGTCACAGTTAGTACTAGCAGTGGGTGTAACTGGACTAACGGAAAAAGGCAACAAACCGAGTCCAGCACCTGAGAAACACACAGGGCACGTTCACAAACTCAGTCACTAACATTGGCTCTCATTTGGATCAAGTCGCTCGAAGAAGCTTCCAGCACGCAGCGCAAACGCAAGAGCCCCCAAACCAATGCAAACACACACAAACCTGCACCCCAAAAACACAGTGCCAGCAAATGAACAGCACACAGCCAGCAAAAAGCCAGACACCAGTCGAGTTTTTCCTCAAAATCACCTATAATCCTGGATCATGCCATGCCAATGTAATCAAGAATCCTGGGTCTTATCTGAGGCTTTATTAGAAACAGATTCATAAATATGCTTTGCTTGGTTTGCGAGTTATTCCAAAAATGTTTAGACTACTGTTCAAAAAGTCTGGGGTCGGTAAGATTTCTTTTTAATCATTCATCAGCGATTTATCAAATTGATTAAAAGCGACAGAACAGACATTGATAATAATAAAAAGATTTACTTGTCCCATAAATGTGGTTTGTTTGAACTTTCTATTTACTACAGAATACTAAAAACATTATAATATACAGTTGAAGTCAGAATTATTAACCCTCCTGAATTATTAGCCCTCCCTTGTTGTTGTTTTTCACCAATTTCTGTAAGTAACATAGTAATATTTCTAAACATAATAGTTTTACCAACTCATTTCTAATAATTCATTTCTTTTATCTTTACAATGATGACAGTACATAAAATTTCACTAGATATTTTTCCTACTAGATACTAGCATTTAGCTTAAAGTGACATTAAGAGATGTTAATTATGTTAATTAGGCAAGGTAGGATCATTACGAGTCATTGTATAACGATGGTTTGTTCTGTGGACAATCAAAGAAAAAATATTGCTTAAGGGGCTAATAATATTGACCGCAAAATGGTTTAAAAATGTAAAAAAAAAATGCTGAAATAAAAAAAATAAGACTAAAAATATACATTCTATAAAAATATTATAGAAAATACTGTGAAAAATTCCCTCCATTTGGGAAATAATGATAATTATTGAAATTATAGAAAGAATACATATTTCACAGGAGGGCTAATCGTTTTGACTTCAACCATATATATATAGCATATTTATGAATGTAGTTTATATATATATATATATATATATATATATATATATATATATATACTATGTATTGGTCAAAGGGCTTTCAAGCTCAACACTGTAGTTTATAGAAGAAATGTCTAAAATGTCATTCAGTTTATATAGAATTTTTACTGAAAAATGTTAAATAGTAAAAAATCTTGTCAGTCATATTTAAAACAAGAATAATTTGATGACATAAAAAAAGAAAGAACACAAAATACAGTAGCTTTAAATTTATAGTGTAAATTTAAACTGTACATTTATATTTTACCACTATGCTTTAAACACTAGTTTTGACCCCATTTTTAATAATATGTTGTTTTATTTTTACACAGATACAGTTGAAGTCAGAATTATTAGCCCATCTGTATATTTTTCCACAATTTCTGTTTAACAGAGAGAAGATTTTTTTCAGCAAATTTCTAAACATGATAGTTTTAATAATTCATTTCTAATAATGTATTTATTTTATTTTTGCCATGATGACAGTAAATAATATTTGACTAGATCTTTTCAAGACACTTCTATACAGCTTAAAGTGACATTTAAAGGCTTAACTAGGTTAATTAGGTTAACTAGGCTGGTTAGGGTAACTAGGCAAGTTATTGTATAACGATGGTTTGTTCTGAGGACTATCGAAAAACATTGCTTAACAAGGCTAATAATATTGACCTTAAAATGTAAAAAAAAAAAAAATTTAATTAAAAACTGCTTTTATTCCAGGCAAAATAAAACAAATAAGACTTTCTCCAGAAGAAAAAATATTATCAGACATACTGTGAAAACGTCCTTGCTCTGTTAAACATCACTTGGAAAATATTTTAAAAAGAAAAAAAGGGGGGCTAATAATTCTGACTTCAACTGTATATAAAAAGCATTAATTTTGTCTTGTCTGTATGTGCACTGTCAAAAATCGCTGGTTGTCAGTAATGCTGTAAAATTTACAAGTGTAATGTAAATTTACAATTACAATTGTGCTGTAAAACTGCAATTGTAACTGTACATTTACAGTGTGCTAATAAATTTTGCCAGCAATACTGTAAAAACTGCCACTAACACTGTAGTGTACAAGCACACTGTACATTTATAACTACAGTTGTGATGTGAAACTACAGCACCCTTGTAATTGTTCATTTACAGTGCACCCAGCAGGCACAGGATGTCAACGTGATGTCAGATTGACGTTGTACCCCAACGTCGTGGGGACGTTGCATTTTATTTGGAAATGAAAATCGGGTTGACATCAGAATTCAATAGCAGGCCGATGTCAATGTCCAACCTAAAATCAATCAAATATCACCATCTAATGATGTTACAGCTTGATGTTGAGTGGATGTTACCACAATGATGTCTATCAGACGTTGGATTTCGGTTGCCAAATTTGACGAATAAATGTCAGTTTTTGATATCAACGTGATGTTGGTTTAAGATGATGGCTTGATGTTGGATTTTGGTCCAAACAAGCTCAGACAAGTGCATGACATTGTGTGAGGCTGTGTCTGTGTGGTCACGTGATGTGTGTTTTTAGCAGACGGAGCGCTGTTCAGAAATGCTCGGTAAAACACAGTGTGGATGTGAATCATTTTTGTTCTAAAATGCTATTTTAAAGCGTTTCCAAAACAACCTAATATCAACCAAATATCGACGTCATTTGACGTCGTTGTTGGATGTCAAAATATCATTGCACTTAGACACTGGCATTTTGATAGAGCTAGAATTTTGATCACTTGACGTCATGACCTAAATCTAACCTAATATTAACATCTTATCATGTTGTGTGCCTGCTGGGTGCCAGATATACTGTACATTTTACTGCAATTTTTTACCTATTTGACTCCTAAATTGCAAATAGCTGTTGAATTGCATTTTATAAATAACCAAGGAGCAGAGTTTCAGCTAAAAATATTATTCAACATCATACTGAAAAATAAAGTAATCTACTGGATGGCCTGAAGGTAAATTAACAGCAAAACTCGATTTTTATGTGAGTAAACTACCTTTTAGAAAACCACAAACGCTAACCCCACATCACAAAAACCAGCCTTAACCCAAAAGCAAAGACAAAAGTCAAATGAAGAATGCATAAAGAGGAGAATTGTAAGCGTTCACCACGAAAACACAACAAAAACTCTTTCTAACATCATTTCTCCCTTGATTACGGCATGTAGAGTCATGGCACATTAGCAAGATTCAAGAACAAGCACAATGAAGCTGATTTGTACAGCAGCTCTCATTTTTTTTCCCAGCAGGAACAACAGAGAGCATCTAAACACAACGCATCCCGCAGCTAGTAAAGCCCAGCACTGCGTCTCCATCATGCGGCTTCAAACAGCCCCAGCAAACCCAGAAAGCACAGCCAGCCACAAACACAATATACTTACACGTCTTACAGCAACCGTCCACATACGTCTGAACTACACCTCCATTCTGAAAGAGGAAACACACAGAGGTCAGAAAAACGATGGTCTGAATGCATACAGTAGTACAGTGGCTATAGAAAATCCTCATACCTAGTGAAAATCTAGCTTTTGTTTCACATCACACCCTGCTTACAAAAGCAGCCAAAGCGCTTTACAATCATGAGGGGGTCTCTCCACACCACCACCAGTGTGCAGCATCCATCTGGATGATGCGACAGCTGCCACAGGACAACGGCGCCAGTGCCTTTACCACACACTAGTCATTAGTGGAGTGGAGAGACAGTGATAAAGCCAATTCAGTGGAAGATTAGGAGGCCATGATGGGTGAGGGCCAATGGAGGGAATTTTGCCAGGACACCAGGGTTACACCTCTACTCTTTACGAGAAATGCCATGGGATTTTTAATGACCACAGAGAGTCAGGACCTTGGTTTAACGTCTCATCGGAAACATGGCGCCACTGACAGTATAGCGTCCGCTTTACTTTACTGAGGCATTATAGGACTCACACAGACCACAGGTTGAGCGCCCCCTGCAGACCTCACTGATACCACTTCCAACAGCAACCTAGTTTTCCCACGTTATCTCACAGCCAGGTACTGGCCAGGCTCAGCCCTGCTTAGCTTCAGTGATAACTGGTCTTGGGTTGCAGGGTGATACAGCTGTGGTGGGTGCTCCGGTTTCCCCCACAGTCCAAAGACATGTGCTATAGGTGAATTAGGTAAAACTGGTCAAAGTGTGTGTGTGTGTGTGTGTGTGTGTGTGTGTGTGTGTGTGTGTGTGTGTGTGTGTGTGTGTGTGTGTGTGTGTGTGTGTGTGTGTGAGAATGTGAGAGTGTTTGGATTTTTCCCAGTACTGGGTTGTGACCGGAAGAGCATCCGCTGTGTAAAACATATGCCGCAATAGTTGTCGCTTCATTCCTCTGTGGTGAACCCTGATAAATAAGGAACTAAGCCAAAGGAAAATGAATGACTGAATGGCAAATTAAGTCATTATTTCAAAGAGGTATGATGATTTTCGATAAGCACTGTACATAATAGGGTTGGACGATGTCGACCAATTAGGCATCGTACGATGTCTAATGTGAAACATCTCGATTGGAAGATGGCATCGTCGTCATAGGCAGAGGTAAATTAATTATTTATGAATAATTTATTACTTCATGAGGAATTTATTATTTGTAGTCTACCGTTTCAACTACCTGACCCGCATGGTCTTTGTTTTACCCATAAACAAATAAAAATAAAGATAAGTTGCACAAAAATTACCACCAGACAATCACTTTTTCCGCAGGACATGAATAGGCAGAGTGATCTGTGTCAATATAACGGCATCGACAAACTTGGTCAGTAAAAAAGGTGCACAACCAACCCACAACGTCTAAGGTTTTCGCTAAAATTACTAAGAACAAGCGTGAAAGTGAAAGATCGAAGCAGTGTACTGACACTGTGAAACGTTACCTGATTCAAAAGACCGAAGAGTTGTTAGATAGAGACAATTTTAATTAAATATCACGTTTAACAACTATAGTGAGACGCAATCCAGCGCAATCCACACGTGCATGACATTGTGTGTGGCTGTGTCTGTGTGGTCACGTGATGTGTGTTTTCAGCAGACGGAGCACTGTTCAGAAATGCTCGGTAAAACACAGTGTGGATCTGAATCATTTTTGTTCTAAAATGCTATTTTAAAACTAAGACGTATTAGTGTAAACGGGCCTGAGTGTGAATTTTCACGAGCGGGTTTACAATGGGGGCGGGGCGGAGGATTGGCGATGCCGGCTCAGCATTGTGTTGTTTGTCGGCCATCAGCGATGGACAATGGCATCGGCTATCGGCCCAACCCTAGTACATATTGATTGGAAACAGACCTGAATACACTCGGTGTCGTTGAAAGGAGGACAGACGACTCCAGACGCCAGAACTACAGCACCAACCGCAGTCTCCATACAGTCGAACCGTGTGCAGTTTGCCACCCATGAGCTGCCCGCCTGCAAACACCACCACAAACACCATCAGCTTCATGCATTCCAGGTTTTTATTGTTAAGGTACAAAGAAATCAAAACTAACCATATTGATTCTGTTAGCTCACGTTGCTAGTTTTGTGGTGAACAAGTCATCTATGCATGTTATTAGGAAAAAAAATAGTTTACCCTTGTTATCTACAATTGACATCTGGAAAAGCACTTCCTGTTTGTTTTCAGGTAAATTCTCAGATTATGTCTGTCTGAGGTATAGGGCGTGGCTCAACCTACTTAACCACGACCCTTCCACTGTCAGTTTTGACTATACAAACAGAAATGATGAGGCGTTGTCTGTCATAGGTTGTAATAACTCTTCTAAACCCTGATCTTTCTGAATGAAATGCCTACTTTAATACGTCCAATCAGCTCGCAGTACAAAAAACAAACCACGTCCACTGCTTTTTCATTTAATATTCAGTTTTTCTGGGGTCCAAGCTTTCAGTTCATGCGGACTCAAACCTTTTCTTGAAAACAGTGTTGTGGTTTTTATGGTGTGTTTGTAACTTGTATTGCTTCCATTGTGGGGACCAAACATGTATAACAAAACCAGTACGTTTTGGTCCCCATTTAAGAAAACTGCTCATAAATTACATTAATTAATTATTTTGATAAATTGTAAAAATCCAGACTGTTTCCTGTGAGAGTTGGGTTTTGGGGTAGGGTTGGGGGATAGAATATACAATTTAAGGGAAGTCCATATAAAGACTGCACCTGTGTGTGCAAGTGTGTGTACTTGTTTATGTGGTTTATGAGGACACACAATTGTATAAAGACATGGGATGGAGACATAGTACCCAACTCTCTCTATTGATAGGGATTATGAGGACATGCCTTTTGTCCTCGTAATTCCAAACGCTTAAAAATCATATTTAATGGGACTTTATGACATTCAAAATTTGTCACATGTTTACTGTGAGGGTTAGGATAGGGCCATATATTAAGTGATTTTTCCAGTACAAAATATATTAAGCTCATAAACCATATATATAAGTGTATGTGTATGTATCTGACGGTACAGTAGATATGACTGATACAGTAGCAATGCATTTGTGGATAAATTTGATTGGGAACAAACGTCCTAAGAAAATTTGACATCCATTAATGACATTTTTTTGTAAGCAGGGTAAATGTACACTTGAAAGAAACAAACATACAATATTCACTGTATTTTCAAAGAGAAGTTGTTCACAAACAGCAAATACAGTTTGTTTGTTTCATTCAAGGGTACATTTATGCCTAGAAAATACCAGTAGTCAGAGTAGATTACAATAAGTTTTTCTGTAGTGCTGCTGTTTCCACTTGGATAAGAGCACGAGATGTTTTTTTGCATAATTTGAGGTCAGTAAGTTTTTGTCTGAAATATATTAATGCATTTATCGTTTATCAAGATAATCAAAAGTGATAGCACAGAAATGTATAATGATATAAAATATTTGCGCATTAAATAAATACTGTTCTAAAATGTAATTGTGTTAAAAAGGTTTATTTATCAAAATAATCTTGTCAGACACACTAATCTCATTTAAATCAAGAATGCTTTGTTCACAGACGACATTAAAAAGATAAAAAAATGTAAACATCGCAGTGCAGCCTCAAAATATTAATTTGTTGTCATTTCAAATGTTTATAATTCATCGTCATTCAAACCAAAAGTTTTGACCCATTTTTAATGTGTATTGTTTTATTTTTGCATAAACATACCAGTTACTCTGAATAAAAATGTAAGATCGTTTCATGCATATTTTAAACATTTTGTAAACAAAAGCAGCCTCCTAAAAGTGGGCAAACTATTTCATAAAAAAACTTTGTGGTTTCGACTGTGTGTGTGTGTGTGTGTGTGTGTGTGTGTGTGTGTGTGTGTATTTCTGATCTACAGCAGCAATACTTTTGTGGATAAACTGGCTGGAAAAAGAAACGCCCCCAGAAAATCTGACAAAACATCCATTTGTGAACATTTTCAAAGGAAGATGTTCACCAATACAGAGAATTAAGTTTGTTTTTTTCCTTTCAAGGGGAAACTTTAATATATTTTTGCAGAAGGTGAGTGCAGATTACCATAAATACTTCTGTAGTGCCGTTTTCACTGGGATATGAGCAGGAGATGTTTTTGCAGGAGCCGCAGCACACGTGGGGATCAGATGATGGGACATAAACCTGATGCTACAGTAATAATGAAAAAATGTATAACAAAAAAAAAAAACATTTAAATATAAATAAACTCAAATATACATGTAATATGAAATTTCAAACCAATTAAAAATGGTCAGTTTCTGGATTTAGTGAATTTATTATGTATGGGTTTCAGTAAAATTATAATATTTATTTTATTCTGTAATATAATAACATTTCTTCTTAATGTACAATAAACATATTGCCATATACCGTAGAACCTTTTAATAACAGTTAAAGGGTCTAATAAATGTTTTCATTTATTGTTTTTAAAAATCATGGATTATTCCACTTTATTCCAACTCTTGGTTCAGTGTTGGTAGTATAGAAACTGAATATAAATGATTAAAATGAATATAAATGTCTTAAAAACGACACCTTTTTGGTAATTTTATGCAAAACAAATCTCTAAATGGCAACATTCTACTGTTTAATTTGGTGAAATAAGCGGACATTTGCAATTCAAAGAATACAATAACAAAAACATGTTTTACTTGACTATAAAACTCGAGAAACTCAAGTGATCTCTTAAAGGAATACTCCACTTTTTTGGTAAGAGGCCAAGGCTTTACAACTCACCTAGAGTTAAACAGTTGAGTCTTTCCATTTTTTAACCCATTCAGTCGAACTTGGGGTCTGGCCAGAGCACTTTTAGCTTAGCTTAGCATAGATCACTGAATCAGATTAGACCAGGGGTGTCCAAACTCGGTCCTGGAGGGCCAGTGTCCTGCAGATTTTAGCTCCAACTTGCCTCAACACACCTGCATGGATATTACCAGAATGCCTAAGAGCTTGATTAGCAAGCCCAGGTGTATCTGATTGGGGTTGGAACTATACTTTGCAGGACACCGGGCCTCCAGGACCGAGTTTGGACATGCCTGGATTAGACCATTAGCATCTCGCTTAAAATTATTTAAAAACACTTTCAATTATTATCCTATTTAAAGCTTGACTCTTCTGTAGTTACAATACTGATGGAAAATACTGATGGAAAATAAAAAGCTGCTATTTTATAGGCCAATTAGGCATGGGATGATAACTGGTTTTAAGTTTACAGCATATCTTTGGAAAACCCTTAATTGTCAAAGACTATTTTATTTATTTATGAAAACAGTATATCTAGCAGCACAGGAGCAGCCACATCAGAAACTAGGCTACTAGTCAGCCCACGATTCAGCAAACATTTGAAAAAACAGCAAACATACTACGGACCTGAAAGTGCAGTGATTTACTTTATAAGAACTGCTACACAATACGAAAAAATAAGACAGTCCTAACTTTTGGTTCATGCAGACTCAAACTTTTCCTTAAAAACAATGTTGTGGTTTTGATGGTGTTTGCAACTTGTATTGCTTCGATTGTGGAGACAAAAATGTCACCACACCAGTACATTTTGACATGTTTTGGTCCTCATGAAGAAAACGGCTCAATAATCACACAGAATTAAGTATTTTGAGAAAATATAAAAATGCAGACTGTTTCCTGTGAGGGTTGGGTTTAGAAGTAGTGTTGGGGGATAGAATGTACAATTTATAGGAAGTCCCTATAAAGGTACTTGTATCTGTGAATGTTTACTTGTTTATGTAGTTTATGAGGACATAAAATTGTATGAAGACATGGGTATGACCTAGTAAGCAAGTCTAGTGTCCATGTGTCTCTATTAAGGGGGTTTAAGAGGACATGCCACTTGTGTTTACAATTCCAAATCATATTTAATGGGGCTTTTTGACATTCAAAATGAACCACAGGTTTATTGAGAGGCTTAGGATTAGGTTTAGCCATATAGTAAGTGATTTTATCAGTATAAAATATACTATGCCTATATATTAAATAAATAAATAAATAACAAATATTTAAAATATTTATATTGACAAGTACAATTCAATCCTGGATTAACATCTATGTTGATCCTGGAACATCTTTTTTGTTGGAAAATGTAATCTATACCTATTCCCTACCCCTAAACCCAACCATAACTGTAAATGATTCCCAAAATCAGAGGGTAATAATAGTAGCATAACAATCATGTAAAAGTGCATAAACCAAACCACAAGCCTAAACTTAACATAAGCTGTAAACATATCCCTTAATTCTGATTGGCTGATTGGAATGCTGTTCCAGGATCAACATAGATGTCAGGTTGGCGACCCCATGCCTAATCCAAAAAGGCCAGGAACTATACTCTCATTCCTGCGTAATAATCAAGGAAGTTTGCTGCTGTACCATGGCTGCAGAAGGGGCACTTATATTACTACACTGCCGAAAAATAGTCCCTAGCTTGGTAACAGTGTAATCTCAGTGTACAGCATGGACAGATCATGGTTCCTTGATAATTATTATTAATGTTCCTTTTAATGTTTCCAGAGCTGCTTATTGAAGTAGTATCAGTGACACGACTCACAGTTTCACATTTCTCAGAGCAGTTGGCAGTGGTGACCTCCATGGCGTAGAAACCAGTGCTGGGGTCTTTATGTGTGAGGCACTGAACGGTGTAACACAGTTCCCCCTCAAAATACTGCACCATAGACTGGCCAGGGTTCAATATCGTCACACCCTGAAACAGACACACTTCTGCCTTCACTACACACACACACACACACACACACACACACACACACACGCCCAAACACACACTTGTGTTTTCAGTTTCTTTGAACAGGGTGGTATTTTGAGTCTGTGAGTGTGTGTTACGAGTCTTACTGCAGTGATACAGTGGGCATCCACAGGGGCCGCCGGGGTCTGGTTCCTCCACTCTCACTTCACCCTTTAGCAAAAAGGTCACCGTATAATATTTTGGTTACAGGACAGTTTGCTAGGGCAACAACAAAATCTATTATACACACGGTATTAATGAATACAGAATACAGCTTAAAACACTCACCATGGTGCAGGCCGGAAGCGTAAGATTGTGACACTGACATTCTATAAAGAATCCAAACAAATGTATAAATGTAACTGTGTATGCATGAAAATAAAACACAATAAAGTAAAAGCAACACAAAGCATCACGCAAGTCAAATTTTCCAATGTTTTTCAGGCCAGGTGATCACTTACATCCTACATACAGCGGGTATGGAAAGTATTTTGACCCCCTTAAACTTCACTTTTTGTTATATTGTAGGCATTTACTAAAATCATTTAAGTTTGACTAATTAATGTACACACAGCAGCATATATTGACAGAAAAACACAGAATTGTTAGAATACTTAGGACCAGGTGATATTTTTAGTTAGCCTTTTTTAAATAAATGACATTGTTTTTCTTTCAATGGTGCACATTAATGCTGTGTGCACGTTAATGAGGAAATAATTAAACTTAAATGATTTTAGCAAATGCCTGCAATATAACTGTCACCGACTCGGTCCCAGTCATTCCCCTCGCTGGCCAGCAGAGGCCACCATCCCCGGACTTCTAAGCAGTACGTCATCCACTTAAACCACAGGTGTCAAAGTCAATTTCAAAAGGGCCGCAGCTCTGCACAGTTTAGTTCCAACCCTAATTAAACACACCTGATCAAACTAATTGAGTCCTTCAGTCTTGTTTCAAACCTATAAGTAAGTGTGTTGGAGCAGGATTGGAACTAAACTGTGCAGGGTTTCGGCCCTCCAGGAATTGAGTTTGACACCCCTGACTTAAACTGATAGGCACACACACCTGCAGCTCATCCCGCTAAAGACCCACGCTTACACATATAAACAGCACACACACTCAGTCTGTTGCGAAGTCTTGTTCTGCCCTGTCTGACATTACTGAGCGTTATCTCTTGGCCTAATCCCCTGTGTATTACCTGGACTGTTACTGACCTTGTGTTGCCTTCTGCCTGCCCCAAACCTTGCTTGTATTCTGACTCTGATCCATGCCGCCTGCCCTGAACCACGCCTGAAATCTCGACTCTGAACCACGCTGCTGGCGCCTGCCACTGATCCATGCCTACTATATCACTCCTTGACAGCCAGCTGCCAGCCCTTAGACCCTTACTGAAAACTACTGATGTGAGTTTGCACGTGAGTGCGTATTGTGTTTGAACTGTGTTTAATAAATATACTGCAAATGGATCCCTCCGTTTCAGGCTCCCCGTTACAATAACAAAGTGAAGTGTAGAGGGGTCTCAATGCTTTCCACACCCATTGTATTTGATTAACTAAAACAAATACTTCTTTAAAAATGACATGTACATTTATTTATGTATATTATATTTATTTTATGTTTTTTGTAGAAAATATAAGCTTAATTTACTACAGTATATAAACATAGGCCAAACAGTAAAATGTAAAATGAACTAAACCGGTTTAAAAAACTCATTCAGGGGGCACTTTACAAAAAACACTGAGTCACACTTTATTTTGCTGGTTCGTTTGTTGTGTTTAAGTTACATTGCAACTAATTCTCATTAGATTATAAGTAGACTGTTAGGTTGGGGTTAGGGTTAGTTTAAGTTGACATGTACTTGCAAAGTTTCTTATAGTCAGTTAAATGTCTGTTTAGCAACAGTATTAATAGATATTAAGCAGACAGTCTACTAATACACAAATGGACCATCAAAATAAAGTTTTACCAAATACTGTATTATTGTCAAATATTATTACAATTAAACATTTTGTAATTTAATACATTCAAAACAAAACTGTGGTAAAGATGAATCGCCAGATGTTGAAAAATGCATCTCATTTGCTGCGCAAGAAATATTTCATTGACAGTAAATTTGCTTAATTTTTTGGGAATAAAAATATATTTTACTGTAGTCTTTGACTTTCTATATGAAATATAAATATTTTGTAACATTGCATCAATTTGATGCATACTTGAAAAATATTATCTTAATTAGGAGTATATATATCAGGGGTGGCTAACCCTGTTCCTGGAGAGCCACCTTCCTGCAGATTTTAGTTGCTACCCATATCAAACACACCTGAACCAATTAATTAGGATCTGAACACCATGTGGTAATTACAGGCAAGTGTGTTTGATATGGGTTGCAACTGAAATTTGCAGGATGGTGGCTCTCCAGGAACAGGGTTAGCCACCCCTGATATATATGTAAAATCAGTTATTATTATACTACATGTGCCAAATGGTTTTATTGTAGTGTATCACAGAGAAGCTCATTCATTTAAGCAATTTGGATTATTAGTTATGTCCAATAACATAATATTTTTAGTGTATTGTTTTTTTTATCTGTGTAGTTATGCTTTTTTATAGTTTAGCAACATTTTCATGTTGACAAAACATGAAACAAACATGAAAGAAAGGAAGGAAGAAAGAAAGTAAGGAAGGAAAGGAAGGAAATAAGGAAGGAAGGAAAGGAGGGAAGGAAAGAAAGAAAGAAAGAAAAAGAAAGAGAGAAAGAAAAAAAGAAAGAGAAAGAAAGGAAGGAAGGAAAGAAGGAAGGAAGGAAGGAAAAAATGAAGGAAGGTAAGAAGAAAATAAGGCAGGAAGGAATGAAAGAAATGAAGGAAATAAGGAAAGAAAAAAAGAAAGAAAGAAAGAAAGAAAGAAAGAAAGAAAGAAAGAAAGAAAGAAAGAAAAAGAAAGAAAGAAAGAAAGAAAGAAAGAAAGAAAGAAAGAAAGAAAAAGAAAGAAAGAGATCCTAAAAGGTGTCAGTACCGCAGTGTGTTTCTGGACAGCAGCTGTCCGGCACGGGTCTCTTTATCAGCACAGCTCCAGGAGCACAACTCACACTGGGCTCAGGACACAGACTCATATCACACACTGAAACAGTAACACACACACACACACACACACTGATTCTCCTTTCATCATCGAACAGTAAATGATGTGATGTGTAGTCCTTTCCAGTGAGTGCTTATAACTACCGCAATGATACTGTGGACAGCAGTGATTGGTGGTGTTCATATCCACAGCCAGTATCTCTCCAGTCTGACACACTGGTATGGGCTCAATGCAGGACTCACACACTGAAACACAGGATTGTAAAAACACCACACACATAATCAATATTTTGGACTTGGATAAATAGGTTTAATAAATATAATTGTTTAAGATATGTTCCATGACAACTATGACAATATCTATCTATCCATCCATCCATCCATTCATCCATCCATCCATCCATCCATCCATTGTTCCATTTATCTATCCATCCATCCATCCATCCATTGTTCCATTTATCCATCCATCCATCCATCCATCCATCCATCCATCCATCCATCCATCCATTGTTCCATTTATCCATCCATCCATCCATCCATCCATCCATCCATCCATCCATTGTTCCATTTATCCATCCATCCATCCATCCATCCATCCATCCATCCACCGTTCTATCTATCTATCTATCTATCTATCTATCTATCTATCTATCTATCTATCTATCTATCTATCTATCTATCTATCTATCTATCTATCTATCTATCTATCTATCTATCTATCTATCTATCTATCTATCTATCTATCTATCTATCTATCTATCGTTTAATCAAATCATTTGTCTAGTCACTTCAACTTACTTCACTAAACTTTGCATAACTTAAAAAATGTGTTGAAACGTTTTGTTCTTGTTTGTAAATGTAAATATGATTGTAATATAGTATACTGTCACACTGTTGTTACATCGCAACAAAAAGTGTTAAAAAATGTGTTGAAACCTGAATAACTGATTATAAAAAGTTAAAAGTAACATAAAAAAACATTTGTAGACTTCTTGTGATATCATTTCTTTCAGTGTCCGTTTCTGCATCATCAGCATTGAGATTGTAGTGTTGAAGTACTGTATTTCCACTTGGTAATTACCACACATGTAGCTGTAGCAGCAGGCGTGTGCTCCTCTGACCTCCACCAGGAACTGATCCTCTCTGCAGATCGGCGGCGGGACGCTCTGACAGGCCAGTGGATCACATTCTGGCAGAAACCAATCAGAAAAGCGAGCCTCATGCACTGACCATGCAAACAGCAGCAGAATAAGGATTACACCAGCTCTTACCACATCTGTATTCAGGACAGCAGGACAGAGCGCTATAGCCGATCACCAGCTTGTCTCCATTCTCACAGCTGGGAACTTCACTCTGACAGATGGTCAGGTTACATTCTGAACAAAAATACACACACATGCAGTAAAAAAATTGAATGAAAAAAATAAAAGCTTTTATTTGCATGCCTTTAACATAAACAATACATAGTAAAAATTATTATATATTTTGTCTTTTTCAAATATTTTCCAAATGATGTTTAACAGAGCAAGTAAATTTTCACAGTATGTCTGATAATATTTTTTCTTCTGGAGCAAGTCTTAATTGATTTATTTTGGCTAGAATAAAAGCAGTTTTTAATTTTTTAAAGCACCATTTTAATGTAAAAATTATTAGCCCCTTTAAGCTATATATATTATTTTGATAGTCTACAGCACCACAAAGGGGCCTCAGCAAGCTCTGGTGGGGGGGGGGTGGGATTGGGGGTCACATTATATTTTTTATGTTTATTTAGCAATGTAAAGTTAGGAGAACGATTATGTTTCCTCAGTTCATTTAATCACCTGGCTGGCCAAAAAAATGGCCAATTTTGTAATTTATACTCCACAAAAAAAGACAAAGTCTCTGATTTGCCTTTAGCAGCTAATAGTAATGACCCAAGCATACTAGACCCAGATGAGGAAGCTCGAAACATTTTGGGACACAGCGCTAGCAAAACTGGAAACATCAAGATAGTTACCTGAACTATGGTTTTATTTCATTTTCTTGAAGCAAAGAGTCCCTGACCCAGCCACAGTGTATTACTTGCACCAAAGTTCTTGCTAACGAATGCATGAGACCGTCCAAATTAATAAGACATTTGCAGACGACTCATCCTCAATCCCACAAAGTGTACCTAATACAAATGGCCTACTGATGTTTTGCTTATATATTTTAAATTAGGCCATTATTTGTGCATATCTACATATAGTAACAAACAAACCGTCTTATTTTGACATACTTACTGCAAACTTATACGAGCGAAAATATCATTAAATGTGGAGGGGGCCTTACAATATTTTCAGGGGGAAAAAAGGGTGACTCGGGCAAAAAAAAGGTTGGGAACCACTGGTCTACAGAACAAACCATCGTTATACAATAACTTGCCTTATTACCCTAACCTGCCTAGTTAACCTAATTAAGCCTTTAAATGTCACTTTAAGCTGTATAGAAGTGTCTTGAAAAATATCTAATCAATTATTCTGTGCTGTCAATAAATAAATAAATAAATAAACAAGGGGGGCTAAAAATTCATGGTGGCCAATAATTCTGACTTCAACTGCATAACTCCCCTTGTGGCTATTATAGGAACTGCAGCAATAGTAGCAGTTAGAAGAAGACAACAATTAGGCAATTTATTAAATAAACAACATGCTTATTCTGACCAGTTCTCAGAGTATTAAAATACATTTAAAAAAAAATGAAAGCTCCACATGAACCCTTTAATTTGTTGTCCCAGGTTTACGCAATTGACCTTCGAAGGACACACGCTCTGAACTGGGACGCAGCTTAAGTGGAATTAGCATTAGAGATTAGTACTTTCCAGTTCATAGTATATTAAAAATAGTACATCGAATGTTCCTGGGTGATGACCTGTTTCTGATGGATTTGTGTGTTTGTATGTTTGTACCACAGATCTTCTTGGGACAGCAGACTCCTTCCTCCAGGACATCCACGGCGTATTCTCCCTCTCTCTCACACAGCGGAGCCGGTTCATAACTGCACTCGGGCTCTACAGGAACCACACTACCGTTTTCCAGACACCGGAAGAGACAGCAGCCGCGCAGAGAGCCGTTCCACACCTCACCTGGAGCCCGTGGTGCACCGTCGTTATCCGTACACACTGAAATAACAGGACATCATCATACAACGCAACAAAAAATCTGCTAATTTAACAGTAAATAAAAAACTGCAGCTGTGGTTGCCGGAATTGAAGTATCATGACTATGGTTTACAAAATTCAGATGTTTAGATGTTACTGCTTCAAAACATGGTGCATTTAAGACTCAAGATTCAAAGTGTTTATTGTCAGAGTAAGAAACAGGTTCTCTGAACAATGACATACTTTGTTGTCCACACTGAATGTCAGTAAAGTTTATTGTAAAATTAAAGTAGGTTAAAATAATTTTATTGTAAAATTAAAAATATGCAATCTTTATTTAACCAAATAGGCATGCAAAAAGTAAATATAAGTGTAAACTTTTAAATAAATAATACATAAAGAAGGTTTCTATATAGATAAATGTGTTGAAAAAATGTTGAAAACTGTAATAAAAATGTACGAAATATTCATTCATTTTACTTCAGCTTAGTCCCTTACTTAGTCACAGTGGAATGAACTGCCAACTATTCCAGCATATGTTTACATTTACATTTTTACATTTAGTCATTTAGCAGACGCTTTTATCCAAAGCGACTTACAAATGAGGACAAGGAAGCAATTTACACAACTAAGAGCAAGTACTAAAGGCAAGTTTCAGGTCTGTAAAGTCTAAGAAGGGAAGTATTAGTAGTTTTTTTTTTTTTTTTTTTTTTTGTACAGTTAGTGTGATATTCAAAGAGGCAATTGCAGATTAGGAAGTGAAGTGGAGACTAAATAGTTGAGTTTTTAGTCGTTTCTTGAAAATAGCGAGTGACTCTGCTGTTCTGATGCAGTTAGGGAGTTCATTCCACCAACTGGGCAGATTGAGCGTGAGCGTTCGCGAAAGTGATTTTTTCCCTCTTTGGGATGGAACCACGAGGCGACGTTCATTCCCAGAACGCATGTTTCTGGAGGGCACATAGATCTGCAGAAGTGAGTGCAGATAAGAAGGTGCATATGTTTTGCACTGCGTATAAATTTAAATTTTCAATAAATAATACTTATGGTTTGGCGTGTGGCGCATGTGGTTTTGCATGCGGAAATTACCATGCAAAATGTTTTTGAGTAAAATATAAAAAGACTATTAACTCTGCAAGCAATTAAATATAAGGCAGTCTAAAACATTAAATAATCAACAGTTATTCGCAGGTTTTTGAAGTGCCTATATGATGACAGTACCATGCATGTTCATTATCACAATGTATTGTATTATTAAATATGCTGTAATCTCACCGCACTGGTCCTCGGTGACACAGAAAGCAGAATCTGCTCGGTGAAGGATGGTGCCGCTTTTACAAACACACTCCTCTCTGATAGAAGAGCAGGTGCTTTCTTCATAGTAATCGCGGTTCTGGCATGTTCGCGTCTTGCATGTGTTCACACAGGGTTTGTATTCTTTACCAGGAGGACATTTGAGTGCTGCATGATCAAATATGAGAAAAAGTGAAGAAACATACTAGCGTTTAAAAATGTCAGGGAGTCTGTAAAATCACTCACGGCAGAAGTTGCTTTTCCTCCAGCTGAAGCAGATCTGATGAGTGTAGCAAATGGCAACATAAGCAGCCAGGAAGTCACACTCGTGCTCTTTATAATGCAGGTCACCGGCCCATATCTTATCGCAGAAGTTTTCTGGAGAAACCTGCCAACGGAAATGACATTTGGAAATTCAATATAAGATTGCCGGGATATCATATGGAGAGAGATTTTATATATGGGTGCACAACTTTGTCTGTTGGGTGACATTTCTCCAAGTGGCCCAATATTATAAGCAAATTTGTAAACTGTAATAATTGGTGATATTTTACATTATTAATGTATTTATTAAGATTTTGAATCTAAAGAATGTTTTAATTTTAATTTGATTAATTGTTTTTATTTATAAAAATTTTTTTTTTCAAATGTCTGCATCAGGGCATGCATTGTTATTGTGTGAAATGCAAGAACAATGCTTAAACAAGGTTCAGCATAATGTCAAAAAAAGCAATTCGTTACCGTAATTTCTGTGGGCCTCATTTATGAAACACAGGCAGAACCATTTTTTGTGTGTGTAAAACGTCCTTTAAAAAAAAAAAATATATATATATATATATATATATATATATATATTTTTTTTTTTTTTTAGTAGTAGTAGTTTACATTTTGAGTAATTTTGTCATGTGCATTAATCATTTATTTTTATACGTTTTATTGCTTTTTATATGCTTTTTATTAATTTTTGACTTTCGGTTAAATGACAAAGTCATTTTGAGGGGCCTCAAAACTTTTGCAAATATCTAAGTAAAAGTTTTTGAAAACGATACTGTCGAAAAAATAAGTTCAAATAAGGCAAAAAAATCATTCATTTTGCTTCTGCTTAGCCCTATATTTACCAGGGGTCGAAACATCTAATTATTTCGGTGTATATTTTACGCAGCGGATGCCCTTCCAGCCACGACCCAGTATTGTGAAACACCCATACACTCTCACATTCACACACACACACACACACACACACACACACACACACACACACACACACACACACACACACACACACACACACACACACACACACACACACACACACACACAAACACACACACACTACAGACAATTTAGTTCATCCAGTTGACTTATAGCGCATGTCTTCGGACTGTGGGGGAAACCGGACCAAACTCTCCACACAGCAATGCCAACTGGCCCAGCCGAGACTCGAACCAGTGACCTTCTGGCTGTGAGGCGACAATACTACAATGCCAAAAGGTAAAACAACTCCTTTATAATATAAAAAATTAGTAATGCATGATATATTGGTGGCCATATTGATATCGGCCGATAAATGCTATTTTTTTCATGTTATCATCATCGGTCGGAAAACAAAATTAGGGCGATATCTTTAACCCAATAAATTATGTCTTATTTCCGCTGGCTGAACCACTTCACATGCTTTCTGCCTGCTTCTATTTTGTTTAATATTCACTGACTTGGTTTCTTTATTTATGCATTTTTTTAGGTTAATTATATTAATATAAACAAATTGGCCTTTGATAACAAAATGTTGATTAATAAAGTTCAAAGATTAGAACTTAAGATTTTAAAATAAAAGCAATCATTCACTATACTGTATGTGTTTGCCTTTTGTTTTTGCAATCATGCAGATAAATTTGAAAAAAAAAATTATATATATATATATATATATATATATATATATATATATATATATATATATATATATATATATATATATATATATATATATATATATATATATATATATATTCATTAATTTATTTATTTATTGGCTATATATTTGCTTTCTGCCTCCAAATATTATTAATATCGGTCAAAAATTCCATATCACTGCATCCTAGTTAAAATATAAAAATTGGGCTGAATTGTGTTTATTTAAAATGCAATGCTAACTTATTTTAATGTGAACAAGCTAAATTAGCTAATGTCACTCAAATCATTGCAGATAGCTTTATCAAGTAAAGGATGTACAATAATTACGCACATCTCAGTATCTTCAGTATTCAGGCTTGTGTGCAGTACCTTGTGGTGGCATCTGGAGAAAGGCCTCTGGTTGAGCATGGTGAAACATTTGGAGCAGTTTCCGGTGGTGCAGTTGTCTCCCACTCTGCGGAAGTAGTCTGTATCCTCTGCCGTGTCCACCATCCACCCGTGCAGAAACACTGGGATGTCCTCAACATCCCGGACCACTGTACCATTGGGCAGCCGCAGGTCATCGGCTGGATTACCATCACAACATCCTGAGGAAAGGAGGGTAACACATTTACGTGGCCACAAGTGAAAGCTTAGGCTAATTAAAAAAAGAAAGTTTCCAAAATCTGACACCTATCAAAGTGAAACTGGATTTGGATGCTTTGTGAAGAGAAGCATTCGATATTTCTGGTTTAAATTATTCTCATGGCAAATAAATACTCATGTGTGGATCTGTATTTGGATGCATTGGGTAAAGTACCATATTATATTATTGGTTTCAATTATTTTCATACCAGTAATACAAACCTGTCTACTGTACATCAGCACAAAAGCATTAAGCCTTTTCCTTCCTTTGGATTCACTTGTACTAAATATTTGTGCACGATAAAAGTAACAGACAGAAGTGAGCAGGGCACAAATTAGTACAAACAAATAATTTAAATATTTACACACTTATGGTATTTATTTAGTAATCATACACTCACCGGCCACTTTATTAGGTACACCTAACTAGTACCGGATTGGACTCCCTTTTACCTTCAGAACAGCCTTAATCTTTCGTGGCATAGATTTAACAAGGTGCTGGAAATATTCCTCAGAGATTTTGGTCCATATTGACATGATAGCATCATGCAGTTGCTGAAGATTTTTTGGCTGCACATCCATGATGAGAATCTCCTGTTCCATCCCAAGGGTGCTCTATTTAATTGAGATATGCTGACTGTGGAGGCCATTTGAGTACAGTGAACTCATTGTCATGTTCAAGAAACCAGTCTGAGATGATTTGCGCTTTATGACATGGCGTGTTATCCTGCTGTACGTAGCCAGAGATGGGTACACTGTGGTCATAAAGGGATGGACATGGTCAGCAACAATACTCAGCTAGGCTGTGGCGTTGACACAATGCTCAATTGGTATTAATGGGCCCAAAAAATATATACCGCATACCATTATACCAACACCACCACCAGCCAGAAACTATTGACACAAGGCAGGATGGATCCATGCTTTTATGGTGTTGATGCCAAATTCTGATCCTACCATCCAAATGTCACAGCCGAAATCGAGACTCATCAGACCAGGCAACGTTTTTCCAATCTTCTATTGTCCAATTTTAGTGAGGCTGTGTAAATTGTAGCCTCAGTTTCCTGTTCTTTGCTGACAGGAGTGGCATCCGGTGTGGTCTTCTACTGCTGTAGCCCATCTGCCTCAAGGTTGGATGTGTTGTGCATTCAGAGATGCTCTTCTGCAGACCTCGGTTTTATCAAGTGTTTATTTGAGTTACTGTTGCCTTTTTATCAGCTTGAACCAGTCTGGCCATTCTCTGACCTCCGGCATCAACAAGACATTTGTACCCACAGAACTGCTGCTCACTGGATATTTTCTCTTTTCCGAGAACATCACAGTAGATAAGCAGTTTCTGAAATATTCAGATCAGCCAGTCTGGCACCAACAACCATGTCACGTTCAAAGTCACTTAAATCACCTTTCTTCCTAATTCTAATGCTCGGTTTGAACCATGTCTACATGCCTAAATGCATTGAGTTGCTGCCATGTGATTGGCTGATTAGAAATTAGCTTTACGAGCAGTTGGACAGGTGTACCTAATAAAGTGGCCAGTGAGTTTAAATACGCAATATAAAAATTGTGCTAAAATTTTTAAAAAAAATTTAAAAAACAAAAAAAGCAAAATCTAAATATTGAGGAAAAAACACCTTTAAAGTTAGACACTTAAGTTATTAACACTGCATATAACTAATCAAACAATTTAGTTTTGATATATTTATAGTATATTTACTAAATGTCTTAATACAACATAATACAAAGTAATTTTCTAATGATTTTAGGCAGAAAAGAAAAATCTATACTTTTAACACATGCAATGTATTTTGTATCGATTGTAACAGAGTTTTGTGGATCAGTGTTGCATTTATTCAAACACTGCAAAATTAAACTTCTACTCAAAATACATAATTCATCTCAATTCTATTGTATATTTAAAAAAGACAAATCTGCTGTTATTTCAATCTCCAGCTTGTTATTTAGTAGTTTAAACAGTTCTTTAATGTATTCAAAGGACACTAACCATATTTAAATTCCAATAGTGCAGATGGGAATCATTATGACAGTGCATTACAATGAGCCCCGCTAATATTATTAGAACCATGCTATGCTGTGACATTGACAATGACATTTTTTGTGAATGTCTGAATGTGTTTCTTCATTGTTCTGAACTCAAATATCTACAAATTCTTAAATCAAGAAGCATTTTCTAGACAAGTAAAAAGAGACAAGTCTTATTTTATGAAATAATGTGTTAAAAGCAAGCAAGCAAAATAATCTGCCAATGGGGCAAGTAAAATAATCTCGTTTTCGATTTTGCTGACCCCATTGGCGGATTCTTTTGCTTGTTTTAAGGAAAAACTCACAAAATTTTGGCATAATATTTTTTAAATTAAGTCAATACATTAAGTCTAGAAAATGCTTCTTGATTTAAGAATAGTTAATTATTCAGACTAGAAACTTTTTTGCAGAGTGGACTTTTAAGCTGTTAAAATGTGCCCCATACTATATGTACTATATGACTTTAAGTAAAGTCAACTTGTCGCTTTTAAAGGGGACCAATTTTGTCCCTTTTTACAAGATGTAAAATAAATCTCTGATGTCCCTAGAGTGTGTATGTGAGGTTTCAGCTCAAAATACTCCACAAATAATGTTTTATAACTCGTTGAAACTGCCCCTTTTAGACTTTGATCCTAATTGTGCTATTTTGGTGACTGTTGCTTTAAATTCAAATAAGATTGCGCTCTTTTTCAAAAGAGGGCGGAGCTACAAATCCCTATACATCAGCATAGTGGCAGATTCAAAAACAAAACTACCATCATATGCTAATGAGGGTGAGATGATCACTAATGGGCGTGGCTTTCATCCTCTGAAATATGTAAATCAAAGCGTTTCTGCAGATTAATAAATGTTTAATCATTAGAAGCTGTTTTTTTTTCACAGACTGTTGTCACACAACTGGGTTTGAACACCTTATACAAGTGATTTTTGTATAATAGGTTCCTGTTTCGGTTGGCATTGTTCATTTATGTTTACCCTTTTGCCTTAATTATTATAAGTCAAGTAATTGCTTTTTACAGTGTAATTTAGAAAAAAGTCAAATAAATAAAACTCCCCTAATTAATGTATTAAGTAAGCAGGATCATATTAGACTTCATGGTTGTCTACAAAGTGTAAACACTGCTAGATGCACACACACACTGACCGCAGAGCCCCCTGGTGGAGGTGTTATCGGGAGCCGTGTACTGCAACACCATGATGCCAGTGCTGTGGTACCACTTTATGTTGATGCCACCGGGTGTGTCTATGATGTACATGGTCCCGGTGTCGTCAATATGGAGGTTCTGCCTGCTGAGAGGAAGCCGAGCTGTGATCTGATTCACGGACACCTGCGACACACACCAAACCTTTATGAAACAACCTTACACAGTAGATTTAGGCTTCTGTGAGATTAAGATGGTGCATTAAATATGATTTTGGCTAGATTTAGCAGCTTTTAACTTTAAGTAAATGAGACTTATTTATCTCTTGTGCTTGTGTGTGGATGGTTTTATGTCTTTATTAAACGTTTTTGTTACTGTTTGCTTTGACTTTAGTGAATCTGAATATTTTACCTCAGTTCCTTTTATAAATGTACTATACCCTTAGTAAAAAAAGACTAATATTGACTATTATAATGCATTTTGAATGAATAAAAATGACAAAACACACATAACAAAATTACTAAAACCCTGACTTAAAATTAAAAAGCAAACTATCTTACTGTATTAATATAAAATATTACTACATAGCACAATAGTGAAGTCCAAAGTTTATAATATGATTATATTTATGATCTTGAAAAAAAGCCTTATATACACTCACAAATGCATTTATTTTGTGAAAAATCTAAATCAAAACAGTAATAATATTTAACATATATTCAACACTGAAAACACTTGATGCTTCAGATTTTTGTGAAACAGCATAAAAAGCTTTTTGCAAGAGCATGTTCAATGTTAATTACTCCAAACCCCAATGTAAATAATAATAATGAAACAACACTTTCAATGAAATCCCACTGTGCGTATTTTTGTTGAAAGTGTAATATTTTAGCATCCGTTCCTTTCATAAATCTCTTCCTATAATTACAAAAAATAGTCCCTCTCAGGACCTTGAGAACAAAAAACGTCCACATTGAAACCTTGTAAAAATAGCAATATTTAACTCTAGCACCATTTAAGTTATACATTCTTAGATAACAACCTTCTATTCTGTTGGCAACGCCTCAAACATTTAACTATTTTTGGAACATTTCCTTCAGGTTCTACAGTTTCCCTGTACTAATTCCACTTTTTAACCTTTTTAAACATATTTAAACAAACAATGTGTTCAACAAATCATGTGAAACATTACAAATTTCAGAATCACAACAGGTCTGTACTAAAAGGTTTGTCAGAATAGCATCATTATAGCCCTCTCTGTCCAGTGCTATGTAAGAGACTTTTTTCCACTATAGATCTCATAGATCATAACTGTTGAATAATGCTGTGCAATATTTATAAAAATATTCCCTTACTGAATGTGTATCAGAACAGAATGAAAATCCAGATGGTGCACATTTAGTTTGTTTTTCAGGCTGGAATCGAAAGGCATGTTTTGACTTAACATTACACTCTCTTAAAAAAGGTGCACGGTGGTACAAATAATGTTCCTTAAGGAACAGTTTTGTACTTTTGTAAAGGTTGTACCTTGTGTCGTACAGAAGAGACCTCGTTCTGTACCTTTTATGGTACAATTTAAATGAAGGTGAACAATTGTTCTCATAAAAAAGGTACATAAGTGTAGGCAAACTCCTTTATTACAATATCTATGAAAATAAATATTACTGCAGAGGTGAAGTGATTTTATAAATAATTTCCATATTAAAACATGAATCATTTGAAAGCATATGTTTAAAGAAACTAATAAACAATAATTATTAAGTTCTACAACACAAAACAACTGGTAAAACAAAACTATACAGTAGGTATTCTAAACTAAACATTTAAGGCATTATTTAAGGCAAATAATCAATTGATAAGCATTTTCTGATAAATAGTTTCATTATTGATATCCGCATCTTTTGGCGTTTGCTTTTTTCACTACGCACGCAAAAGTCATGCAAAGTGTTCACGCAGATATTTTAGTATTGTAAAACTAATCAAACATTGTGCATATCTCGTTACAATACTTTTGCATAACGCTGCGGTCACACTAGAGTTTGTGTGTGTGAAATTCTGTCGTACAGCGCTGTGAAAGGGGCGGGATTAAACAAGATCATTAGACATTTAAAAAAGCGAGCGATTGCTCCATGTTTTAAATTTCTGTCAAACATTGTTTAAAATGTCTTGATGTTTTATATTTACTGAAAATAAATTTACCCATTTTGGATATACAGTAGCAAACTGCCTTTAAATAGTTCTTGAAAAAACACATTTGACATTGTTAAGGTACAAAGCTTCTTGTTACTGTAATGGTACCTTCAAGGTAGGGATGTGCACATCGATGCTTGAGTATCGATATATCGATACTTAGAAGCTTCTAATTTGGTATCGATATATTTTTAAAGTATCAATATTTCAACTATATTTTAATAATTTCTGCATAACTAAATGTTTTAATGCTGTGACGCTTTGTATACAAGACGTTACACCAATCACTCTGCGGCGGAAAATCACGTGAGCGATCATGTGCCTTTCAGATAACTTACTCAACTAAGTAGTGCTAAACGTACTCAACACATGTATGGAAGCATATGAGTACCATAATTCAATTCAAAATGTAATATGCAAAATGGCAATGCAATATGTTAAATGGCAATGTATATCTGTATTTGAATTTGTATTTTCCAAGACATATGAGCAATGTTTGGTGCAGAATGAAAATGTAATTAAATTACATTGTTTGCATTTCTCATTTCAAACACTGTTTTAATATGTAAATTGTATCCACATTTTAAAGCTTTTTAAGTAGGAAAATTAAATTGAAAATGCTATACACAAACTGAATTTGATGTGAATAAAGTACAAGCAGAAACTGTAGCAAAATGATCATTTAAATGTTATTTGTCCTACATGCATTTACACTCGCGTGTAGGAAACGCAGGATTACATTTTCAGCGTAACAGCATGGGATGTGTGTAGCAAAATTAATTGTGAAATGTAAACGATAATGCAATATGTACATGGCAGTGTATTTCTGTATTTCAGTTAGCATTTTCCAAGACATATGTGCAATGTTTGCTGCAGAATGAAAACGAAAATAAAATAAAAACATAATGCATTTTCATTTAACACATTGCAACGAATGAAAGCCGATTTGAAATTGAAAATGCATTCTGGCCTGGTCACGCCCACAGACGGCCACCGGGTTTTAGGTTATGTCGTCACAGCTGCAGCGAGAACAATTTGGGACATCTGGCAGCATGAACATGGCGAAGTCTGTTCCTCAGCGGCATCGTGAAGCTGCATGAGCCCTCGAGCGTGAACTGGGAAATACTTTAGAAAACCAATCACCTCCTAGCTCAGTAAAGTTGGCTTTAGGTTTGATATTCGCGCACGCAGTTTTAAGGATAAACTTTTAAAACCAAAGGAACATTTTGGTTTCCCATGGCACAAATCATGTCCTTAAACGTACAAACAGAAATGGTACAATTCCGTTCCATAAAAAGAGACTGCCCCAGCGACAAGGATTTGTACCTTCATTGGTGCAACATTGAACCATTCTTTCTGAGAGTCTATATGAAAGAGTAAGTAAAGAAATCCAAAATGCAGGGATCTTTTTTTTTACTTTGTTTGTCCCAAAAACTGCCTAAAGCTGCAAATGTTGCTTATTTTTTGTTGTTCATTTTTAATAAGTGTGTGTAATATCTTTGAACATTTTCAGGTAGTTTAAGCAAAACCATGTTAATATTGATAACCCTGATCATTCTGGTCACTATAATCACGAATTTTATGAAATAAGAAATTTGCATACCATTACACAACTATGCACATTGTTACCTTTCGGTCCAAGCGGTTGATCATGATTCTGTATGAATGAGTTGTGATGTTCAGCTTCTTAAAGCACAGGCCAGATGTTCCTCCAGAGGGAGTCTATCAGGAAACAGCAGAGGAAATGAGCTCGTGACTCTGATTAGGATGATTATAATAATCATTTCAACAGAAATATTCTAATGACACACTTACAGGTCTTCTGATGTAGTTCACGCTCTGAAAGCAAAGTAAAGCATTTAATATAATTCATCTATAGAAAATGCTGTATATTTTCTCCATGCACTGTAAAACATGAAGGACTCCACATAACTCATTCATGTTTTCTCAACACAAATCAATCAAGTTAACATAATTGTTTTTTTTACAAATTTAAGTGGATTGAACATAAAACAATTAAGTTATTCCTCAAAAAACAAATTGTGTTGTTCTCATTTTAAATAAGTGGTTTGAACTAGAAACAAAAGTCTTTTTTTTTTTTTTGAGTGTGATGTGTTAGCATGGGTTTACCTCACTGGTTGGGCATTTCTCAATGTGGCCGACTATCTTCTCTCTTGGCAGGTGGACCAGAATATAAGAGCCGATATCATACAGAGCCACATTATTCCCATCAAACGTTATCACACGCAGGTCAGAGATTATAGAGCAGCGGCCTGCCAGCACACACACACACACAGACTTTAAAGGTCATGGCAAGGAGATGGACACTTCAACACAAGCTATGATGTTATTGACAAGCAATTAAAGTCAAATTAAACCTAAATATCATGTGGAAAAAGATGTTTAAAAACGTACAAATTTAAATTTTCCTTTGGCTGAAATAAATATGTTGACGTTTTAAAATAAAAATAAATTCAAGCTATATATAAAAATCACTGTATAACAATGGTAACGATTTACAAGTTAGGTTTCATAAACTAATTTCTAGAGGAGCATGTGATATGATTGAGCACTGTTGGCCACTCATCCGTAATCAGTAATAATCCAATCCTAGTGATCCTAGTTTACTATAAATGGATAATTTTCTCCTTTTTGCCCTATCTTCATTTTGGAAGAATCCCCTCTTCCACCCCATCTCCTCCTTTCCCTCCCTTTTCTAAAGGGGGAAACTATAGAGACTTGATCTCGGATCCTTTGATATGCTTATTGACTAGGCGGGAGCCCTGGGCTTAATTATCTCCAAGCTCAGGGTTCTCTCCCGGGACAGCATGCCAAACCTGCTATAAATGCTAAGCATATCTAAGTGGGAACTCTTGAATAAGGTTGCATTTGTTATTGCACTAGGTAACTATTCAAGTTAACAAATCAAAAAAATTTTTATACTTCTAAATTCATTTGTAAAATTCAAAAAGTGGTATTTCTTAATATTATTGGACCTGAGCAAAATAAAAAGGAACTAACAGTGAAGAGTTGCAATTTTATTCAAACATCAAGATATTTATCATAATAAGCACTGCAATTAATGCATTGCACACCGAGTATGTTTACATGGACACCAATAATTAAATTTTAATACAATTAAGACAATACTCTGATTAAGTGTCAACAATGTAAACAGCGATTTTTGATTAATCCGATTGAGATCACAATCAAACTAAGGCCCAATCCCAATTCTACCCCTTATACAACCCTTCAAACGAAGACTTTTCAGGACCGCACTTGAAACCAAGGGGTAAGAAAAAATTCCCAGAATACCCCAGCAACAGCTGCACCCGAAAGTAAGGAGATCCACAAATTATTGTTTTTTGTCATTATTACGAATTTTTACAACAAACAAACACATTTTTAATATATCCATAACCGCGTTCACGTTTTACCGTCATGCTCTAAAAAAACCGCTAAAATAAGAACCGCTAAATTTTGCGATCTACTCGCGATTTACAGCAGTCCTACAACTTTGACACTCGATGACACTGGAACACCCTGTCAGAAAAGTCTAGTGGCTGTCAACGAGCTTTTTACAGTGTCTATACACACAGTGCTATAAGGTTAATGCTGTTTTTGTGTGTTTACATTGATGAATATGGCCACTGTGTTTAATGAAAGTTACGTTCTGCACATTAGATCATTATGATAACTTGATATATGTCTTCAGTGATTTCCTAAAGATAAATACAAAAAAATAACACAACTGGACTCCAGCAGTCGCGATCGTCTGATCTTATGTGAAGCAAGAAATTGCGAGGACATATGATGACATGTGCAGGTACTGTAGTGCTGTCCCAATTCTAAGGGGTAAATTTTGAAGCCCTTTCCCTTAACCCTTGGTTGTAAGGGCCAAGGGGAAGGGGAAGGGGTAGGAGTACAAAAATAGAATTGGGATTGAGCCTAAATCGAAATCGAATTAAGACATGTGGAGTATGCGGTGTGTATGTCCTACATGGGCACTGCCAGAGCGGGCAGCAGGGGTCCGTGTTGGTCTGGATGGGTGTGCCCAGCAGGTTGCACTGTGGCTGGCTGATGTTGTATCTGCAGTGCTGGGAGGAATTATGAAGCATCAGCTGTGCATTAAAGCAGATATACTCGCTGCACTCATCCACACGCAACGAATATGGAGGCTGTAAGGACATAAAACAAAAAAATATTCAGAAAACAGATAAAAAGGACAATATAAACCCTGTTTGTGACACAGAATCAGAATTTCAATCATGATGCATGTCTATTTTGTTATTGGCTGCGATCTGTTCCTATATATAAATCAAATCCATGGAAAATTTGCAGCATGTGTTTTAATATATTGAAAAATCGTTAATGGTATCAAATGTGCCAGCAGCAAACTTTGGGCTGTGGACAATGTGAAACATGTATTGTTCTCTGATGAGTCCACCTTCACTGTCTTTCCCACATCTGCGAGAGTTATGGTGTGGAGAAGCCCCAAAGAAGCATACCACCCAGGCTGAGCATGCCTAGAGTGAAGCATGGGGGTGGACCAGTGATTGGTTTGGGTTGCAACATCATGGCATTCCCTAGGCCCAATACTCCCCCAATTTTGCCAAGGACTACCTAACCATTCTGGAGGACCATGTCCCCCAATGGTTCAAACACTGTGGGCCCTATCATACACCCGGCGCAATGTGGCGCAAGGCGCGGCGCAATACTCTTTTGGTACTTTTAGCTCGGCGCAAGGGTCATTTTGAGGTGTTGCGCCACGCTGATAAAATAGCAAATGCATTAGTCTAAAAAAGCAGGCATGTTTTGGCGCGTTGCTATTTTGAGAAACTGTAAATAGTCTTGATCTTTAGACCAGAACAAAGTCGGTCTATTGTCTGGCGCAAAGTGGCTTACACACTACAAACAAGATGCAGAGCAATACGCAAATATCTTTACATATTGTAGATTTAAAAACCACTGCCTTACTTTCTTCATCTCGGGAGGCTTTTTCAGTTCATTCAATTTGCTTTTGTATAATGTCATTATTATTAGAAGTATTATTTATTATATCCATATTTATATTTGTTTTACTAAAAACAAGCTTAGATTTGTCCACCTATCAAATTTTAGACTCTATGGGGCATGGCAGGTGTATTTGGAAATAACTCAGTATTTTGACCACACTTGGTTATTATTGTTCATTTATTCGTTTGCTAGAAATTAGAACTGAATTTAGAAATCGTTTTGAAACAAATCTTTGCGCTTAACAAACGAAATTAATTATTTATAGGCTAATTGATGTCTGTGCGTAAAGGTTTCCCTATCCACGAGAGCAAAAGCGAAAGTGAACTTTTGGGATAATGGGAGATAAGGCTCTAATTGGTATTATTCTTAAAACACACCTATAACTCATTAAGAAAATAAACTCAACCTTTTTAGACCATGGCGCAAAGCGGATTTTCCCGTCCTTTAATTAGCAAAAATGCGTTCTGACACGCCCTGAAAGCGTTTGCGCCCTGAGTTTTGCGCTCTGCGCATGGACCATCAAAATAGAGCCCTGTATCTTAAAGGTGGTGCCACAGAAAGACTGGTGACAGTGGTTTTATTAGCATAAAAGTGAAGTTCTCTCATGGCCTGCAAAATTACCAGATCTAAGTATTATTAAGCCACTTTGGGGTGTTTTGGAGGTAGCAAGTCAGTAAAAATTTTCTCCACCAGCATCACCAGTACCTTCTTAAATCCATGCCATAAAGTATTAAGGAAGTTCTAAAAGGAACTAAAAGGTACTAGTAAGGTGTACACCACGAATATTTTACATAGAAATCCAAATACGAACTTGTATGTCATGTAGGTGATTTGCATATATTGCCATATACCAGATTAATATGTGGGCTATTGGAGTACAACAAATTCTAACTTACAAATCTCCTAACTCAGGATGCTTCCCTCCAAGGATCAACATTCTGGCAATGGGACAGGAATGACTCAAAAAACAACTGGTAGACGTGTTCACTGTATGTGGAGCACTGATTTATCCAGAAGATGTGTATATTTATGGCTGTGTGTATAAATGTGTCAGATTGATATTCAAGTCAGGGAGGGAAGTGGAAGATGTCGACTCTCACTTAATACTGATATCAACAGAAAATGAATCAACGATAGCTGAGGCAAAACATATTTTTCTTGGAGAGCATGTAGATACACCAGGAATGAGATTTTATCAATTGTCTGATTCGTTATCTTTAAGCACAACCCGTTGCCTTAAAAAGCACAGACTAATAAACAGACTTAAGTCTCCGGGTTTTTAGAAGCAAAGTGTTTATTTTGTTTTATCTTTTGAGTTTGACCTGATAAAATCCAACAACTTTTTCATTTAGTGAGTTCTGATTAGTATACATTCAAACTCATTGATTTGAGGCTTTTTAACCAATTGATCAATAAGAACAGAATCACTCGCTCACAAGTGGCCACATCACATGCATCAGTGTGAGTTTAGCATTATTCATTCATTTTTTTCAGATAAGTCATCAGGGGTTGTCACAGCAGAATGAACTACCAACTATTCCAGCATATGTTTTACACAGCAGATGCCCTTCCAGCCGCAACCCAGTACTGGGAAACAACCATACACACACACTCATGCACTACAGACAATTTGCTTACCCGATTCACCTATAGCACATGTGTTTGGACTGTGGGTTTAACCGAAGCACCCAGAGGAAACCCACGCCAACACGAGAAGAACATGCAAACTCCACAGAGTAATGCCAGCTGGTCCAGCCGAGACTCGAACCAGCGACCTTCTTGCTGTGAGGCGACAATGCTAACAGCTGAGCCAATGTGCCGCCTCAAAATAGATTTGAGGATTGATATTACATTTAGATGCTTTACTTTACAGGTTTAGTGAAGGTGGCTAGAAGGGGTGTGCACAGAATTTTTACTTTTAAAAAATAAAAATAAACAGCAACAGTGTGAGTTGAAAAAAAACTGGGATGCATCTTCACACTGGGATGCTTTTCAATTGCAGTTAGTGTCAGCTGTCAGTGTTTTTTTGAGATGTTTTTCCAGATTTAAACGCAGTTGATTTTCAATGGGGTCGAGCAGAAGAGTATGCAAAATCACTCCTTGACTTTAGATGGTGCTATACAACTTTAAGCTTCCGACACCCGCTTTTAACACAAAAGAAGAAGACAGAAAGTTCCTGTACACCATTGCTTCCTATCCAGCCTCATAGAGCTTGAGGTACTGCAAAGTGGAATGGGCAAAAGTTCCCAAAGACAGGTGTTCCAAGCTTGTGGCATCATATTCAAAAAGACTTGAGGCTGTAATTGCTGCCAAAGGTGCATCAACAAAGTATTGAGCAAAGGCTGTGAATACTGATGTACATGTGATTTTTCTGGTTTTTTATTTTTAATAAATTTGCAACAATTTAAAAAAATTATTTAAAAAATCACATTGTCATTATGGGGTGAAGCGCTATGAATACTTTCCAGATGCACTGTATACTTTCCACCTTTATATTCAATTCATTAAAATTCAATTCAAATTCAATTCATTAAAATTCAATAATCTTCAGCATATCTTTCATGTCAATATTTTTCTTTTCCGCTTTATACTACCAGTATAATAAGTCCTATAAGATACAACCAAGACCACAACTCCCATGATTCCACACTCAGTCACTGTATTATCAAAGTACGCCTTTGTTTATTGTGAATATGCGCCCTCTAGTGGCAAAAATTACATACTGTGACTATAATCCTTTCACGCATATGATCATACCAGTGTGATCAGCCATGGCTGGCCCCTAAAGCGTACAATCACACAGGTGTGATTAGAATGTTTGGAGTGCACGTTATCAACTGGTTCAATTCAAATCTGACAGCTTTTAGATTTTTAAAATACACGTGGATGTCTTTGGTGACGGTAATAGTAATTATTTTTAAATATAACTAGATGATATGCTTTATTCAACCAAGTCACACACTCTTAATGTTACTAGAATATCTTCTCTATTCCTCTCTCAGATAAACAGTTACTTACAATTATTTCAGAAGAAAATGATGAATAATGGGTCACGTGATAAACTTGACATATCTCCATGAGAACTTTAGAACACAATGCTTTCTAAATACCAGTCATAATAAAAAAATAAAATAAAAAAACTCACAGGAGTATTTAAAAATCACATGTGAAAAGGTAAAACCATGGACTGTAAAATATATGGACGTAGTATCCGTGATGTCACCCATAGGTTTCTAAAGAGCGCAAAAGAAGCCACAAGTAGGTGCGGCCAACCGTAGCCATTTTGTTCGCGCGTCATCACACCCACGGCGGGATACCAAACAAGGGCAAAGAGGCGGAGAGTGAGCGGAGCTACAGACACCTGCTGGCATTTTGCTTAGACCTGGATCAGACACACTTTACTTTGGGAAAACGCTTAATACTTTATCACCTGTGACTCGTTTGTATTCTGACCACTTGTGCTTGGTTGTATACTATATCAATAAAGTGTTTAGACTTTTAAAAACACTGCTGTAATACATTGAGCCACTAAACATTTTTCTTATGACATTTTTCAACAGGAGGAAAACGTGAAATACTTCCAAACTCTTCAGATACAGTCTGTGTTAGTTAATGTAAGACTATTGATGAAATCCAGCATAACACTGTATGACATCACTTTAGATGACGGTTCTAGAGCCTACAGCTAATCAATTCGTCAGATTCTGGAGTGCATTACAGCTCTAAATATAAATATAAACGATAAATGATCTTAAATAAAACAAATACATGTATAGAGATGGTATATATAAGTATATAACTTTACTCACATGGGAAACAGAGGGCCACGTGAATGGTTTGTGAGCACAATTAAGTGCACTCAGCATGCCATGCCATCTAATAATTGTAGGAAACAAGTCCAAAAGGCAGTTGACTGCGTAAAGCCACATTAAACAACACATAAATACGATAAATATGTCGAGTTCAGTGGCTAATCTGCAGGATTCAGCTGAGGTGATGTGACGGCGACCAGCGAGACCTAGCTGTCACTCAAGTGGCCACTCCCTTAATTATGCAAACTTAATATAACTTAATATAAAGGAAACGGATGAGTTATAAAAAAATTCACCCCCCTCACAGTTGTCATGAAGGGTAATATTAGCTGTATTAACCAAAATCTTTTTTTGTTCCAGGCTGTAAACACCCTTTTTTTCTGCTGTAAAGTTGGCCATTCTAACAGTGGGCTCAATTGAAATTTGCTCTGTTTTGGAGCCAGGAGCGGCCAGGACTGGCGGAATTTCGGATGAATTGCAGTTTTAGTTACTTCCATATTGGCTTCCTGAGGGAGAGCGGGAGGTTGCCGCTTGGGTAAAACCTGATCTGTGAAACCAAAGGGCAAATTCTCCAACAAAGGGCCATAGGGAATATGTGCCCAAGACTACATATTTGAGAATTTTGTACCCGGGCCACCATGGTATGGATGCATTCTGTGTGTAAAATGAATGTTACAAGGTGCTATGATGTATCTCCAATGTGCCTGGTTTTAAAATCTCTTACCGTGCAGGGTCCTGTGGGCAGCAGAAATGGAGGAAGAACTGTAGTTATTCCTGCTGTCTCAGGAGAAGGAGATGGAGAAGGAATTATGATCTCAGAAGTTGTCGGCACCGCTGCCGTTGTAGTTGAAGGCTCCTCGGTTGTGGGCGAGACAGATGTGGACTCTGTGGTGATCACTGTGGTCGTACTTTCTAAAGTTGTGCTCTCTGTTGTGATGACAGTGGTGGTTGTAATTGGCTGGACTGTGGTCGTCGGAGAGGTTGTTTCAGGTTTGGTTGTGGCTTCAGATGTGGTTGTCATTTCTGTGGTGGATGTAGATGATGGTAAAGTTGTAGTAATAGGTGTGGTGGGTTTAGCTGTAGTGGGTGTGGCTGATGTGGTGGGCGGGGCAGTGGTGATTAGAGGAGGCTCTGTGGTTGGAGAGGACGTTGTGGGCGTTTCTGTTGAAGTGGTTGTTTCTGTTGTTGACGACACTGTGGTTGGGGGTAATGTGGTTGTAGTCGGGCTGACTATTAAAACAGCTGCTTCTGAAGGTGTAGTTATGATTGTAGTACTGGAAGTTGTGGTTGGAGCTGTGCTTGGTGTTGCTGTCGTGGTGGAAGGAGTCGTTGTGGTTGAAGTTGTGGTTGTAGGTGCTGTGGTTGGAGCCGCCGTGGTGCGATTTGATCGGGTTACAAACATGTAAGGAGTTGGTGTTGGAGAAAGCATCACACCTGTGACAATAATAATACAATAATGAATGTTTTAATTAATATTATAGAAATTCTAAATATTAACCAAATATTATGTTTACTAAATATTACAATTACAATAAATAACATCTAAAAATAAATTAAATTAAATTAATCATTATTATGTTTACTAAATAATATAACAGTGAATACTATTGTACTGTAAAATAAAATAAAATAAAAATATTACAATTAATATTATAACAATTACATTGAATACGAACGGACTGTAAAACAGAAGGTTCACAGGAGGAAATAAAATAAAATAAAATAAAATAAATTAAATTAAATTAATACATAAATTTAATTAATTAAAATTAAATTAAATAACCATTATTATGTCTACTAAATATTATAATTACAATAAATACTATAGTAAAATAAAATAAAATTAAATTAAATTAAAAATTAAATTCAATTACAATCATCATTATTGTTATATTGTAAATATTACAATTACAATGAATACTATCGTACTGTAAAATAAAATAAAATGAAAATGAAAATTGGTGGTTCACAGAAGTAAATAAAATAAAATAAAATTTATTTAAAATAAAATAAAATAATCATTACGTTTACTAAATATTACAATTACAATGAATACTATTGTACTGTAAAATAAAATACAATAAAATAAAAATTGGTGGTTTACAGTAGTAAATAAAATAAAATAATCATCTTTATTAAATATTACAATTACAATGAATACTATCGTACTGTAAAATAAAATAAAATAAAAATGGATAGTGAGTAAAAATAAAATAGAATGATTAAAAATTAAATTAAAAATTTAATTTAATTAAATAATTATCAAATATTTAAATGAACTGGATGCAAACTATGGTTTCATACGTACAATCTTCTTTGTACACACACCGCCTGGTCACTTCATCCAGCAACATGGTCTTAGGACATCGTGGAAAACAGCCCTCAACCCTAAGCCACATCAGGGAATGAAAGAGTGCGAGTATAAATCTCCTAATACTCCTGATTATCAAAAATTGTCCTTCTGGATTTTTAAGTTAAATATTCCAATTTTGTACAGCCTTTGTACTGTATAATTGCCATGTATTATCACAGTAGCAGTGTCAGTCATCATATATATATATAATTGCTCTACTTGTCATGAACTGATTTCTCACTCAATTTTTGTTTAAGCATGGGCAATTGATTGTTGATAAATAAAACCTTCAGAAGTATAATGTCCCTGCTCAGTTGATTTATACAGAACTGTTGAATTGATCTAAATCTTATTCATTCATTTATTAATTATTAATTTATTTATCATCCATTATTTATCAGAGATCGCCACAGCGGAATGAACCACCAACTATTTCAGCTTACTCTGCTTTTTTCAGCACAAAAGTAATTTAGTTACTGGTTACTTTCTAACTAATTACACCAAACACTACACGGTACATGCTGATGCGAGATCTTACGGAGGTAGAAAATGGCAACGTGTGGCATCGAGGTCGCTGCAGGTCTTCACACACGGACTGGAGCATGCGTGATATTTCCACTCGCACATCAAGCGGTATGGGATCACAAAACTGCTCTCTAAAATACAGGAACACAAGCACCGAAAACAGACTCAGAAAAAGTGCAGCAACATTATGGAAAACAACTCAAATAAGACATAAAATACTTTTAGAGCTATTCACCTTTTATCGAATAACACCACTATTAACATTTTACTAAGATGTACAACTACTAAATAAATGCAGCAAATTCTTGCCTTCGATGATGAAGCTGCTGCTGGTTTTAAAGGCGTGTGTGTGATCATAATTCTGCGCTCGGGCCTGAGTGTGTGTAAGGGTGATGAAAACCCCCTTCTGACTGTGCAGCTCAAAGGAGGATCTTCCTGGAAGCCACAGGCCCTGGTGGTGGAGGAAAGTGGCCCGCCGTCTGAACTCTTCTCCAGGCTGCCAGTGCTCCAGTCGCAGCCCGCGGTTCACAGTTACACACAGGAAGTAGTTTGGCCTTTCTGCAGACTCCAGTGAGACAACAGGAAGTCCTGAACAGCAAAATATCAGTAGATACAGCTATTCAGCCTGAAAAGGTAATATATTATATAACAGAATGCATCAAGAAGCAAAGAAATTGTATTGGTAAACTATTTGTAACTATTGGGGATGGCCGATTTTGTTGAATCAAGATTCTTTGGATTCATTTTTAATGCCTCCTCCTTCATTTTACAGTAGACATGATCATTAATGTTCATGTCTGGTGACTGGGCTGGCCAATCCTGGAGAGCCTAGAACTTCTTTGCTGTAAGGAACTTTGATGTGGAGTCTGAATGGGCTTAAATGGCATAAATGTCTTGATATCTCCATCTGTTGATGTTGCCATTAACTCTGCAGATCTCTAGCACGCCCTCATACTGAATGTAACCCCAAACCATGATTTTTCCTTCACCAAACTTGACTGATGGTTACAACTGGGATCGACGACAGGACTTTTGTCAGGTAGTGTATGGTTAGTTCTGATTGCATTTGTACTTTAAGACTTTTTAAGACCTTTTTAAGAACATTATGAATCAAATTTCTGACTTTTACAGGGCTAAATGCTAAGGATTTACATACAGTTGAAGTCAGAATTATTAGCCCTCCTAAATTATTACACCGCTTTTTAATTTTTTTCCCCAATGTCTGTTTAACGGAGAGAAGATATTTTCAACACATTTCCAAAAAATAGTTTTAATAACTAATTTCTAATAACATAATATTTCACTTTTATTCAGCTTAAAGTGACATTTAAAGGCTTAACTAGGTTAATTAGGTTAACTAGGCAGGTTAGGGTAATTACCGTAGGCAAGTTATTGTATAACAATCTTTTCTTCTGTAGACAGTCGAGAAAAAATATAGCTTAAAGGGGCTAATAATTTCGTCCCTAAAATGGTGTTTAAAAAATTAAAAACTGCTTTTATTCTATCTGAAATAAAACAACTTTTTTTTCTCTAGAAGAAAAAATATTATCAGACATACTGTGTAAACTTCCTTACTGATTAAGCATCATTTGGGAAATTTTTAAAAAGAAGAAAACTATTAAAAGGGGGGCTAATAATTCGGACTTTAACTGTACATGCACGTTTCTTCATGGTTTAAAAACTATAATAAACAAAATGTACAACAGTCTGTCCAGGTCAGAAACCTTAGGTAGTTATACATTCATGGATAACTTTTAAAGAAGTGTTTTTGCAAGGCAGAAAAGTGCTCACGTGAGGCCCTGTCCTTGAACAGTCCAGTTGTCATCATAAAGTGGAAAATGGTGCTGGGTTGAGCGTTGGTCTTCAGGAGGGGAAACACTTCACCGCTGCTTACGTTTGCCCCAAACACACAGACGGAGTTATTCTGCTCTGCGCTGGACAGAGTTAACGGACCCTCGCCCAACTCTACACTCACACACACACAAACATTAACACATTAAACAAGCAGAGATCTTCTGCTGCTTACAAGTGTGTTAATGAACAGGAGAAAAAAATCTCATACCTTGGTTGTAATATTCACAATCATATGCTGTCAAAAGAGAAAATATTCATATATATAAGCAGCGGTTATTTCATGTTAAATTTACATCTGAGCAATTGCCAGATTTTATTTGAAGCGACTTACAAATGAGGACAATAGAAGCAACCACAGCATCAACAAAATAAAAATAAGCATTATCCAAATGCACTATACAATTATATATTGTAATTATTAGGTCAAATAAATGTTTTAATACATTTTGTTATTATTTAAAATAATTTGTCTTTTAACACTAACATGTGTATGTATGTATACACAAACACACACACACACACACACACACACATATACATACAGTATATGTGCATGTTTGTGTGTATGTACTGCATGTATGTTTGTGTGTTGGCAAATCTGCATCTGAAACAGATCATAGAATCAGGATGGGGTCAAAGTGGTTTCAATAAATAGTGGGATTAGTGATACAGATTTATTGATCACATTGTAATTAAGTTTTTTTTTAAATCTGCAATCATTTCAAATATACCAAAGTAATTTGATCACCTATTATTTTACTAAATACTGGCCACTTTATTAAGTACACCTAAATAGTTTAGGGTTTGTACCCTCTTTTGCCTTCAGAACTGCCTTAGTCCTTCGTGGCATAAATTCAACAAGGTACTGGAAATATTCCTCAAAGATTTTGGTCCATATCAACATGAGAGCATCATGTAGTTGCTGCAGATTTGTCGGCTGCACATCCATGATGCGAATCTCCCGTTCCACCACATCTCAAAGGTGCTCTATTGGATTTAGATATGGTGACTGTGGAGGCCACTTGAGAATAGTGAACTCATTGTCATGTTCAAAAAAATCAGTCTGAGATGATTCTGGCTTTATGACATGATGTGTTATGCTGCTGTAAGTGGCCTTTAAAAGATGGGTCCACTGTGGTCATAAAGGGATGGACATGGTAATAATACTCAGGTAGACCATGGCATAAACACGATGCTCAATTTGTTCTAATGGGCCAAAAGTGTGCCAAGAATATATCCCTAATACCATTACACCCCCACCACCAGCCTGAACCGTTGATGCAAGGCAGGAAAGATCCATGCTTTCAAGTTGTTGATGCAATGTTCTGACCCTCATACTATGCTCATCAGACCAGGCAAAGTTTTTCCAATCTTCTTTTGTCCAGTTTTGATGAGCCTTTGCGAATTGTAGCCTCAATTTCCTGTTCTTAGCTGACAGGAGTGGCACCCGGTGTGGTCTTCTGCTGCTGTAGCCCATCTGCCTCAAGGTTGGACATGTTGCTCGTTCAGAAATGCTCTTCTGCATACCTCTGTCCTGAGTCTGGCCATTCTTTTCTGACCTCTGGCATTAACAAGGCATTTGCGCCCACAGAACTGCCGCTCACTGGATATTTTCTATTTTTTGGACCATTCTCTGTAAACCCTAGTGATGGTTGTGCATGAAAATCCCAGTAGATCAGCAGTTTCTGTAAAACTCGGACCAGCCTATCTGGCATCAACAACCATAACACGTTCAAAGTCACTTAAATCACCTTTCTCCCTCATTCTGATGCTCTGTTTGAACTGCAGCAGTTCGTCTTGATCGTGTCTACATGCCTAAATGCATTGAGTTGCTGCCATGTGATTGGCAGATTAGAAATTTGCGTTAACAAGCATTTGGACAGATGTACCTAATAAAGTGGCCGGTGAGTGTAATGTGACACCAAAATAGGAAATCTTATCTTTGACTCATAAACAGATGCTGACAGCAAACAGGGACGTTTTGAAAAAAAGTTCATGCTGGATTTGTTTTGTATTAGAAATGTCAGTTCAATCATGTGTAACTGTCTCTGTGTAAACTTCATCGTGTGTGTTTCCTTGTACTCACGGCACACAGTAGGAGATCTCCAGTTCACTGTGACGCCATTCTGACAGCATTTGTGTGCGTACGCTGCAATACTGGTACACAAACATTCACAGTCTCCTCCACGGTTGCAGTTGCAGGTGTCTGTTAGACAGTTCTTATAAAACCAGGTCACATCCACCTGTGGGAACACAGATAGTAGTTACACACAATACAGGGTTATCTATAGTAAGACCCTAATAAACTTGTGACAAACATACAATCGATCAAGCAACAAACTCAGACCAATTGCTTTTCACCTGAAAGAGCTTAAGAAAAGAGATAGTTCACACACAGGAAAAAATGTACACACCAAAAGAGACATTTTGATTGACGAGTGCTTGTAGCTGGCACCCATTGACTTCCATAGAAATTTTGTTACATACTATGGACATTGATGGGTGCCAGCAGCCAACATTCTTCAAAATATCTTCTTTTGTGTTCAACAGTAGTTATGTTTGATGTTTTCTTTCAGTCTATTTTTTTCACCCTCCTCTCCGCTTGCTCAGCCCTAAGGTTTCTTTTAGGTTCATCATCTGTCCATCATCATTATGACGGTGTCGGTTCCACCGATCTCCACACGAGCCGCAAAGATTTGAAGTCCCGACAGACCAGTGTGTTGTGTGCGCTCTTCCTCAGTGTAACTTTTGTTCTCCATGCAATTTGTTTGTGATTTGCTTAGGCTGTTTCGTGATTTATTATCCCAGTTTACTGTGAAAAGTCAAAAAAGTTCAATATTTCGTGAGGGGGGATGGATTATGAGGTAATCTTCATTTTGGGTGAACTGTCCCTTTAATGGTGGAATGTTCTAGATTTTTAATCCTACACAGCCCTCTAGTGGAGAGATTGTGAACTGCAAAGCATCTCAAATCTCAGGTACTATCAGTTAGTTCATCACAGACAGGCAGTGTGTGTGTGTGTGTGTGTAACCGAAAACAAGATTATTTAGCGTACTTCGTTGGTGGGTTTTTAGCTTGCTTTAAGGCAAAACTCAATTAATTTATGACTTATTATTTCTGAAAAAAAACATTTTTTTTTTTACTTGTCTAGAAAATGCTTCTTGATTTAAGAATATTTAAATATTTGGACTAGAAACAAGACAAAAATCTCCAAGTAGGAAAAGCTGTTTTTGCAAAGCATCTCATATGTGTATGTGTTAGACCTGTGTGTGGCTGTGGGTAAGACGTGGCCTTTTTATCTATAGGCCAAGTGTGTTGTTAAGCCTTAGAGGAACGAGCTGCTCACCACATTGTGACATGGAGCGAATATGTCACTGTAGAGAAGGCCACACTCGCGTTTAGCATACGGCTGTCGGCTGAGATCTCCTTCACATGGTCTGTGCACTACAAAATCACTTTCACACTGCACACACACACACACAACATAAAAATGTATTAATTTAGTTGATCTAGTTTTCTTTCTGTTAGTTTTTGGTATTTCTCAATACTATAAGATACTTATACAGCCTTTATTAATCATAGTTCAGCATTTATTAATGACTCATTAAAACCCAAATTCAACATTTGTTATCGCACTCGGAGTTAACATAAACTAACAATGAACAACTGTATTGTCATTAACTAACGGTAACTAACATGAACAAATACTGTAATATGTATTGTTCATTATTTGTTCATGTTAGCAAAAGCATTAACCAATATTAACTAATAGTACAACCTTATTGTAAAGTGTTATCGTAAAATCAATATACTTGTTATTTTTCCAACCCCTTAATTTACATTTAGCAAACCCCAGTCTCAGTATGAGTTTGAGCGGCATATATACCAAAGGTAGACGCCATACCTGTCCAACAGCCCAGCTGTCTCCAAATGCCTGTGCGTTACTGACCTCCATATGTCCAGCTGTGGTCATGTCATTTACTGTTACCATATCAAAGTTCCCACACAAGCCACTCATCTGACCCTAAAAACACAAATCCCACTATAATATAAGATACAGCATAGCATTAACCCTCCTGTTGACTTAGGAGGGCAGCAGCAGAAAAAAAACCTAAACAATGCTTCAACTTAAATTTTGAATGACCCTAACATTAGAATAAACAAATAATTTTATTTTGTTCATATTTTTATGAAGGCTCTACACATTTAGCGTATAACAGTTGTCATTTGGGTCAATTTTGACAAGCCAGCTATAAAACTATTAGTCATTCATTTATTCATTTTCTTAGTCCCTTTATTAATCCGGGGTTAATACAAGACAACTAAAATGAAAGTACAAACATAAATAAATATGTACCCTCCTATCTAGTACTGTGAAAAGGCAAAGTCGGCCACAATGAAAATTGCGTGTTGATATTTTAGCTGAGGAAGTCTATGGTTAAAGCGCCACCCAGTGGTCAAAAGCTGCAGGCGCATTTTGCAGATATTACCCGCTGCAGCAGAGGGAACATATTGAACTGTTACCATCTGTGTACACACTCCAACACATACATCCCTCAAGCACACACAATAAGAATCTGCTGCTTTAAATTTTATAAATACTGCCTGGCTAAAAACATTTTACATGTATGCAGTTTCTTTTAGCATTAGAAAACGTACAATTTACTTTAGCCAGAAATGAGTGGAGCTCAATGATTAAACACTGATGAAAAACTCCACAACGATGAGGGAAAACCTAGACATACGCAGAGTTTGTCATAAAGATGATTATGTTTGTTCATGCAAAGTTGATTTCATTCATTCATCTTCCTTCGGATTAGTCCCTTATTTAACAGTGGTGACCACAGCCGAATGAACCGTCAACTACTCCGGCATATGATTTACACAGCGGATACCCTTCCAGCTGCAACCCAGTTCTGGATAACACCCATGCACTAGTGCATTCATACACACAATCATACACTATGGCCAATTTTAATTTATTCAATTCACCTACACCGCGTGTCTTTGTATTGTGGCAGAAACCAAAAAACCTGGAGAAAACCCATGCCAACACAAAAAGAACATGCAAACTTCACACAGAAATGGCAACTCGGGACTCGAAACAGCGACCTTGCTGTGAGGCAACAGTGCTAACCACTGAATCACCGTGCCCCCTCAAAATAGATTTGAGGATTGATATTAAATTTAGATGGTTTATTTTACAGGTTTAGTAAAGGCAGCTATTTTTTGACTTGATGTTTGTATACAGAATTCTAGGACAACAGGAGAGTTTAATACAGCTGATTCACAAAGAGCAACCTCTGACCTTCCACTGGGGTCCAGCACGAATATGGACAGTTGTCTTACGGTCCCACAAAACGGTCAGATCTTGAGCAGGAAAGTGGACCACGGTGTAATATCCCGCACCCCACAGCTGAAACTCATAACCTCTGCCCACAACAGTGGAGGAGCTCTGGAGGAGAAACCCAGAAAAAATTATTCAAATCAAACAATCATTACAGGAAACACAGATCTCAAGAATTTTAGCACAATTTCTGTCATGCATATACAGTTGAAGACAAAATTATTCGCCCTCTTGTGATTACGTTATCTTAAAGACACAGCAATAGCGCCAGATGCAGCACATTGAATAAATGGCACCAGGTTAAACTTTCTGACACATTTACTGCACTCATGTACATTAAAAAATAAAAACTGAACATGGAGGATAGACTCTGAGTGGTGTTCTCCAAACGTAAACAATAATTAGACTTGGGCCTATGTGTGCATCGTTGTGTGCAAGGATTATATATCTATAACCACCTCAAAGAATATTGGGGGTCGCGAGTCACTGGCATTGTTATTTTGGGGGTCATGAGCTGAAAAATTTCGGAACCCCTGGTCTACAGAACAGATCACTTTTATACAATCACTTGCCTATTTACTGTACCCTAACTTGCCTATTTAATCTAGTTAAGCCTTTAAAATGTCAATTTCAGCTGAATGCTAGTATCTTGAAAAATATCTAGTAAAACATTATTTACTGTCATCATGGCAATGAGAAAAGAAATTAGTTATTAGAAATGAGTTATTAAAACTATTAAGTTTAGAAATGTGCTGAAAAAAAAGTCTTTTCATTAATCAAAAAACAAAATTATATATTTGAGGGGGGCTAATAATTGTGACTTCAACTGTATGTGACCCTGCACCACAAATCCAGTCATAAGTCATTGATCCAATCATCTGAAAGTTGAATAAACAATTTGTCCATACACAATATGTGGCAGAGTTACAACTATTTGAAAATGTAGAATCTGGGGGTAAAAAAGAACTCAACATATTGAAAAAAACATAATAAATAAATAAATAAATAAATAAATTGGGCAGCATGGTGGTGCAGTGGATAGCACGTTTGCCTTACAGCAAGAAGGCCGCTGATTCGAGCCCCGGCTGGTTCAGTTGGCATTTCTGTGTGGCGTTTGCATGTTCCAGTTTCCCCCACAAGTCCAAAGACATGCACAATAGGTGAACTGGGTAGGCTAAACTGTCCGTAGTGTATGTGTGTGAATGAGAGTGTATGGATGCTTCCCAGTGATGGGTTGCAGCTGGAAGGGCATCCGCTGCGTAAAACATATGCTGTATAAGTTGGCCGTTCATTCCGCTGTAGCGACCCCAGATTAATAAATGGACTAAGCCAAAATGAAAATGAATAAATGAATGAATGAATAATAATAAAAAATAATAATAAATAAATAATAAAAATTGCATTAAAAGTTTAGTTGAAATCTGAAGTTTTGATATATTTACAGTTGAAAATTTACTAAATATCTTCATGGGACATCATCTTTACTTAATATTACAATGGTTTTTGCCATAAAAAAAGATAAATCTTTTTGGCTATTTCCGAAAATATACCCATGCAACTCAATACTGAATTTGTGGTCCAGGGTCAGATATAAGAAGATTTGGTAACACTTTATAATAACTACACACTATAAATCATTTATTAAGCATTAGCAAATAGTGAATTCATTATCTGTTAAGCATTAACTCTACATTAATAAGCGTTAGTAAGCTGTTTATAACTGCAGCTACAAATGCCTTATTCTTGACTTCTAAGCACCTATATAATGTTAAATAATTGTATTTTCATACTTAGTTAATGATTTATTTTTCATTACTAAATTAAATATCAAATTATTTACAAACCATTTGTAGTTGAGGGTTTTAAGATCATTCAGAATGAGTTAGTAAATGATTAATAAACTATTGAAATCAACATTTATATATCTTATTAATCATGCATATATTAATAGTAATAACATATATTAATCAAAAGTGAGGACTATTCATGCTTTATAAATCCCTTATAAATGACTATTACAGGCTCAGAATCAAATGAACAAAACATCTTTGCAATTTTTTCTAAAAAGTACAATTTTGATAAAGTTTAAACATTGCTGAATAACGGTAGTGTCAAAATACAACATCCAACTGGATAAAACAACAACATAGTAATTTAACATTATAATAAGATGCAATGTTTAAACTCTACAGTGATTTTATTTTAGATTAGGTTGCAAAGATTTATTTTTTATTTGAAATGAATGAATTGGACATTATAAAGGACGAATAAATGAATAGAAATTTTTTGTTTATCATTTAACTGAGCCTTTAGTTGTCATTTATAAGGGATTTATAAAGCATAAATAGTCTTCACTTTAGATTAGGTCACAAAACTAGATGAAGTTGAGTTAATAAAGCATTTATTACCATATTTAGTAACCATTAATATATGCCTGAATAATAAGATATATAAATGTTGATTTCAATAGTTTATTAATCATTTACTAACTCAGTCTGAATGATCCTAAAAACCTCAAATACTCTTAAATACAAATGGTTTGTAAATAATGCAATACTTCATTTAGTAATGAATAATAAATCATTAACAAAGTATGAAAATACGATTATTAAACACATTTTAAATATGTTTGTAAGTCAAGAATAGAGCATTTGTAGCTGCAGTTATAAACTGCTTACTAACGCTTATTAATGTAGAGTTAATGCTTAACAGATGATGATATCACTAGATGCTAATGCTTAATAAATGATTTATAGTGTGTAGTTATTATAAAGTGTTACTGAAGATTTACAGTTGGATACTCACAGGTTTACCAGAGTTATCACTGAAGTAGATTTTGGTGAGGCCAACGTAGATGAGCAGGTACTTCATGCAAACGATCCCACTTTCATAGCAATCTTTATTTTGAGCCATGATGGAAACCTCTGTATCACCAACACTCTACATGTGGACACAAGATTAACAGTGTACAATCAATATATTACACTATGTGCTCCAATTCAGACTCACAGCCTAGCCATTCCTCCATTATTCTTAAAATTTCACACCAGAATTGGTAAACTAAGCAACATTCAACCTCAAGCACCTTAGCTGCTCCCTCACCGCTTCGTCCACCCCACCAGACTTAAAACAAGCTAAATAATCTAAAAAAAACCTCTAAATTACTTCTGAGAAACAAAACAACACGTTTTGCTTGTCTAGAAAATGCTTCTTGATTTAAGAATTTGTAGATATTTGCAATGGAAACAAGACAAAAACTCTAAATAAGAAACGCATTTATTTAATTAATGCATTTCTGATGCATCTACGCCATGCCAGTATCACATTATTCCTATCGAAACCTAGTGTGTTGTTGTGAGTGTGTGTGTTCGTGTATATACGTGTGTGTGTGTGTGTGTGTGAGACTAAAGCCATTTTCTTTTAGTCGTGATGGAAAAGTCTGTCCCTGGAGTAGATCAGTAGACTCCTCAGAGAATCACTGGCCTTTAGGAGACACCAAAGTCTATTCACCTGCACCTTAAGCATACACACACACACACAGGCACACAAACCACACACACAAACTTGCATACACACTTTCTCAGTCATTAAGGGCAGTAGCGGGTAGCATTGCGTAGGCTGATAGGGAACAGATTGCTCTTTGTTAAGTGCGGCTCTTTGCTGAGTTTCTGTGCTGGGACTGACATTAACTCTGGCTCCATTACCGCAGTCCTGTTCTAATTAAAAATCCCCTCTGATTTTCCCAAGATTACAGGCGGTAGGAGCAGATCTCTTTTCCTTGCTACTTTATCCGTCCTTACTGAAGTCTGCAAAGTGGGAGAGCGCACACGCAAACACACTCTTTGGCCCTTCGTTAGACAAATTCTTGGGTTTAAAGGTGCAGCGATTTCTATTGGAGAAACATTCATTGTTAAAGGCATGCTGGTGAACGCTTCTACTTGGTCTTAAGACTGACACACAAAGCACACGAACGCCACTGTTTTACACAGAGATAGGCTTACTCTTATTGTTAAGCTTAGTCTCACAAAAAAACTATTATGGTCCAAGTGTGGATAGCATATAACAATTGATTTAATGCTTATATCTACAGTAGAGCATGGTCAACATTAATGCTACAGAAAATGTTTTCTGATCAAAATTCAGCTCGTAGCTTGGAGACATCCGAGCAAACAGTGGTTGAAATGAATTCCTTCAATTGGAGTTAGCATTAGCTGCCTGGTTGACTCATATGTAAGCCAACAATTCTTCCCAATTTACACGCATTTTTTCCACATTTAGATACACTCAGCGGCCACTTTATTAGGTACACCTGTCCAACTGCTCGTTAACACAAATTTCTAATTCACATGGCAGAAACTCAATGCATTTCGGCATGTAAACATAATCAAGACGATCTGCTGCAGGTTGAAAATGAGTATCAGAATGGGGAAGAAGGGTGATTTAAGTGACTTTGAATGTGGCATGGTTCTTGGTGCCAGATGGGCTGGTTTGAGTATTTCAGAAACTGCTGATCTACAGGGATTTTCAAACACAACCATCTCTAGATTTTACATTGAATGGTCCGAAATAGAGAAAATATCCAGTGAGTGGAAGTTCTGTGGGCGTAAATGCCTTGTTGATGCCAGAGTTCAGAGAAGAATGGCCAGACTGGTTCCAGCTGATAGAAAGGCAACAGTAACTCAAATAAGCACTCGTTACAACTGAGGTATACAGAGGAGCATCTCTGAATGCACAACACGTCCAACCTTGAGGCAGATGGGCTACAGCAGCAGAAGACCACACCGGGTGCCACTCCTGTTAGCTAATAACAGGAAACTGAGGCTGCAATTCACACAGGCTTACCAAAATTGGGCCCATTAGTCTCAATTGAGCATCGTGTCAATGCCACAGCCTACCCGAGTATTGTTGCTGACCATGTCCATCCAAATTTATGACCACAGTGTACCCATCTGCTACTTATAGCTACTTCCAGCAGGATAATGCCCCATGTCATAAAGCGCGAATCATCTCGGACTGATGTCTTTACTGTACTCAAATGCCCTCCACAGTCACCAGATGTCAATCCAATTGAGCACTTTTGGGATGTGTTGGAACGGGAGATTCGCATTATGGATGTGCAGAAGACAAATCTGCTCTCTAGTGATTAAAGTGCTTTTTATGGCACACATGAAATCAAAACTAATATTGATTCCGTTAGCTCACATTGCTAGTTTTGTAGTGAACGATTCACCTGTGCATGTCATTAAGAAAAATATTTAGTTTGCCCCTGTAATCTAGAAATTATATCTGAAAATGCACTTCCTGTTTGTTTTCAGGTAAATTCTCAGATTGTGTCTGTCTGAGGTATTGGGCGTGGCTAACATACTTAACCACGCCCCTCCGACTGTCCGTTTTAACTACAAACAGAAATGGTGAGGACGAGGAGTCTGTTATTGGTTGTATTAACCCTTCTAAGGGGCCGATCATACCGAACGCGCATTTACGTTCCAAATACGCGAGGCACACTGCACTGCCTTTTTGTTGACAAGAAATAAAGGAACGCGATGCGCTTTATGTCGCTAGGCAACGACTGAATCAGCTGGGTATTTTGCGACAGCGTAGCTGTTGATGTTAGTATAACTGTAATATCTAATAATATTGTGATATACAAGATTTGTGAAGTTATACAGCTCCGGATAACTCAGAACAGCAACCACAAGTCTTTCCTCCATCCTCAAAATTCTCCCTTGTTGTCTTGACAACATAAACACTGCAGGCACCTCAACGAAAACCGCGGCTCTGCTTTCATTTGATTGGAGAATGAAACAGATGCGATTGACATAACGCGCTTTTTCCATTGAGAGTGGGATTTTTTTTAACTGCGTGCGCACGACGCACAAGGGCAAAAACGCAAGGCGCAGCAGGTGGTGAAAACGCAAGGCAAAGGTGGTGCATAAGCAGTGCGCAAAACCCTCGCGGCCGTTAGTAAACCATTCAAAAAAGGCGCATCTTAATGCATAAAGCGCATTTATTGTGATCAGCCCCTAAATCCTGATCTTTCTGAATGAAATGCCTACTTTACTACATCCAATCAGCTCGCTGTAGAAAAACAAGCCACGCCCAGTCTTTTCATGTAAATACTCTTTCTTTATAAACTGCGTACGTAAAGAAAAAAATGGGTTGCAGCTTCCGGTTCATGTGGACTTTAAGTGCTTCATTCTCATTTGTAAGTCACTTTAGAAAAAAAGTGTCAGCTAAAAGAATACATGTAAATGTAAGTACTGCTTAATATGTCTTCTTTGATATGTAGAATATTTAAGCATTCTTAATCTAAATCACGGCAGTATACATCTATAAATTATGTAGGTTTCACATACATGCAGAAACTTACATGGACATACAAAGGCCGATCACACACACACGCACACGCACACGCACACACACACACACACTCGCGCACACACACAGCATGTACCTTGACCAGGTTGACCTGGCAGTCGCTCACATAATCATACTCCAGGCCATCAAATGTGTGGTAATGACGGTCACTGTATACGGTACACACTGCTGGACATGGGTAGTATGTGCAGTTGAAGAATCCACGATGACAAACACTGGAGAGGCAGAGAGACTAAATCAAACGTACATGCATACGCACATTACGCAGGTGATTGCACTTTTGAAATAAGTAGTATTCTGTTTCAAATATTGATCACATGATCAAGTTGAGGTGACCATGTGATCGATATGAATTTAATTATAATGCATAACTGTCACGATCTCCAGCGATTTAACCTTCATAGATTGCTGGAGAATACACACATTTACACAGACTACAATCCTGTCTTAATATGAACTAAAAGTCCTGTCATGCAACACACACACCTGCTCCAAGACTCACACAGGACTCCAAGACTCATGGACTGATTACACTACGTATATATATATATATATATATATATATATATATATATATATATATATATATATATATATATATATATATATATACACGGTTCACTTTGAGACTCTCATGGCTGAGTCTTCTGTAATGTGTCTGTATGTGGTGTCTATTATAAAACAGTCTGGCACAGATTCTCAAACAATATCAGGATATTAATTAATTTAAAAAGTCATAAAAATATATATCAATAAAGGAATATAATTATGAATAGAGGTGATTGTATAAATATGGAAAAATCTATAAAAACTGAAAAAAAAAGAAATTTCTGTACTGTCATCATGGCAAAGATAAAATACATCAGTTATTAGAAATGAGTTATTAAAACTATTATGTTTAGAAAGGTGAGTGGGCTTGACAAACCATCTGTAGGAACATACTCTTTCCTCTCTATGTACATGAGTGTGTGTGTGTGTGTGTGTGTGTGTACATATGCGCGTTAATATTCATTTAATCGTCCTAGAACTTTTTAAAACCTCCATTTTCTTAAATCACCTAAATATGTTTTGCTTAACAACTGTATATTTACTATTTATTAAATTTTTAATGTATGTTTGACAGATTTCACCCACATTTTAACTTGTTAATATTCATTTAATCCTCCTAAAACTTTTTTTGAAAACCTCTAATTTCTTAAATCAAACGTCCACAAATTGAAGGATCAAGCATTAACAGGAAACAGAATTATAAAAGCACCAAAGCGCACTGACCATCGGTAGCACGGCGTGTCCACTGTCTCCCCAGGGAGATACTCTAGACCGAGCCACGCACAGGGGCAGTTCTCTGGGTAATAACACTCTCCATTATGAACCACTAGCCTGCACCAATTAAAGAAGAAACGGTGTAACGTTACAGGCTCTGGTGTCAACAGACAAGCATACTTCCCAAAACATTTGTTCCTCAAGCAAAGATGAACACGATTACCCGGCTGGACATCCACATCCTGGTACACACGGGGTCATGGGAGGGCAGGTCAGGTTCAGCATCAGGTTTCGACAGGTCAGTTCACAGGCCAAACCGACACCTGAGGGTCCGCGGCCGCTCTGACCCCGACAGCTGTAGTACACTTTGCCATTGGGACAGTCTCCTCGCTCGGGCTCTGCAAAGGAAAAAAGAATGGGTGAATGAAAGCAGATTTTAAATCATTTTTAGGGTCAATATTATTAGTCCCCTTAATTACTTACTCCCAGGGCCATTTATATCGAAGTTGATCATTTTTAGTCCCCTATAACAATGTTTCTCAACCACGTTCCTGGAGGACCACCAACACTGCATGTTTTGGATGTATCACCCATCACAGGTCTTTCAGTCTCTGCTAATAAGCTGATGATCTGAATCGGGAGTGTTTTGTTTAAGGAGACCGGGAAAATGTGTAGTGCTGGTGGTCCTCCAGGAATGTGGTTGAGAAGCACTGCCCTATAAGATCCTTTTTTCAATTGTCTACAGAACAAATCACTCTTGTCCAATGACTAATCTTGTCTACTGAACCTAATTAATCAAGTTAAGCCTTGAAATTGCACTTTAAGCTGATATTTCAAAATAATCAGTAAGATATTACCGAAATTAGTTTTTAGAAATACCATGTTTAAAAATGTGTAAGAAAAAAAGTGTCCCTTCATTAAACATCACTTGGAAAATGTATTTTGTCTTACAACAAATAAAAAAATAAGTTGTAAATATACAGCTGTATGTATGTTTGACATATTTCATCCATATTTTAACTTGTTACTATTCATTTAATCGTTCTAAAACTATTTTCCTAAATCACCCAAGGTAATACTGATTAATAATAGTAGATTTTAAGAAAAGTATATTTTAATACATTATGACAACACATTTTATTAAATATAATAATGTAATAATGGGTTTACAACCCTGCTAATTGATCTGTGTCAAAAATGTCAACACCTATTTGTAGTATTTTGGACACAAGATATTACTCTTTGAGATTTTATTTTTTAAACTTTATCATCCATCAGGTGAAGATTATAAGATCACAAGATTATAAAATTAAATAAAATGTGTCAAATTGTTTTTAAAAAGGTATCAATCAATGAAAAGATTTAATCTAATTATTCAAATCATTTCATCTACACTGTAAAAAAAATCCGTAATTCACCCACCGTAAAATAACGGGTGTTAAATTACAGAAATTTACCGTAAAAATAAAGGATATTAAATTACTGAAATTTACCAGAAATTTAAGTTTAAGGACATTTCTATAATTTAATGTCCATTATTTTCTGGTTAATTTCCGTAATTTTAACGGCCATTATTGTACTTTTTTTTTCGGCACACCAGCTGCCGGAAATAAGCCGTAAAATAACTGATTTTTTTTTTTTTTACAGTTTAATTATTCAGGATTTAGCAGAGACATTTTTTTTAAATAGCTGTGGTCTAAAATTATTGTGACGGATTTTCTCCAAACTTATGGCATGATTTGCCTAAAATTGTAGTGTTTAGCTGTGTAAATACACAAAAACGTGATTACTAAAACACACACACACAATAAAACATTTGCAAAAGTCTTGTAAAAAGTGTCTTCTATAGATCTCAAGATGTATTGGACTGATTAATTACACAATGTGAACCTAATCAAACATGAATAAATTGCTAAAAAAAAAAATAAATAAAAAAAAAGAAATAGCCACCATTCATTCATTTTCCTTCAGCTTAGTCTCTATTTAAGAGGTCGCCACAGCGGATTGAACCGCCAACTATTCCAGCATGTGTTTTACGCATCAAAAGCCCTTCCAGCTGCAACCCAGTACTGGGAATTACCCAAACGCACTCACACACACATACACCATACTAATTTTTACAAATTTTGCAGAAATTTAAATTTAAGGAAATTTCTGTAATTTAATATCCTTTGTTTTACGGTAAATTTCTGTAATTTAAAGGCTGTTATTTCCCTTTTTTTTCTGCACCCCAGCTGCCGAAAATAAACCGTAAAATTATGGATTTCTTTTTACAGTGCATTCAATTGACAGCCCTTGTCTATGATTAACAATTTAGATGTTGATGTGTGCTCAGTGAGTTTAAACAAGTAATATTAGTGATTATCCTTAACTACCCAGTAATAATGATCAATTACAATTAGGGTTAACAATGCAACAAGTTGAGTTTGAATTGTTGAAAATCTTTTTTATTAAAAAAAAAAAATGAATTCACAAATACTAATAATATAGTCACCTAAATAAAAATTAAGATTTTAATTCACAGTCACGTCTGGCAGCTGAGTAATGTCTTTTGTCATTTGGCAAAAGTCTTAAAAAGTCAAATAGTCCAGAAAAAAAAAAAAAAAAAGAAAAAGTGGAATTTGCTATCTCCACCCCCGGGTCTCTCTCTTTCTTTTTGCATGTGTATCTGAAGTTCTGATCTGTCCAGCATTCAGTCCGCTCAATGCGTTACCTCTGAGGAATGTACTGCTGACCCTAAAGATGAAAACACTTTTTCCCCAGGAAGAGAAGTGTAAGAGACCGGGTAAATGGAGCAAAGAAAAAGTAAATAAAATAAAATAAAATAATAATAATGATGATACCTCTCTCCTCTGGCACACACTCCATACGCCCATTTCTGCAGAGACTACAAACAAACGAAACAGAAAAAAAATATTATAATCAATATTCAAAATTAATAAATAGAAAAACATTTACATTTAAGTTTTAAGGACATTTAAAAAGGCGTTTAGATTTGATTTGTTTTTGAAAGATTATTTAATCTAAAGCTACATTTTCAGCAGCTATTTGTCCAGTCTTCAATATCACATTCAGTGTCTTTCAGAAATCTTCCAAATTTGCTGATTTTGTAATGCAGAAATATTTCCTATTATAGTGAAATGTTAAAAAGCATTGATTCTAAAATAAAAATAAAATCAGTGGGTCATGAAATCAACGTTGAAAACAGTTGAAAACTGTGTTGAACCTGTAACAATGTACCTACACAAGAAGACATGATATGAATAAAAAAGCTAAAACTTACACTAAATAATGATTCTGTCTCCAGTGGATGTGCCACAATGCAAAATACTATTCTTTAACACAAAACACCAATGATTTACCAACATCTTGCAGCAGTCCAGACCTAACTACTTTGTGCCCCTTCACATAGTGCATCTTCTGCATGCTCAAGTTAGTTTTTTTTTTAAATGGAGACGTGCACAAATAGTGAGCCATGTGTACACGGTAGACTAATTACCTTAGATAAACGTAGAGCACACACACATTATGCTGCTTTTTCATTTTTTTTTTCATAATTAAAACTCATATCAGAGCTCCAGTAAGGGTTTGTCAGTGGTGCAATGGCAGCAATGACAGATACCATTGGAGCGCGAGCTCAGAAGTGACGTGCCCTACATTGTCCAGTTGATTTCATTGGGCGGCTCACACAGATTGCATTTTTCCTTTCTGCTACGTTTCTATTGTTTTTCAATGTAAGTGTAACGGAGGCCAGCTAGTAAGTGCTGTGCAAGTAAACCTCACTCCTCTGACCTCTAAAGGTGCTCTAGTGACAGAAGCTAGACACCATGGTCTTTAGCTTCCTTGGTAGAGCAACCGACTTCCATACGGAAGGTCAACGGTTTGATTCCGGCTCGGAGGTGGTTGGGTGTCGTGGGACCGACAAGGTTACATAAACACACACTGGATGAATGTTTGTGACCGTTATGCTCACATCTGGCATGTTTTGAAGCAGTGCACACTTTTTAGACGCGGTGTGAAAGTTCAAGCACTTTACAAGTCTAAAAACTGCGCGCCGTGGACAAATCAAAAGAGCTCGGAGACGGGGCATTGGAAGTTTTTTGTTTAATGGTGCTCAGTGGCTGTGTCCAGATACGCTCTTGATTTATGTCGCACTTTTTTCAAACTTTTCCAAACTGTTCGATGAGAAGGAGCCCTAACACGCGATATGTAAAAGACCCACTGATGCACTTACTTTTTGTACATTTCTTAGAACAAGAAAATCCTTAATGTGTACTAACTCACCATGGTCCAGAAGAGCTGAAGGACACTTCACCAGGCTGAAAAACTGAGCCCATGAAGTAACAGTGACACTGGGAGCTGAAAGGAGATGAACCCAGTTAGAAATCCAAAAAAAAAAAAAAAGACACTAGATGACGCTTTGTAACACTTTTTACCGCTAAATGGTTTACAACACTTCATTGCACTTCACTGGAAGGCACTAAGTGTAAAGAGGTGGCTTAAAGAAATAGTGTGCCCAAAACGAAAATGTACTCACTATTTACTCACCTTAAATTAGTTTCTAGCCATTCTGAGTTGTTTTTGTGTTGAACACATATTTATTAGATATTTTAAAGAAAAGAAAAACAAATACCATGGAAGTCAATGGTTACAGATTTCCAACATTCTTCAAAATATCTTCTTTTTTGTTTAGCAGAAGGAAAACACTCATGAAGGTTTTAAACAAGCACAAAGTAAGTAAATGACAGACTTTCACTTTTGGGTGAACTGTCCCTTTAAGGCAGGGGTGTCCAAAGGAGGCCCGATGTCCTGCAGATTTTAGCTCCAACTTGCCTCAACACACCTGCAAGGATGTTTCTAGAAAGCCTTGTAAGAGGTCGATTAGCTAGCCCAGGTGTGTCTGATTAGGGTTGGAACTAAACTTTGCAGGACACCGGCCCTCCAGGACCGAGTTTAGACCTGCCTGCTTTAAGGAAATGGCATTAAATGTGACTAGAGAAAATAACCTTTATTATTAACAGATGTATGCTGTTGTTTTTGAAGACGCTTGGAACACTTTTATGGTTTTTTTTCCAGAAAAATAAAATGATGGGGATGCACTTGGTGATATAATAGAAGATATGTAGGTGAAAGATGGTGGACATGTTATGAAAAAGGAAGCCCTCATTCTTTGATTTTCTCATTTTTTTTATTCTATTTTATTTTATTTAGTATTTATTGTTGAGTCTTTGTGTTTGGCATATTTTCCTTTGGAATTAATAAAGTAAGGAAGCGTCAGTCCGACAGTTTATAAATACAGCTAAGAATGCTGCATTCCTGACTTTCCATATAAAATGTGCTTACTGATAGCATTTTCATACTTTATTAATGATTCATTTATGATTTAACACGCATAGTGCGGGCTTTAAATTAGGTCACAAAACTGAATGAAGTTGAGTTAATAAAGCATTTATTACATACAAAGTAAAGATTACTATATGCCTAAATAATAAGATATATAAATGTTAATTTGAATAGTTTAGTAATCATTTGCTTACGCATTCTGAATGATCTTAAAACCATCAACTATTCGGTAACACTTTATTTTGATAGTCCATTTGAGTATTAGTAGACTGTCTGCTTAATATCTGTTGACGCTGCTCCTTCAACAGATATTTAACTAACTATAAGAAACTTTGCAAGTACATGTCAACTCACACTAACCTTAACCTAAGTCTACTTAAAATCTAATGAGAATTAGTTGGCATGTAGATGCAATTAACTTAAATTCCACAAACGGACCATCAAAATATAGTGTGACCAACTACTCTTAAATAACTTGTTTGTAAATACACTACCTGACAAAAATCTTGTCGTCGATCCTAGTTGTAAGAGCAACAAATAATAACTTGACTTCTAGTTGATCGTTTGGAAAAGTGGCAGAAGGTAGATTTTTCTGATGAATCATCTGTTGAGCTGCATCCCAATCATCACAATTACTGCAGAAGACCTATTGGAACTCGCATGGACCCAAGATTCTCAGAAATCAGTCAAGTTTGGTGAAGGAAAAATCATGGTTTAGGGTTACATTGAGTATGGGGGCCTGTGAGAGATCTGCAGAGTGGATGACAATAGCAACAGCCTGAGGTGTAAAGTCATTTGTGCTGCCCATCACATTACAAACCACCGGAGAGGGCAAACTCTTCAGTAGGATAGCGCTCCTTCCCATACTTCAGCCTCCACATCAAAGTTCCTGAAAGCAAAGACGGTCAAGGTGCTCCAAGATTGGCCAGCCCAGTTACCAGATCTGAACATTATTGAGAATGTTTGGAGTAAGATGGAGGAGGAGGCATTGAAGATGAACCCAAAGAATCTTGATGAACTCTGGGAGTTCTGCAAGAACGCTTTCTTTGCCATTCCAGATGACTTTAATGATAAGTTATTCGAGTCCGTGCAGTTATGTATGGATGCAGTCCTCCAAGCTCATGGGAGTCATGCACAATATTCATTCTATTTTCACTGCAGCATGACTTTATATTCTATACTGCACATTATTTCTGTTGAGTGAAAAGACTTTAGTCTAAGCAAAGTCAGACCTTACTGTCCTAATTAAATAATTAAGCATCAAGGCATGATCATATTTCCTTTTGCTAAAATAAGCGTAATCTAGAGGCCTTTGTCTTTCATATAAGCCACTTCTGAAACCAAATGATCAACTAGAAGTCAAGTTATTATTTGCTGTTCCTAAAACTTGGGTAGGCGACAAGCCTTTGTCAGGTAGTGTAATGTAAAACTTAATTTAGTAATGAAAACACAATCACAACATTTTGCATGCGCTTATAAGTCAAGATTACAGCATTTGTAGCTGTATTTATAAACAGTTTACTAATATTTATCAATGTAGAGTTAATGCTTAGCACATAATGAATTAGCTATTTGCTAATGCTTAAAAATGTTTCAGTGTGTAGTTATTATATAGTGTTACCATTGTTTTTTGTTATAAAAAGTTAAAAGAACTTTTAAATGTCACTATATATGCTAGAGATCAGAAATGTACGGTTGTTCGGTGTATTTAGACGTACAGCAGCACACATCGCTGGCGAGTGTGATCATAAAAAGTTCCTTCGGTGCAGCTGCATCCTTCAGCACAGTCTCCATCACACACTTCAGCACTACTGACGGACTGACACGTCCGCCCGCAGGCTGATGTACACGGGTGATACATCATCCCTCCTAAACACACCATACCTGCACACATAAACAATATAACAATGCAATATGACAATGTGTATTATGTGGACAACTTAAATAGTCTGTAGTTTCAAATGATACTCCAAACTGTATTTAGTAGTAGCGTCATGAGGGGGGGAAAAAGCAACGTTGAAAGCACGTTTACTTTTATATATATATATATATATACATATATATATACATATATATATATATATATATATATATATATATATATATATATATATATATGAATAACTATATATATATTTTTTAACTATATTTTTTTCTTTGTATGTTGGACCAGTAATCATTAGTTTTTAAAAAGTATTTTGTATTTTATCTGTATTGTTACTACCTTCTTGTTATGTTCGGGGCTGTTTTTGCCCCTTGGACTTCCATAATAATGACATTTTTTGATTGCAAAGCCATGACCCCATATAATCCCTGATGGAATGAGGTAAAATTTCTCATTTTTACTGTCAATCATCAGTTACCACCATTAACCCTTTAGATAGACCAGTGAAAAAAGTTTGTTTTTTATATGGAGTTCTATGGAGTAAAACAGCAGATTATAGAGTGTGTGCATAAATACATTTACTATGTTCTGAGAGCTGTGGGGCTTATTTTGATTGTCTCAAGGCAAGGCAAGGCAAGTTTATTTATATAGCACATTTCATACACAGTGGCAATTCAAATGCTTTACATAAACGGGAATAAAAAGACAAGTTTAGGAACATAAAATGCAGACAATAAAAATTATTAAAAACAGATAAAAACAAATTAAAATGAGGTTAAAATAGGTTATAAAAGAATGCAAAAGAAAACAAAAAACATGATAGTGCAATCTGTCGGACGCAGCACAATGCTCATACAGTAAAGTCACAGCTAAACAGATGTGTTTTCAGTCTTGATTTGAATGTGCCTAATGTTGGAGCACATCTGATCATTTCTGGAAGCTGATTCCAGCAGCGAGGGGCGTAGTGGCTGAAGGCGGATTCATCCTGCTTTGACTGAACTCTTGGAATTTCTAGTTTACAGTATATGATCCTAAAGATCTGAGTGATCTGTTGGGTTTGTATTCAGTGAGCATATCTGTAGTGTATTGAGGTCCTTGGCCATTTAGTGATTTATAGACCAGTAATAATACTTTAAAATCTATTCTGAATGTAACTGGGAGCCAGTATTGAGACCTGAGGACAGGTGTGATGTGCTCTGATTTCCTGCTTCTGCTCAGAATCCTGGCCGCAGCAGTCTCAGTCATATCAAGGCAAGTGTGCAAAGGTCTCTCTCTCTCTCTCTCTCTCTCTCTCTCTCTCTCTGACATGCACTACACTCCATATTAAAGCCAGAAACTATGCTTTTTTTGCACTGCAACTGTTGATCAACAGTAAAACTAGCTAATATGACCTCTTCCCAACAAGAAAAACCAGCAACAATCAAGAATGTATGATTACATGGTGTCATGGCTTTGCAATCCAAAAATGTCATTATAATGGAAGTCAATTGGGCAAAAACAGCCCTGAACATAATAAAAGGGTAGTAAACTGGCCCAGAGTCTATTGTTGAGTTTTTGAAAACTTGAAAAGCATTTTCCCAAAATATGTGTCAAAATATGTGTCCGCTAGCTGAAACACAGAGGAATCTGTGGCCAAATTAAGACTCAATCACCTCGGAGTGAATGAAAATATCCCCAAGAGCACACAGGGGTTAATATTTCTTTTGTATTCTTACATTTTTTTAATCAAATATTTGCCTAAACGTTATCATAAGAAAGTACATTTCTGAATATATACTTTAAAATTTAAAAAAGAAATAGTCCTTTATAATAATTATTATAGGTATTATTAATAATATACACAAAAAATTAAAATAAAATAAAATTAATAATGAAATAATTTGTTTATGAATAATACATTAATATTTTGAGAGTCGTGATTTCTTAAAGATCACTTCATAAACACACTAATGCCAAAGACACACAGACAGATGTATGGATGACCAACGAACCGCACTCAGAGACGTGTGCTCTGAAGTTGATGGTGACGTGGTGTTTGCTGCAGATGTAGGCGTAGTGGGACAGAGCCGTGCAGAGGCAGCTGCTGCCGCATCGACAGGCCTGGTAGCGGCACTGCTGGTGGTACATGCTGGGGCTAACATACGCATGACACGGTCTAAACACTTCCTCCAACAGCACATCACACTGGGCAGCATAAAACACTGGAAGAAAAAAATGATCAGCAACATAAAGGTGACAAAATTGTTCATTTATCAGGAATATTTGTCCAGTTTAAGTCAGACTTATTAGTCTTCCTAAATTATTAGCCCCCCTGTATATTTTTCCCCCAGGTGAAGTTTATTCATAAACAAATTTCGAGAGGATCATCGTGTGCTTATGATTGCTTGTGACTGGTCCCACATTATCCAATTTCTGATTCCCCAATCAGACGATTCTCAAGCCATTATAAATACCCTCAGTTCCATATGACAGCCATCTTCGTTTTGAAGAATCCCCTCTTCCACCCCTACTCCTCCTCCTTTCCTAGATGGTTGGCACAGTGGCCCAGTTGTTAGCACTGTTGCCTCATAGCAAGAACTTCACTGGTTCTAGTCCTTACCAAGTCAACCGACGCTTCTGTGCGGAGTTTACTAGTTCTCCCTGTGCTCAAACGGGTTTCCCCCGGGTTCACCAGTTTCCTCCCACAGTCCAAAAACATGCAACTTAAGTTAATTGACTAATCCAAATAGACATGCACCTAGTAAGTAGTTATCTCCTAAGAGCAATTACTATCTGTTCATTAGCTACTACAGCAAGGGAGTTCTCGAGATTTACCTTAGCTCCCCTCTCGTCTTGCGAACAGGAGGAAGCCCCAGGCTCGAGGATCTTTTGAGATCAGGGCTCTCTCTCTCTCAGCTTTTTTAAAACACATTTCTAAACATAAGTTTTAATAACTCATTCGTAATAACTGATTTCCTTTATCTTTGCCATGATGAATATTTTGCCAGAAATTTTTCAAGATGCTATTCAGCTAAAATGTGACATTTAAAGACTTGACTAGGTTAATTAGGCAAATTGTTGTACAAAGATGGTTTTTTCTGTATACAATCGAAAAAATAACGCTTAAGAGGGCTAATAATATTGACCTTTAATGTTTTTTTTATTCAAAACACCTTTTATTCTAGTCAAAATAAAAAAAATTAGACTTTTTCCAGAAGAAAAAATATCATCGCAAACACTGTGAAAAATTCTTCATTTTTCAGCAGCTCGTTTAAGCTTGTTTGGTTTGCTTTTGAAGGGTAGGTTTAATTGTGGGTTCAGGTATGAGTAATTATGAATGCAATTACAGATGTAATTACATGCAAATAATTCTGTAATATAAGAACAATGTACAGTGTCTTAGGGTTGCTAGGTTTACCGGTACTATGTTAGTATCGCGATACTACGGCATCAAAATACTGCCAGTGCCACTGTAATTTGTAAACGGTAGCATCGTCATTAACCGTCGATCTACGATACATAATGTTGTATGTGGAAAAGTCACTTTAACGCTCAAACGTTTGTGCAACAGTAGGCCGTTTTATTTGAATAGTCTGTGAAGTCCTTTAAGGTTGTAAAACTGTATAGAATTCATCACTTTTCACGGTAACCTGTTGCATGTTTTCTGAAGCTTCAGTTCAAACACACATCTGAATCAGTTAATTTCTGTTTATGTTGATATAATTTAATAGCAACAATCTCTTCAAAAGAACGACTCACAAAGTGAAATTTTGAATTACTTTGGATTTTTACCTGAGAAGATTGAGGAAAAAAAAACAATAGATGAAAAAAGAGCAACAGGAAACATTTAAACAATTTTTGACCCCTTTATATAGCCAAATTTTGTTGGAATTTTTTTTTTTTGTAACAAATTTTGTTCATTATAATTTGCATCTTTATTTCAATGTATTTTTTCTACAAAATAAACAAAAAGAACTAATGCATTTTAGGTGAAGTGACGTGGAAATACTTTTTCAGTAATAAGGGAATTATGAATTAAATTCAAGTAGACGTATTACAACATAAAAGTATTTCTGACAATTGTTTTTATTTTATAGATTTGAGTTGTGCATTGCAGTATCGCAATACCACTTGGTATAACGATTCTTCAGCTGGTATAGTATCGTAACATGAATTAATAGTATCTCGACATCCCTACTGTGTATAATGTAGTGAACTGTCCCTTTAAGAAATCCCAAACAGGTAAAAGTTTTAACTGGTAAACGAATATATATAATAGTTGGTCAAAATGATTAGCACTCCTGTGAATTTTTTTTTCTTTATCAAATATTTCACAAATGATGTTTAACAGAGCAAAGAATTTTACACAGTATTTCCATTAATATTTTTTCTTCTGTAGAAACTTTGATTTGTTTTATTACCGCTTTTTAAAATCATTTTAGGGTCAATAGCATGAGCCCCTTAACGATTGTGTACAGAACAAACCACTGTTATACAATGACTTGCCTAATTACCATAACTTGCCTAATTAACCTAGTTAAGGCTTTAAATGTCACTTTAAGCTGAAAACTCATATCTTGTAAAATATTTGGTAAAATATTATGTACTGTAATCAAGGCAAAGATAAAATAAATCAGTTATTAGAAATGAGTTATTAAAACTATTATGTTTAGAAACGTGTTGAAAAAAATCTTTCCGTTAAACAGAAATTAGGGGGAAAATATACAGAGGGGCTAATAATTCAGGAGGGCTAACAATCACTTAATGTCACTCAAAATAAAGCTTAAACAAAAACAATTCAGCGACTTTGGAGATTAGATCATAACAGGGGTTTTTAGATAAAGGTTTTTGCTTTGTGTCTCAACAATAATTGCTTCTTCTGGGCATCTTGTTGAAGACACAAATCAGCTCCCTCTCAGACTGAGGGTCAAAGTACTCTAGCTGTTTTTCACAGGCTGCCAATGCAGACAAAAGACTGGCATCATGAAAATGTGTAACAGACCGATGTAAAAGCATTACAAAAATTAAACTGGGTGGCACAGTGGCGCAGTAGGTAACGATGTCGCCTCATAGCAAGAAGGTTGCTGGTTTGAGCCTTGGCCGGGTCAGTTGGCATTTCTGTGTGGAGTTTGCATGTTCTCCCTGTGTTCTCCGGTTTATGCCACATTCCAAAGACATTTAGTAAAGGTGAATTGGTTAAGCTAAATTGTCCGTAGTTTATGTGTGTGATTGAGAGTGTATGGGTGTTTCCCAGTGATGGGTTGCAGCTGGAAGGGCATCCACTGCATAAAGCATAAGTTGGTGGTTCATTCTGCTGTGGTGACCTAATTTTAATAAACGTACTAAGTTGAAAAGAAAATGAATTAATTAATTAAAATGGAAATCTTGATGAAAGTTTCACCAGTTTAGAATCAGTTACTTACAACAATTTTGTTTATGTGCACTTTGTTGTTTAAAACTTACAGAGCTTTTACAAAAAGCTACAGTACACACAACATTCAAAACAGCATACTAATACATGCGCCCTGCTTTAACTAATAAGCAAAGTGATAGCGTTTACCATTTTGTTGGTTCATTTCACAGGGGTCAATGATAGGTATGTTGACAGGACTTATACATGCTGAAGACACTTTCCAGGCGTTGACGTGTAGCTGTGGAGTTCCTTCAATCATTCCAGCAGGAGAACTGGAGGAAAAACACACGTACAAACACACACTCGTTGTAATATAAGAAACAGCATAGTGATATTCAGAGAGATTTCAGAAATTCATTTAGATGTTTTCAGATGTTTCTCACACACATCGCTTCGTATCTTATCTATTATTTAATGTCATGTCAGCGTCATTGGCTATATTCATGGAAAAAAGGATTTAGAATAATACAAATATAATATATACAATTAAAAAATATTCAAACAAACTAATATTACATCAGATCTTTTACATTTTACATTATATGATAATATATATATATATATATATATATATATATATATATATATATATATATATATATATATATATATATATATATATATATATATATATATATATTAGAATAATGTATTAAGTGAGTTCACTCTATAAAAAAAGCATCCTACAAACATTAAAAGCAGGACACTCCAATAAAATATCTTTAACAGAGAAAAGAATCTTGCAAAACATGCATTTCTCACAGGAAATCATCCCGCAGGTTTCCATTGAGGGTCCCACAGAGGCCGAGTGTGGAGCCCATCCAGGTGCTGTCCAACTGAAGGTAGATCCGTCCACCCTGCCAGTCGTACTGAAACCTCAGGCCAAAGACCGACCGCAGACCCACAAACAGAGAGGTCAGTCGACGAACATTCACTGTCTCTAACAAACAAACAAGGAATAAAATTTTGGTTAGGAATAATTGATGACCGTCTTATTAGAAAATAATGCAAATAAAGTATTAAGGTGCCCATGATGCAAAGCGAAGTGTGCATTTTTGAGTGTGGATAACTTTCTATTAACAAACAATTTGTATGTTTTTTTTATTTTTTTTTTTACTTTTTTTTCCAAGTAATACAATAATTACTTTCCCTAGTAATTGGTTCCTTTTAAGACATAACTCAGTTAATAACTCAGTTTTTATCTGTGAGAAGTAACTAGTAACTTTTTCAAATACTTTCCAGATGATGTTTTAAGAAGCTAGGAGCCAAGGGTATTTTTAAGGCTTCCTGCAGCTCTCGGTATGCTTGTTTGGTTTGCTTTTAGTGCACAGCCAAATACAAGTGCTGATTTCATACCTCACCAAACCAACCCAACCAAAAGGGCAAACAAACTTTTGTAAGATGGCGATTTAACTACAGCAGTTCGAACTGTAGCTTGCCGAAATCAGCGTGATGGTGTAAAAAATTCTAGTCAAACCATCTTTTGCAATCTTATACGAACAGCAGATATAAATGCAGTTATTATATTTATGTGGGAAAGTGTTACTATTATGTTTCATATATATATATATATATATATATATATATATATATATATATATTTATTTATTTATTTATTTATTTATTTATTTATTTTTTTTGTCATATGGAGCAATTAAGTGTTATAGTTAAATCAATTTATTAGAAATTATTAGAAAATAACGCAAATAATGTATAAAGGTGCCCATGATCTAATAACGTATGTTTTTTTTTTACATTTTTCTTTTTAAAAGTAACATAATAGTTGCTTTCCCTAGTAATTAGTTACTTTTAATGATGTAATGAAGTTACTACTCTATTTGTGAGAAGTAACTAGTAACTATAACTTTTGTTTTTTTTAAGTCACAAGCCCTACAATACTATTAACAAAGGTTCCTAAATTCTACATATTAAGTGGGGAAAATAAGTATTAAACACATCATGTTTTTTCCTGGGAATAATATTTTTGAAATAACAATACAAACATAAAAATAAAACAAAACAAATCTGAAAATGATTTACGTGTAATATGGAGACACATGCGCTGCTCAGGTGTGAGTTTTTCCACAGACTTCAACAGAGTGTACAAATCTTCATGATTCTGTGGGTCTCGTCTATCAAATCTGATCTTTATTTTGTATTTTCAACTGGATTTAAAGTCAGGTGATTGGGTGGGCCATTCTACAGCTTGATTTTCTTTCTCTGAACGCATTTGAGAGTTTCCTTGGCTGTGTTTTGGATTATTGCCTTGCTGAAATGACCACCCTGGTTTCATCCATCATCCTGCTTACTGTATGTTGATGTAAGACTGAAGCAGCTAATATTCATTTACACTGAGGAAGGGCAGAGGGTTGCTGAAGAATTACTGAGAGATTTCAGCTGCTGTCTGGGCTTTCACTGCCTTTCTACATCTCCCTTTCTTCTTGTGTTCATAATTTTTCACTTCCTTTTATTACACATAACTTGACTTGTAAACTAATTAGTTTTGTTCTTTGCATATATGGATTTCTTTGGTTGTTACCAACATCCAGGGAAAAAATTTAAGTCAACAGCACCTTTAGAAATATGTTTTCTGAGAAAGATGGTGATGTGTTGAATATTTATTTTTCCCTGCTGTATACACCCTATAATGTGACCAAATTCCAACATAAACCTGAATATCTCTCCTTACCATCTGAGTAGGGTAAATTAACAGCCATACTGGCTCCAATCACAACTTCTCCATCTCTGGTGAGGGTGACCTGCCTGCTGACATCTTCATCCACCACCAGAGCCACCGAGTGGATGCAGGAGTGTTCCTGAGACTGAGAGACAGGTTAAACACACAACAAACACCTCTGATCATACACATTCTCAGACACACTCCTCTTACCTCTCCACAGGCGGTATACTGTAGTGTCACAGTAAACTTGGTGTTGCCCCGGCTTTTCACCAGCACATATTGACAAGAGCCCAAGTGCATGTAGATTCGCCCATCAAAAGTGGTCACATGTGTGTCACCCACTACTGTGCATTCCGCTGCAGGGTTAAACAAACAGAAATTGTAAAATAAGTACAGTTAGAAGTTATTAAAGAATAGCTTTCCTATGAGATGGAATGGAAAAATCAGATATTAAAGGAGACCCATTATGCCCCTTTTATTTAAGATGTAAAATAAATCTCTAATGTCCCTACAAAGTGTTTTATTTTGAGCTGAAACTTCACACACAAATAATGTTTTATAACTAGGAGGCTTTGATCCTAATTGTGCCATGTTGGTCACTTTAAATTTAAATGAGATTGAGCTCTTTTAAAAGAAGGCGGAGCTCCAAACGCCTATGTGTCAGTATAGTGGCAGATTCAAAAACAAGACTAACGTCCAATGCTAAAGAGGGAGAGATGGTCACTAGTGGGCGGGGCTTCCCCCTCTGATGACATGTACAAGGGGAGAACTTCAATCAAAGTGGTTGCGCCGACTGGTTTTATGAAATGTGATTTTCATTAGAAGCATGGCTATATTCGTCTCTATATCAGACTAAAAAACAACTGTTTATACCCCTCAAAAAATTCAGCCCAGAACTTTTAAAGCAACACTATGCAACTTTCTCTCATGGCTCTCCCTTGTGTTGTTAAGCTTGTTACTAAAAAGAAGATCTCACTGTTCCGCTTATTTGCATTTTCAATGCAATCCCACCAAAATTTGTAACTTTTTCAATTAGTGGCTTACTCATTTTCATTTGTACAATCTCATTCGTACCTTGTACTCAACCCTCAACAATGTTTCATACAAATTGTATGAATTTGTAGGAATTAGCCCCTTTTCTTATAATGCGTGTAAGAGCGGGTTGGCATTTCCATATCCTCTTAAGACCCAAGGTGTTTTTTAAAATGCAGTTTTTTATTTTCTCTTTGCTATTTGGGCTTATTGGAACCTAATTAGATCAAAACCTAAGTATCATCTTTTGATATGATGTACTTTTAAAGAAAAATGATGTCTATATATGTGGACTCGTGGTCCGAATTTACATAAAACACTTTTTCCTGAATGTTTTTAATGCATATACAACATATAAATATTTTTTTTGTACTTGCTTTGGCTATCAGAGAGTAAAAACAAATTTTTTTCCCATTTTGGGCTGTTAAAAATAGGTTTTGGGACATTTCATATACTGCAAAACAGTTGCAGGATTACACTGTTTGTCTGTAACAAAATATAAAACATTCAAAGTATTTTAAATAGCCACTTAAGAGCTAAAATGAGCTAAACACTAAGCCCTAGGTGGACATATGTCCATGGTTCTGGGTATGAGTGGGGCTGTGTGTAGCGGGTTGCTCAGTTTGATTTTTGGTTACAACAAGCACTGTGGCTGCAGAATCCACACTTTAAAAATGTACTGTAAATTTACAAGCACACTCTAAATTAATAAATACAATTGTGCTGTATTTTTACATTACAATTGTATTAGTATTTATTTTTACATTACAATTGTATTAGTATTAATTGTATTTACAGTGTGGTTGTAAATTTACAGTCTTAACGGCAACCAAAATTACCAGTAAGTTACTGTAAATTTTACAGTAGATTGTTTATAGTGAAGTTAAACGTTATTATACCACTGATATGCTTTTAGGGACATTATTGTAAGATTAAGTTTGATAAAAAAAACTTAGTGCTACTTTTAAGTTAACTAGTAAAATGTTTGATTTGCCCAATAAGCTTTACATTCAATAACATAATTCAATTTACATTCAATAACATAATCCCCCAAAAAATTTTGTATTTGCTGGCAAAAGATTGCATTTATGCCAGATTATTTATCTAAGGTTGTAAACTTTGCATTCTCAGAACAGCCTTTGTACTTGCACACAAAACCTTTTGACCAAAAAAATCTTTGTTCAATTCATTATTGTTAACTTGATTTGATTTGAGCAATTTTTAACTTGAGGCACAACTTAAAGGCAAATACATTTGTATTATTGACATCATTATTATTATTAGTAGTAGTATAAATCAACACATTCTGGATGCTAGTGTGCGTGTATGAGCGTGGATGAAAACAAATTAGCCTGCAGCACTAATCACATTGATCATTTCATTCAGTTGGCCTGTTTTTGCAGTTGAATTGAAAATGCTTGGAAATACTAGTTTCCTTTTACTGTATTTGCTGTGCTTTTGTTTTGTTGTTTTTCTGTTTGGAAATTGATTATTTAAAAAAGAATAACAATCTTATCACTATTTATTTTTAAGGTCCTTTTTAAACTGAGCTGACAATTCTGGCACATTCTTTTGGCAGTGAATATTTTGCTTGCAGATTTTTCCTATGAACTAGGTGGGATTTGGTAAGCTTAATCCCACCTACTCCATAGCGGGAAAAAGGCTTGAAATTGTCTCTCCAATCTGGCAAGAATCCAAAAGTATTGCTCAGTCAGAATCCAAAAGTATTGCTCAGTCTCAGTAGACAGCTATATAATACATTTATGCAAAAAAAAAGCACAAAATGTGATCAACTTTTAAAAATATATATTTTTGCTATGTTGTTCTTTAAAACTAGTGTAAACAAGGGAGTTTACTTACCAGTGCAGTTGTTTTCAGTGCAATTCCACAGTCCTCCCATACAGACACTGAAATGTAATACATATTAGATGGATGTTGTACACACAGCAGAGTTTTCTATTATCAGCTAAGGAGCTAAATAATAAACAAATATATATTAGAAGTGCAAGAGTGTTAATATAAAATGTTCCTCACCAGACAGTGCAGCCCTGCTCCAATACATGACCCAGAGGATATGCTGTACCGTGGTACACACAGGGGCACTGAGACACAGCTATACAGGTGCCATTCTGCAAGATCAAACCTGACAAAGGCCAAAGAGAAAGACAAGTATAAAAGAAATGATGTCTATTTTACTATTATACGAGCAAACATTTATGAAAGTTATGCATTTTATTATTGCTCTGACCATCCGGGCAGTAGCATCCATCCAGACAGTGTAGATTGGTGCCCAAACACTCTTTGTCAAACGTGCATGTCGGTGGGCAGCAGCTGATGCAGTCTCTATGGACAAAACTATCCTCGCATCTGTCCGCTAAAAACACAATTCACAAGCAAATCATATCGCAAGCTGAAGAACTCAGGCCATGTGATGCTTTTATGACTAGATTGAGCAGATTTGAGAAATCAAAGACAGTTGGGATGGACATACAGTCGAAGTCAAAATGATTAGCCCTTCTGTGTTTTTTAATTTTAAATATTTCCCAAATGATGTTAAACAGAGCAAGGAATTTTTCACAGTATTTCCTGTAATATTTTCTCTTCTGGATAAAAAAAAAAGTCTTATTTCTTTTATTTCAGCTAGAATAAAAGCAGTTTACAATTTTTAAAAACCCATTTTTAGGTCAATATCTTTAGCCGCCTTAAGCAATATTGTTTTTCCATTGTCTACAGAAATCTATTTCTCATTCATTTTCTTGTCGGCTTAGTCCCTTTTTTAATCCGGGGTTGCCACAGCGGAATGAACCGCCAACTTATCCAGCACGTTTTTACGCAGCGGATGCCCTTCCAGCCGCAATTTATCTCTGGGAAACATCCACACACATTCACACACACACACTACAGACAATTTAGACCGCATGTCTTTGGACTGTAGGGGAAACCTACAGGAAAGGGACAGGGAGAACATGCAAACTCCACACAGAAACGGCAACTGAGCCGAGGCTCAAACCAGCGACCTTCTTGCTGTGAGGCGACAGCACTATAACTACTGCGCCACTGCTTCGCCCTACAGACATCTAGTCAAATATTATTTACTGTCATCACAGCAAAGATGAAATAAATCAGTTATTAGAAATGAGTTATTAAAACTATTATGTTTAGAAATGCGTTGAACACACTTTCTCTTCATTCAACAGAAATTAGGGAAAAATATACAAAACTATTGAACAACACACATTCTGGTCTTAGGACAATTTTGAAAATGTTTTTGGATCCACTTGAAATGTTGATTATAAATATGCACACATGTATTATTTGTATTATAGTGTATATACTCGGCAAAACACTCCTCTTATTATAAAAATTCTCCTTATAACTAACATACTTTAGATGCTGAATGGCTTTTATGGGGAAAATGGTAATGTTTTACATGATGTACAGTTGTTTTTTGATGTTATTCACCAGTTGAATCTCTGATTTAGTGATTATTTTAATCCAGTGGATGCAGTTTTACAGTTTCTTTCAAATTGCCTTCTAATGATCATTCAGTTCTCATCTTATTTTCATTCATTCATTTTCTTTTTGGCTTAGTCCCTTCATGAATTTAGTAATTATCCAGCACATGTTTTACGCAGTGGATGACCTTCCAGCTGCAACCCATCACTGGGAAACACTCATACACACTCGTTCACACACACATACTACAACAATCTACCCAATTCACCCATAGCGCATGTCTTTGGACTGTGGGGGAAACCGGAGCACCTGGAGGAAACCCACGCAAACGCGGGGAGAACATGCAAACTCCACACAGAAATGCCAACTGACCCAGCTGAGCCTCGAATCAGCAACCGTCTTGCTGTGAGGTGATTGTGCTACCCACTGCACCACCATTCTGGCCATTCATTTTTCATCTTACTATACTTCATCTCCTCTGCACTGTACATTACTTCAATAGTTTGCACTTTGCAGATACTTTACTGAACGAAGCGTATTTGATGTGCTGTCCCGAGAAAGAGCTCTGAGCTTGGAAAGATTCTCGAGCCCGGGGCTCTACCCATAATCGGGAGGGAGGGGTCCGAGCTCAGGTCTGGTCCTGCAAAAACTTCACCATTCTCTTCAACTGAAGGTGGAAGAGGTAGTGGAGTCGTGGTGGTGGAGGGACACCGAGAAATCAAAGGATGGCTGAGGTGTAGTGATTTGGCTTTATACAAGGATTCTTTTACTGATTGGATGGGCGTAAGATTGCTAATGCAAGACCAGACGTGTCAATCATATGAGGTGGTTTTGTAGGCAATTTGAAAAAAATAAATATTAAAATTTTGATCTTCCACATATACAGTAATGTGACATGATTGACTATCAAAATTTAGGCTATTTTTAAATAACAAAAGACTAAAATCGAATACTAATGCTTAGCAATGAAGGATTTTGGGAAAAGTACATTACAAAAAGGGTGGCACGATGGCTCAGTGGTTAGCACTATCGCCTCATGGCAAGAAGGTTGCTGGCTCGAGTTCCAGCTGGGACAGTTGCAATTTCTGTGTGGAGTTTGCATGTTCTCCTCGTGTTGGCGTGGGTTTCCTCTAGGTGCTCCGGTTTCCCTAACAGTCCAAGCACATGTAGTATAGGAGAATTGGGTAAACAACATCGGCCGTAGTGTATTAGTGTGAATGCAAGAGTGTATGGGTGTTACCCAGTACTGGGTTGCAGCTGAAAGGGCATCCGCTGCGTAAAGCATATGCCAGAATAGTTGGCGTTTCATTCCGCTGTGGCAGCCCCTGATAAATAAGGGACTAATCCGAAGGAAAATAAATGAATGAATAAATTACAAGACAAAGTTTTTATTTATTTATTTTTTAAATGGGATGTCTGGCCACCCTATTCATGACATGAAATCTGACTGACCGCATGTAGGAAAACTGTCCCTCCATTCTCTGACAGGATATCCCACATGAGAACAAGCCCTGGTGTACTCAACCAGAGTCCGACAAAATGTTTCCTCGTCATCTGATCTGGAAATAAAACAAAATAAAATTAATGCACACAAAACGTAGAAAGAACATACCAGAAAAGTCAATGCAGCAACTACATTACTATTATAATTAGTTTTGGGTTTTTTTTTTTGCATGGTGATATAGTGCAGTTAGAACAGCTGCGAGCTCAACTTTGCTCTTGCAATCTGATCCGCTCACTACCTCTTCAATCAGCAGTAGAGTCAGAATCTGTTCATAAACTCCAGCAGATATTTCATCACTGTAATCAATACAGACAACACGTGCACGCACACACACACACACTCTCTCTCTCTCTATTATGATTACAAGACAAGCACACATGCATGCATGCGCACGCACGCACGCGCACACACACACACACACATACACACACACACACACATGCATATAGACCCCATATATTCACAAACACTCCTTCTGGAGCTTGTGCCATATGCAAGGTATTTTCATTACTATAATTAACGTAATCCTGTTGGAATTGGGAGGTGTGGAATGCTGGAAATAAGCAAGGGCGAAAACCTCAAGGGAGAAGGAGAGAAAATGACATTTCTTGTTAAAATCTACATAAAATCATAAATGTGCAAAACCGAAACGTTCAATTTTGGCAGACAGCATTGCTTTTATTCAATAAAATTAGTCTAAAATTTGTCTATATTTTCACTGTTCATTTTGTGCAATCAACTACACTTACCGGCCACTTTATTATGTACACCTTACTAGTATCGGATTGGACCCCCTTTTGCCCTCAGAAGAGCCTTAATCCTTCGTGGCATAGATCAAGGTACTGGAAATATTCCTCAGAGATTTTGGTCCATATTGACATGATAGCATCACGCAGTTACTGCAGATTTGTCGGCTGCACATCCATGATGAGAATCTCCCGTTCCACCACATCCCAAAGGTGCTCTATTGGATTTTGATATGGTGACTGTGGAGGCCATTTGAGTACAGTGAACTTATTGTCATGTTCAATAAACCAATCTGAGATGATTCACGCTTTATGACAAGTTGTGTTATCCTGCTGGAATTAGTCATCAGAAGATGGGTACACTGTGGCATAAAGGGATGGACATGGTCAGCAACAATACTCGGGTAGGCTGTGGCGTTGACAAGATGCTCAATTGGTATTATGGGCCCAAAGTGTGCCAAGAAAATATCCCTCACACCATTACACCACCACCAGCAGCTTGAACCCTTGATACAAGGCAGGATGGATCCAGGCTTTCATGTTGTTGACACTAAATTCTGACCCTACTGTCTGAATGAGACTCATCAGACCAGGCAACGTTTTTACAATCTTCTATTAACCAATTTTGGTGAGCCTGTGTGAATTATAGCCTCGGTTTCCTTTTCTTAACTGACAAGAGTGGCACCCGGTGTGGTCTTCTGCTGCTGTAGCCCATCTGCCTCAAGGTTGGATGTGTTGGGGGTTCAGAGATGCTCTTCTGCAGACCTCGGTTGTAACGAGTGCTTATTTGAGTTACTGTCGCCTTTCTATCAGCTGGAACCAGTCTGGCCATTCTCCTCTGACCTCAACAAGGCGTTTGTGCTTACAGAACTTCCACTTACTCGATATTTCATTTTTCGGACCATTCTCTGTAAACCCTAGAGATGGTTGTGTGTGAAAATCCCAGTATATCAGCAGGTTCTGAAATACTCAGACCAGCAGTCTGGCACCAAGAAGCATGCCACATTAAAAGTCTCTAAAATCACCTTTCTTTCCATTCTGATGCTCGGTTTGAACTACGGCAGATCGTCTTGACCATGTCTACATGCGCGGAGTTGCTGTCATGTGATTGGCTGATTAGAAATTTGTGTCAACGAGCAGTTGGATAGGTGTACCTAATAAAGTGGCCGGAGAGTGTTGATTCTGATGATTTAAGCAAATACTTGCATTTTTTTTTCAAAGCTGTATATTCAAAAAAGTAGTAAACTTCAAAAGAAAATATGACTACAGTTATAAAAATCACTAAAATGAAACTAATTAAAATGAAAAGTAAATGTATTTTAAAAATCAATTCCAAATGTGAAAAAGGGCAACACTTTACAATAAGCTTGTATAAGCACTCAATAAACTGAACAAACACCCTTTATTACAGTATGTGTTCATGTTAGTCAACATTAGTTAATGAAAATACAGTTGTTAACTCACGGTGCATTAACTGATGCTAACAAGCATGAATTTGGATGTTAACAAAGCATTAGTAAATGTTGAACTATGATTAATAAATGCTCCACAAGTATTGTTCATTATTAGTTCAGGTCAGTCAATACATTAACTAATGAAACCTTATTGTCAAATGTGACCAAAAAAATGTTTTGGTCAGTACATTTTAGTGTGGTTTAGAGACCAGCCAGCTACAAAAGCTTAATCCAAGATCAGCTTTTGTTTTGTTTTGTTCAGAAGGGTTTAACTTTGGTTAGCATTTAGACAAAAGCACCACACTTGACTTACACACACATGTCCGAAACACAGCTGACAACAAATGGATTTGGGTCAATGTTCTCATGGCAGGAGATGAAAGGGAAGAAAAGCAATGCACTGCACTTCTCAATGGCGTCCTGTTCGGAGAACACACAAACAAGCAAAGTTGCTAAATCTGACGCCATTTTCACATTTTACAGATTGAAGAGTCGCAGAAAAACAGGCCTGACACATTTATAAAACTTCTGTTTTAAAGAAGACATATCACCGCTTTCATAAGAGAAAAAATAAATCTCTTATGTCCTCAGAATATGTCTGTAAAATGACCCACAATTCATTAAATTTAGCTTGTCAAATTGTGTCCCTATTGCAAATGTACTGCTGTTTCTTACCTCAAGAGGGGGGAGTCTACAGCTATTCTGACCCTCATTGGTGAAGAATTACACTGTAAAAAAATATTCATTCACGCATTCCTTCATTCATTCATTCTCCTTCGGCTTAGTCCCCTATTTATCAGAGGTCGTCACAGTGGAATGAACCACCAACTATTCCAGCATTTGTTTTACACTGCAGATGCACTTCTAGCTGCAACCCAGTACTGGTAAACACCCATACACACTCACATTTACACACACTCATACACTGTGGCCAATTTACTTCATTCAATTCACCTATAGCGCATGTCGTTGTACAGTGGGGGAAACCACAGCACTCAGAGGAAACCTACGCCAATGGGGAGAAAATGCAAACTCCACACAGAAATGCCAACTGTCCCAGCCAGGACGCGAACCAGTCATCTTCTTGCTATGAGGCGACAGTGCTAAACACTGAGCCACATATACTGTAAAATTCTTCAGCACATTTCCTTCATTTCCTAAAATACCACTGCAATGTTGTTTCAACCTAAAACTTCAGGGTTTTGTCGGTACATTCATCATAGTAAATCTCCAGCTGCTACAGGAAGTAAACAGAAATGACTGTGCTCACCTATGCAGTCTGCATGCGACAGAACAGTTACCATGTTCTGCTTGAACGTTAGCAACTAGTACACTATGGCCATTTACCAAAAATAAATGTGCAGATTTAAATTTACACAAGTGTTTCTTTCATGAACTCCTTCTGTTGAACACAAAGGAAGATATATTTAGATTGTTGGAAAAAAAAACACAGCCACTGACTTCCCAAGGAACAAATCCTATAGCTGCGTCCTAAATGGCACAATATACACTTATGCACTTACACGCTCAACAGCATAGTATATGTATATAGTATTGTCCCAAATGGAACACTAATGTTATATTTACTAAGCGGAAATTCAAACCGATTCCCTGATGACGTTTGACAAATTAGTGAAATAAATGACCAAAGTGCCAAATAATACCTGCACGAGTATAACCGCATTCACCATCGGGAGGCGCTATAATCACTCTCATAGGAAAACTTTGCTTTCACAGTCCAAAATAAAGTTATCCAACATGTAAACCGGATATCTCTGCCCCTTCCGCTATGTGATCGAAGCTTTTTTTTTTTTTTTAGAATGTTCAACAAGAATACACAAATCTTATATATTTATAAATATATTTATATTTATTTTCTAAAAATAAGCAAACAGAACCATTTCATTTTGTAATGACTTCAGTTTATATACTGCAATTGATTCTTAAATGTCTTAACTTCAAGTTTAAACCATGTTTTTTATTCATTTATCTTTTATTTTATTGATTTATTTTTTCATTGACAATGCAATTCATATTCTGTATTGTAACCAAATATTGCTACAAACTTGTCAACAGTTTTTTTGCAAATAATAATAATAATAATAATAATAATAAAAGTGTAAATCATTAGACACTTCTTTACCATTTGATTGAGTGCATCATCCAGATAATTAAAGTGCACTTATTATTTTTCATTGTGGATACGACTATTTTTACTATAAAATAGCATAGAATAGTGCATAAGTATGCAATTTGGGACACATCTTATGGATGCCAATTTCCCCAACATACTTCAGTATATTTTCGTTTGTGTTCAACAGAAAAAAAACTCATACAGGTTTGGAGCAAGTATAGGTAAACGATGGCAAAAAAAAAATTCCTTTTTAGGTGAACTGTAGCTTTAAGGCAGCAGCTCAATCGAACAGTTGTTATAAGAGACCGTAATCTATAATAAGATCCTCCTTCCTAATCACAAAAAGTTGCTGGGTTGTATGAACTAAAGGGCTGGACAGTTCTTGGATGCTGCTTTTGTACCAAATCATAATTACAATCACCTGTCGACATCACCTGTTTCAAATCACATCATTATATAACCAATTTACCCGAACACTAGCCCTAAACTGCTCCTGTTCCAACTTTTTTTGATGTGTTGCAAGAACCAAAATTGGAGTAAATATTTATTTAGAAAAAAAATATTAAACTAAAAAACAATACAAATCATGAGGAAAACATTAAATTATGTTTGTTGTATTGTCTGAAATACAAGTCAAAGTAAATATAGAAATCACTACTTTCTTTTTCTATTTGCGTTCCACATACTGCCCCAAATTTTTCTGTTTTGAGGTTGTAGATCCACCACAGACTCAGTTATAGCACTTAAATACAGAATAAGTCCAATTCTCATAATACGTCTTCTTTAAACTTTTACACATTTATCACCATTAAAGCCTATCATGTGCATAGAAACTTACGTCCATATCAGACTCTGATGAGCACGGTCCAGGGAAATCATCATCAACCTCAGGACAGGGTCTCTCCTGGGGCAAATCTACTGCCCAGCTGTTCCCAAATTCAGCAATGTCATCAGAGACGATCCCTGACAACAACAAAAATTCCACAGCAATAAAGATACCATAAGGAACTCAGATTTGATCACTGTTAAGTTGCAGTCAGACTGGACAATTCACCCCAGAGATTTTCATTCATATGCATGCGAATGGGGCAGACTGCAAACGTAAGCTTGTGCAACAAGTTTCGCATGTCGTTCCAAAGCTTGAGCTGCGAAATAGCATCATGTGAATGTGTGAGACCAATAAAGGATCGAAAAGTGACTTCTCAATGCAGAAAATTTAAATATGGAGGAATAGCTAGCTTTATCAATGTTTATTTATCCCTTTTGCAGGACCATGTGACAAAATTTTGAATGCTCAAATTTGAATGAAAACAATGTTTTTTATTACTCGCTCTCATGTCGTTCCAATCCCCTGAGATTTTCGTTTATCTTTAAATCACAAATGAAGATATTTTAGAAGAAATCCAAGAGCTCCCTTGTCCTACACAGACAGCAATGGTCGCTCAGAAAAATACCAAAAAACATCCTCAAACAGACTATATGCCTTCAGTGGTTGAACTGAAATGTTATCAAGCTACGGAAAACCGTGTGCACACATAAATACAAAAAATAATGACTTTATTCAACATTTTTTTATCCTCAATATCAGAATATCGCATGTGTTCACGTGCAAAATTATTAATTAAACGCAAAATAATTGCAAAAATGTAAATAATCTCATAAATCATTCAATTTCAAACTATATAATAAAATTATATTTATTTCAGCTTACATTTAATTGTTTTACATGACTTACAGAGGATGTATACGCAGCGCACATGATGTATTTGAGTGTCTCTCAAAAACGACGTCTCACCTGCTCCCTAACAATCCTACCATTACATGGAAGGGGGGTTGAATTGTTTTGCAGCCTGTGCAGTAAGTGAATTACATGTGAAGTCAATGCATGCAAAGGTTGGACTAGACATCCTTTGGCACGAATTGGGCGTTGTGTGCGTTTCACGCACTTTAGACTGCAAAAAAGGTTTGAGCAAACAAATCGGAGCAATGAAACAGACAGAACAGCAAGCAGCTTACAATGATGGAGATTGGTTCAAGAATGACAGCCGCTGGACGTGACTGAATTGAAGGACATTATTTGTGCTTTACATATATGTCTGTTATTATGGCATGTGTAAAATCAATAAATGTTTTAGTTTAACTCTTTTCCAGCAGTTAACAAGAGACAACGCTTCCCTGCCATTGACGAGTTTTACTGTAATTCGTGTTTCGGTGTATTAAATTAGAGGAAGCCTTTATGCATGTCCTGAGTGAGGTACATGTCAGATGCTCCGAGGAGTGAAATCTGAGAGAAAGTAAGATCGTGGATAAAAATAAGAGTTATACATCCTTCCTTTGGCTTAATCCCTTCTGTTTTAGATATTGTCTTGACAAGAGATTAAAATAAAGAAGCTTTCTTTTAATATATTAATCGCTAAATTGTCTGCAAATTTCTGGGAATTACCACCACAAAATTAGTCATTTTTATCGCAAATGTTTTCAGGAAAAAAAAAACATGACAAAATAATGTGAGTTTCTCCTTAAAACAAGCTAAATAATCTGCCAGTGGGGTAAGTAAAATTATCTACAAAGTTTATTTTGTTTACTCAAGCGGCAGATTATTTAGTTTGTTTTAAGGGGAAAACGTGCTTAAAAAACGACTTGTTTATTTCTGAAAACAAGACAAAAATGTTTATTTGTCTTTAAAATGCAGCTTGATTTAAGAATTTTGTTAATATTTGGTCTAGACACAAGACAAAAGCTCTTTTTTTTGTTAAATTATATTACTATTGAGCCACTGGTATATGCCACAAAGCATATGGTTTGTTTTGAGGAAGTGTTTTGATAGTTTTCTGGACTTGCAACCATTGCAGTCCATGGAGGATGAGGGAGCACTCTGATTTTATTTAAAAATGTCTTTTCCTAAGGAGTAACACTTTACAATAAGAGAACAAGTACAACAATAATAATAAATAATAATAATAAATAATAATAATAATTCCTTACATTTATATAACACTTTTCTGGGCACTCAAAGTGCATAGGGGGGAATCTCCTCATCCACCACAAGCGTGCAGCATCCACCAGAATGACGCAACGGCAGCCATTTTGCGCGAGACTGCACACCACACACCAGCTGATAGGTGGAGAGGAGACAGAGTGATGAAGCCAATTATGATATGGAGAGGGTTAGGAGGCCATGATGGACAGAGGCTAGTGGGCAAATTTTAACCCTTACTCTTTATCGAAGGACATCCTGGTATTTTTACCGACCACAGAGAGTCAGGACCTCAGTTTAAGGTCTCATCTGAAAGATGACACTCACTGAGCAGCATAGAGTCCCCGTCACTATACTGGGGCATTAGGACACACACAGACCGCAGGTTGAGCGCCCCCTGCTGGTCTCACTAACACTACTTCCGACAGCAACCTAGCTTTCCCATGTAGTCTCCCATCCAGGTACTGACCAGGCGCAGCCCTGCCTAGCTTCAGTGGGCGATTAGTGAGAGTTGCAGAGAGCTAGCTGCCAGCATGATATACTAATATGTAAACTAAACATTACTTTATTATGAAATAATGATGAACTGACCGTAACTACTAATATGTTAATTACTACTAATAATGGCTACCTTAGTTAGTTTTTAGTTCATTTTTGAACATTACTATTAACTCATTGATTGTTTAAACTGTTCACTTTTCTATTGTTTTTTGATGTAAACACGCACTAGATGGACGTGCATAACTGTCACATTTAAAAAGAGGAGTTCATGAGTTGTTAAGAATGAGTTAATGCTAAAGTTACCCTCCAAGTAAGGTCATGCCATAAGGATTACACATTTACAGGTTGTGAGTTTGAGTTAGTTACATTTATCTAAAGCTAAAGTGTTATTTAATACATTAAAATTAACAAACTTGAACTAAAAACTAATTAAGTTAGCCATTATTCATGTTGTAGATAAAATTAGCTCTTGATTAGCTCATGCCTTAACTCATTATTGGTTAAGTGGCGTTTAATTTACATATTAGTATGTCATAATTCATGTACTGCTCTTGTAAAGTGTTACCTCTGTTAGCCACAGCCACATCACCCTGCAGCCCAAGACCTGTTACTCACTGAAGCTACGCTGGGCTGAGCCTGGTCAGTACCTGGATGGGAGACCACATGGGGAAAAACTAGGTTCCTATTGGAAGTGGTGTTAGTGAGGCCAGGAGGGGGTGCTCAACCTGCGTGAGTCCTTATGCCTCAGTAAAAGTGAAGGGGACAATACACTGTCAGTATGAGCCGTCTTGCAGATAAGACGTTAAACTGAGGTCCTGACTTTCTGGGGTCATTAAAAATCCCATGGCACTTCTCGTGAAAGAGCAGCGGTGTAACCCCAGTGTCCTGGCCAAAGTCCTTCTATCAGCCCTTACGATCATGGTCTCCCAATCATCCCCATCCACTAAATTGGCTCTATCATTGTCTCTCCACTCCACCAATAACTGGTGTGTGGTGAGCGCAATGGCGCCGTTGTTGTCCAGTGGCAGCTGTCGCATCATCCAAGTGGATGCTGCACACTGGTCATTCATTCATTCATTATTTATTTATTTATTGCCATGTCAGCTACTAAGGCTATTTTCATGGCAAGAGCATTTCAGTAATTAACAAACATCAACAGTAAAATATAAATAATTGAATATACAATTTAAATAAGATTTTTCTGCTTAATACATGTTAAAAATTCTAATACTTTTTCTGGAGTCCTTAAGAGAGTTCTCATCATAAAAAGTCTTTCTGGAGTCATTAAAAGCAGGGCAGTCCAGTAAAATGTGTTTTACAGTCCATGGGGTTTTACAGTGTAAACATTGGGTAGGGACTTCATCTTTAAGTAAAAAGTTATGTGTTAATCTTGTATGTCCAATACGACATCTGGTAAAAATTACTCGATCAGCTCGTTTCTTAAAATGTCTTATACCTCTGTGTGTAATTTCAGGCTGGATTTCTTGTAATTTATTGTTTTCCAGAGTATCCCACTCCTCTTGCCACTTATTTAAAATGTAATTATTAATAAAAGGTCTCATCTCAGATGGAGAAGTTTGACAGTTGTTTACAGCTTGTTTTAGAGCAGCTTTAGCAGCTGCATCCGCTCGTTCATTCCCTGAAAGACCAACATGTCCTGGTATCCAGCAAAAAAATGATATGGTAAAATTTGTTTTGTAGGTGGTGAACTTGAGTTAAAATATTTTCAATCAAAGGATGATCTCTCTTTGAAGATTCCATCTGTTGAAGGCATGATTTAGAGTCTGTAAAAATAATGGTTTTCTTTTGTTTTGTATAATATTTTCTATAAACTCCAATGATAAAAGTAGTGCGTGGGCTTCAGCTGTGAATATGGAGCACTTTCCCCTTGTCATTCCATCATTACACATAACTTATTAACAGATTTTTTGTTTTATTTTATTGTTATGTTTGTGTTGTTTGGATTTTTACCAAAATCTGGTTCAATTCCATGTCAACAGCTCCTTTAGAAATTTTATTACCAGGAAAAAACACGACGTGTTCAATACTTATTTTCCCTGCTGCAAGTTATTTGCAAGAAACTAGTATTAAGCTTAATGGCAAATTTAAAGGTTTACCAAGGTTAATTAGGTCTGTAATTAGACAACAGTTGTCTATTACAGAAAAAAAATCTTAAATTGATATTGTACCTAAATTATCTGGAAAATATTTACTCGCCATTTACTCACCCTCATGTGTAGTCAAACCTTTATTAGTTTTATTACACTCAATATAAAAAAACAAGACTTTCTCCATAAGAAAAATGTAGTAGGAAACACTAAAAAAAATTCTTGCTCTGTTAAACAGCACTTTAACATTAGAAAAGCTTTTTTGTAATTTCCAGGTAGGGCTAATAAAGGGCTTCTATTATCCTCATTTGTGCTAATAAAACCATCTTCTAAATGAATATATTAATCATTAGTCATTAATTATTCCAGCATTAACAACAAGTTGGAGGATGCTGTTTTTTTTTTTTTTTTTAAATTTGGTAATTTTTTTTGTAACTTTGGATAAAAGTATCTGCTATATGAGTAAATGTTTTGTATAATATTTTCTATAAACTCCAATGATAAAAGTAGTGCGCGGGCTTCAGCTGTGAATATGGAGCATTCTTTTGGCAGCCTAATTCCATGACTTTGTTCCCCTGTCACCATTGCTCTGCACACTGGTGGTGGTGTGGAGAGACCCCCTCATGATTGTGAAGCACTTTGGGTGTATGGCCACACACAATAAATGCGCTATATAAATACACATTAAATTACCTGCAGGGTTATAGAACGACATGCGGCTGTGTAATTAACAACATAATAGTCATTTTTGGGGTGAATTAACTCTTTAACATGTTCCTAAAATGTTACAATCCATCTCTAACTACACAACAGTATGTTCAGACTCGGCATGCAGCTCTGCTCAGTTTTGATGTAATTGTCCTGAGTGAGTTGACTGAGATGATAATTGTGTGTGCGGGCCTGTTTGTCTCACCGCGGCTGCTGCTGAGATCATCTGATCCGTCATCATTATAGTTTCCACACAGACCACAAGGCCTTCCTTTGTGCGCTTCGGTCATTTTGAGGTAGACTCCAGAGCCCCCGTCCCATGCTAGAGAGAAGCCAAATGTGCTCTTCACCAGGATATAGTCAGCCAAGCGCTCGATGAAAACATTACGCACCGTCTGGGGAAGACTCAGCCTGTGTGCATGCACAGAAAACACACATACAAGACAAGTATGATTATATTTGATATTAAAATGCCTTGGCGAGGGAATTATTTCATATTTGATTATCATCGTGACCTAAAATGCCAAGGACCAAAATGGTAAAATGTTCTCTAGAAAAATGTATCCACTCATCCTGTTTGTCACAGCATCTATTGTTTAAGACAAAATTATGAGCCCTTTTAATTTTCTTTTTTTCTTTTATTATTTCATTATTATTTGCTTTTGAACATAGAAAGACTTTTTCAACACACATTGAAACATAATAATTTTAATAACTAATTTCAAATGATTTTTTAGTTTGTTTTTGCCATTATGACAGTCAATAATATTTTCAGCACTGTAAATATTTTTCACAATATAGAGCAGGAAAAATACTTATTGTACACTTCACCATTTTTCTCAGAAAATATATTTCTAAAGGTGTTGTTGGCTTGTAATTTTCCCTGAATGTTGGTAACAAGCAAATAAATCCATATATGCAAAGAAAACAAAACTAATTAGTTTACAAACGAAGATATGTGTAATAAAAAGGAAATGACACAGGGAAAAAGTATTGAACACATGAAGAAAGGGAGGTGTAGAAAGGCAGTGAAAGCCCAGACAGCAGCTGAAATCTCTCAGTAGTTCTTCAGCAACCCTCTGATCTTCATCAGTATTAATTAACATCAGCTGCTTCAGTCCAACATCTGCATTAGCAGGAGGATGAAGATAAAACCTGAGTGCACATTTCAGCAGGACAATGATCCAAAACACAGCCAAGGAAGCTCTCAAATACTTTCAGAGAAAGAAAATCAAGCTGTAGAACGGCCCAGCCAGTCACCTAACTTTAATTCAATAGAAAATACAAAATAAAGATCAGAGTTGATAGACGAGACCCACAGAACCATCAAGAATTTGACACTCTGTTGACGTCAGAGGAAAATTCACACCTGAATAATGCATGTGCCTTCATTCTCCATATGAGAGGCGTCTTTAAGCTGACATCATTAAAAAAGCCTTTTACAGTATAATAAGTACTAAATACATTTCAGTAGTTCAGCACTTTCCCCTTGTCATTCCATCATTACACATAACTTGTTATCAGATTTTTTTGTTTTGTTTTATTGTTATGTTTGTGTTGTTTGGATTTTTACCAAAATCTGGTTCAATTCCATGTCAACGGCTCCTTTACAAATTTTATTCCCAGGAAAAAACACGACGTGTTTAATACTTATTTTCCCTGCTGCAAGTTATTTGCAAGAAACTATTATTAAGCTTAATGGCCAATTTAAAGGTTTACCAAGGTTAATTAGGTATGTAATTAGACAACAGTTGTCTATTACAGAAAAAAAAATCTTAAAGGGATATTGTACCTAAATTATCTATAAAATGTTTACTCGCCATTCACTCACCCTTATGTGTAGTCAAACCTTTATTAGTTTTATTTCACTCAATATAAAAAAAACAAGACTTTCTCCATAAGAAAAATGTAGTAGGAAACACAGAAATAATTTTTTGCTCTGTTAAACAGCACTTTAACATTAGAAAAGCATTTTTGTAATTTCCAGGTAGGGCTAATAAAGGGCTTCTATTATCCTCATTTGTGCTAATAAAACCATCTGCTAAATGAATATATTAATCATTAGTCATTAATTATTCCAGCATTAACAACTAGTTGGAGGCTGCTGTTTTTTTTTTTTTAATTTAGTAATTTTTTTGTAACTTTGGATAAAAGTATCTGCTATATGAGTAAATGTAAATTACAGTAAAATAATATACAAAATAATGTGTTTATTTCATATTTAAATTTGTTTTAAAACACTATTTATTACTATATATTTTATATTCAGCAAACAATACGCTCTGAACATTTTTTGAAGGTCCAAACTGATTATCTAGAGAAAATGCTTATTTTAAGGCTTTATTAATCAGGAAAACATTTCTTTTGCCTTCTATTATTCTTTTATTTTTCTACATCATTTTAATAATAATAAAAAAAAAAAACGAACAATATATATAATGTAAAATATAACAATATATATTTTAATATTTAAAAAAGCGCACAGACATGTTCAAAGCTCCTGAATTCTTTATTTTAGTTATTTTTTTACAATTGCAGAGTATTTGGGCCTTTTCTTTAGTAAATGAACCTGACAGGACAACAAGAGACAGCAAAAAAAACTGCTGTTGCTTTGAATTAGACTGACTACTATTCATCTATTAATCTGCTATTCACATCCATTACAAATAAATATAAAAACCATAAAAACAACCTACATTTTTTTCGAAACAAAGCCTGTTCTGAAAATCTGAAGGCGGTTTGGTTTGTAGCTGGACATTATTGGAGTTCGCAGACAGGAACAGTGAACAGCTGTTCACTGAAACACCACCGAGTCTCACTGGATTCCTCTGTATGGGCGTGTGTCAGTTATAAAACACTCACAGGATGTTAATTTGGACAACTCAGCAGATATTTTAAAGTGTTCACACAAAGAGAGCACGCATAGTTTGTGAATCAATGGACTTGTGCGACTCTGATACAGTACGAGTTGCGAATGTGATCGAGGCACACATGAGCTGGTTATTATAACTCTAATAATTGTTATCTTTACATTTGCGTGAAGGTCTGATTTATATAACTGAAGTGCAGCGGTTGGAAATTTAAGCCTGTCTGCATTTAACAGTGAGGCTGTTTTTACACAGAGTCTCAATTAGCTTATTCAATCACAGAAAGCGGGAAATACCATTACTCGGACCATTTTAATATGACATATTTAAAAATGAAATCAAATAATTACTGCAGGATCGCTGAGGCCCACTAGTGATGTTGAGAATCCCTAGAAGATGTCTAATAGACATCTAAACATTGACTATAGACATCTATTAGATTTCCACTTCCACTTATTTCCACTTGATTATTTGCTATTATGCGTTGCACAAACACACTTCCTCTGCATTAAACATATTTTCTAAGTTGATTTTTCCTCATTTTAATCTAAACTGAAGTCAAAAACAAACAAAAAAAGAAGAACAGCTTGTCCAAACTCACCTGTGTCCACCCTTGAGCACCTGATAGCCACTAATATAGATTTCCTCTTCATTTGGGAAGAACAGACTTAGGCTACGTGGACATGAATATACTGAACCTCTACACGAACGACTGTTATGAACCTACCAAACACAAATAAAATTAACTTTAGATAACATAAAAGAACATGTATGACTAGCAGAGATGTGTGTTTGTGTGTGTTCTGGTGCAGCTTTAACTCACCCAAACCGTATACTGTGGCTCTGAGGAATGGCAGTCTTTGGCCAGGATATACGAACAGCTTCCAGGGTAGTAGTAATACATTCCATCAAAAGTCTCAAAATGATGCTGACCCCATGAACGGCAAATGCCATCCCTGTCCTGACCATGGTTGGGAACTTGTACAAGAAAAGAGCACAAACCATTTTTCCCTCCATCATATTTCTTTCTGGTTGTCTTTTTCAGTTAATCCAATAATTGTGTCCCCTTTCATCACTAACGCATTGAGCACGTAATCAGTGTCGCTTATATAATCAATACTGCATATGTACTGTAGCAGCCTGTTATTCTGTTGGTCACACCGGCTGCCTGACTTTATAGCTCTTGGTTAATTAAACACCCATACTGGAGCTCTTTGTGACAAGCAATCTGCTCCCAGCACGTCTGTAATCCAATGCTACCAAATGCAGTATATGAAATAGTCAAAGATTAACTGGAACCAGTGAGCAATGCAGTTAGAATTCTAGTAATTAAATTCAGGCTTCCTTCATCCACATTTAATGGTCAGCACTGGGTGGCAGATGATAATATCAGACCGAGCCGCACTATAATTACATGGAGGCAGGCTTCATTTTGAATTCAATATAACCTGTGTGCGTGTGCGCGCGAGTGTGTGTGTATACAGGTTTATGAGGTTTACAAGGAGGGTTGAGTTTAGTAGGTTGGGTAGGGCCATATACAGTAAGTAGTGGTTCTAACAATATAAAATAAATTACGCCTATGGAATGTCCCTGTAAACCATGTATACAAGTGTGTGTGTGTGCCTTGTATTCCTTACATTGTTGAAACCTAATTACTCCACAACAAGTAAAATTTGACCTTGTGGGGACATTATTTTGGTCCTGAAAAGGGAAAATGGCTCATAAATCACACAGAATGGAGTATTTAGTAAACATAAAAACGGTTGAGTTTAGTAGTAGGAGTGGGGTAGGCCTATATAATAAGTGGTTTTAACAATATAAAACAATATACACATTTGGAGTGTCCCTGTAAACCATTTATACAAGTGTGTGTGTTTGTGTGAATACAGGTTTATCTGGTTTACAGGAATGCAAAGTTGTATAATGACATAGGTATAACTTAGTTATTACTTTATTTCCTTTAAGGGTTGAGTTTAGTAGTAGGGGTGGGATAGGTCCATATAATAGGTAGTTATTTCATCATATAAAATAACATACGGCTATGGAGTGTCCCTGTAAACCATACATACAAGTGTGTGTGTGGGGGTCTTTGTGTGCCTTGTATTCCTTACATTGTTGGCACCTAATTATCCCACAAGAACAAGTAAATTCTGACCTTGTGGGGACATTATTTAGGTCCTGATGAGGAAAATGGCTAATAAATCACACAGAATGGAGTATTTAGAAAATGTAAAGATGCTGATTGTTTCCTTTAAAGGTTGAGTTTAGAAGTAGGAGAGGGGTAGGTTCATATAATAAGTAATTACTATATAAATAAATAATTAAATAAATAAATTATGACGAGTGTTCCTATAAACCATGTATACAAGTGTGTGTGCTTTGAATTCCTAACATTGCTGGCAGCTAATTAACTCACAAAAACAATCATAAACTAAATTTAGATCTTGTGGGGAAATTGTTTTGGTCCTGATGAGAAAAATGGCTTATAAATCACTCAGAAAAATCACATTTTGAATATATAGATGCAGATTGCTTGCTGTGAGGATTGGTTTTAGGGGTTGAGTTGGGGTTAAAGCAATCTGGTCAAATGCATTTCTAACCGCCTTTAAATACGGTTGAAAGCAGACAAGCTCAAAAATTGTGACTGGAATGACAAAAACGCATCTTAACATTAAATGTGAACAAGGCAAATATTTGCTAATGAAGATTATTTTTCCCTTTTTATTGTTAATTTTATGTTACTCTTTCTTTTTTATTTTTCAAGTGACATCATATAGTTGTCATATAGGTTGCAACCCAGGCTCATTCTGAAAACGTATTCCCGTGGATGTTTCTGGAGACTGCGAAATATGTCCCAGGTGGTACGTATGGCTGCATTTCATTTTTTGAAGCGAACGCTATGGGGCGGTATGACGCTGTTTCCTTTTGCGCTTACCAGCTGACTGCTTTCCTCTGTGTGAAGGGTTTTTCCGCTGCAACCAGTTTGTCCAGTCAGCTCATCGTGTACGTCGCCAAACTTAAGACGCAGAGAGGACTTGACCACGACGACCGGGTTTGAGTCAAGGGAAGAACGGTTATAGAAATCAGGTAAGACAAAAACAGAATCCAAAAAGTAAAGTGAAAGAGTTCATAACAGGGTGAGAACGTGGTGAAATTTAAAAATTTGGTAAAAAAAAAAAATCCCACGAGGGCTTTTATTTTTCTAGATGGCTTTTGTAAATTGTTGGTTGGGTTTAGGGAAGTAAGCGGGTGGGCAGGTCAATTGGTAAAATTGGTTGGGTTTAGGGAAGGAGGAGGGTGGGTCAGCCGATTGGCCAGTCGCACAAGTGAATCATTCAGTCAGACAGCGGCCTCTTGTAGGTTTACACAAGAACAGCGCAGGTTCAAACGACACCCACGAGAGACATTTGAGATACGAAAAAGCGCACACAGCAGCCTCTCGTGGATTGGCGAAAACAAAAACTGCAAAAATACTTACCTCCTAGGACGTATTTCGCTGTCTCTAGAAACGTCCACGGGACTACATTTTCAGAACGAGCCTGGGTTGATACTTTAGTAGAATTATTTCTTAGTTAGTGATAGGATAGCTAGGAGATATTGGATGCCAGAATTTTTTATGGGTTAAAAGGGGAGCATGACCAAAAAATATTTATGAACCACTGGGGTAGGGGGGTATATTATACAACATAAAAATAATTACATCTATAGAAAGTCCCCATAAAGGTAGCTGTACAAGAGTGTGTGCATTTCTTACTGATTTGACAGCGATCACCGAGACCCTGGAATTGAGCACAATCACAGCGTCCTTCGTCCTGGCACCAGCCACCATTAAGACACCCACAATATTCTACAACAAACACAAAAGACACATTTTAAAAGCATTAGTGATACTACTGAAACTGCAGGCCATGCACAGAAGATGTAGAGCCCCAGTGTTTTTGTACAGATTTTCTTTTGCTTTGGAATAGTACTGAACTGTACAAAGGTGTGTTTTTGTTGATGTGATCACAAGTAGAGAAAACTAGACACAGGTGTAAACGGGGACAGAAACGTTTCCAGCTATTGTCCGCTTCAGGAACTAGTTGAAAACACACTTGACTGGATTGCTTTTGTAATGTAGACACGGATGTGGTCGAATGCTTCTGAACAGCAACACAAAGAGCATCTACAGTACTCTCCATCTACTGACCTACTTCTTAAACATCGGTGGACATGTTGTTGAAGTGCTCTGGCCAGAGAGGATTTTCAGCCTAAAATCATAAAATTGGTTGAAGACGAACAAATCTGTGTTTCTCATAATGATGTCATGCGAGTTACTTATGAGAATGTCTCACTGCTTGTCATTTAATTTGTAGGGAAAAACTATTTAACAGTTTAATATGTCTATTATTTTTTCTGAGTAATTTAAGGTAAATTTAGCTGGTTAGAGAGCAGCCTGTTTGTGTGTTTAAAAAAACTTTTATTTGACCTGTTCAGATGGTTCAAAGATGATTCAAACCACAATTTTAAAGCTGATTTTCTTTCCTTTTTTTACTTAGAATATGTATGATTCGACATCTTAACTAGTTGCAAAAGCTGAATATTCATTCATAGCCTACTGATTAGTCAATTATCTACTTATGCATCAATTAATCAATCTTCAAAATAGTGCTTTACTTTTTACCTTTGGCAGAAATTACAGCCTCAATTTTTTTTTATTTGATGCTACAAGCTTGGCACACCTGTCTTTGGGAATTATTTCCCATTCCTCTTTGCAGTACCTCTCAAGCTCTATCAGGTTGGATGGGATGCGACGGTGTCCAGCCATTTTCAGATCTCACCAGAGATGTTCAATAGGATTTAGGTCTGGGCTCTGGCTGGGCCACTCAAGGACATTCACCGAGTTGTTGTGAAGCCACTCCATTGATATTTTAGCGGTGTGCTATGGGTCATTGTCCTGCTGGAAGATGAACCGTTGCCCCAGTCTGAGGTCAAGAGCACTCTGAAGCAGATTTTCATTCAGGATGTCTCTGTACATTGCTGCATTCATCTTTCCCTCTATCCTGAAATACTCTTCTTGTAAAAAACATCCCCACAGCATGATGCTGCCACCACCATGCTTCACTGTAGGAAATGGTATTAGCCTGCTGATAAGCGGTGCCTGGTTTTCTAAAAACGTAATGCCTGACATTCACTCCAAAGAGTTCAATTTTAGTCTCATCTGACCAGAGAATTTTGTTTCAGATGCCTTTTGGGAAATTCCAGGTGGGCTACGATGTGCCTTTTACTAAGGAGTGGCTTCCATCTGGCCACACTACCATACACTCTACCACCTGATTGGTGGATTGCTGTACAGATGGTTGTGCTTCTGTAAGGTTCTCCTCTCTCTACAGAAGAAAACTGGAGCTCAGACAGAGTGACCATTGGGTTATTGATGACCTCCCTGACTAAGGCCCTTCTCCCCTGATCACTCAGCTTAGATGGCCGGCCAGCCTTAGGAAGAGTCCCGGTGGTTCCAAATATCTTCCACTTATGGAAGATGGAGGCCACTGTGCTCATTGGAACTTTCAGAGCAGCAGAACTTTTTCTGTAACCTTCCCCAGACTTGTGCCTCGAGACAATCCTGTCTCGGAGGTCTACAGACAGTTCCTTTGTCTTCATGCTTGGTTTGTGCTTTGACATTCACTGTCAGCCCTGGAGATTTATATACACAATTGTATGCATTCTCAAATCAAGAACTCCAGTTAAGCTGCTGAAACATCTCAAAAATGATCAGTGGAAACAGAATGTACTTAAGCTTAATTTAGAGCTTCACGACAAAGGCTGTGAATACTGATGTACATGTGATTTTTCAGGTTTTTGATCTTTAATAAATTTGCAACAATTTCAAAGAATAATTTTTCACATTGTCATTATGGGGTATTGTGTGTAGAATTTTGAAGAAATAAATTAATTTAATCCATTTTAAAATAAGGCTGTAGCATAAAAAAATGTGAAAGCAGTATGGATATTTTCCGGACGCACTGTAATACAGTGTAAGAAAACATTTTGTAGTAAAAAGAAGCCTAACCAAACCTTTAATATACCTGTTGATTTTTATACATTTTCTGCCAACAAAATCAGTATGTTCCCTCTAACTAAAATTCTCATCAATAAAAACTTCCTAAAATTTTGTAGTTGCCACTTGAGTTACTGCAATATACTCAAAGGTAATTTTAGCTCAATCTGTAGGTTACGACTTTTACCACTACAAATAATCATTCATTCATTCATTCATTCATTCATTTTCCTTAGGCTCTTTATTTATCAGGGGTCAACACAGCAGAATGAACTGCCAAGTTATTTAGCATATGTTTTACACAGCAGATGCCCTTCCTGAAACCCAGTACTGGGAAACATCCATACACTCTCATTCACAATCATACACTAAGGCCAATTTAGTATATTCAATTCACCTATAGCGCATGTGTTTGGACAGTGGGGAAAACCGGAGCACCTGGAGGAAACCCAGGCCAACACGGGGAGAACATGCAAACTCTACACAGAAATGCCAACTGACCCAGCTAGGGCTCGAAGCAGCGACCTTCTTGCTGTGAGGTGACAGAGCTAACCACTGAGCCACCGTGTCACCCACTACAAATAACGAAACTTGATTTTTTAGTATTTAGAGATAATTTATTTATGTTAAACCAGTTTGCATATGCAATTATACTATCATTTGTGTTATTAATAAGCCAATTAAAATTTGGAAGAGAAAGAACTAAGGTTGTGTCATGGGCAAACATTACTTGAGAAGTGTATTCGAAACATTTGATAAATCATTTGTATAAATAAGAAATAGTAGTGGTCCAAGAATGGACCCCTGAGGAACCCCACAGAGTAGATTTGCTTTTATCAAAATAGCCACATTAATATCTTCACATTAATGTGCACAAACCTTAATGTATGAATATGATAACACTTTATTTTGATAGTCCATTTGAGTATTGGTAGACTGTCTGCTTAATATCTCTTGATTCTGCTCCTTCAACAGACATTTAACTGACTATAAGAAACTTTGCAAGTACATGTCAACTTACACTAACCCTAACCCCAACCTAACAGTCTACTTATAATCTAATGAGAATCAGTTGCAATGTAACTTAAATTCAACAAACGGACCATAAAAATAAAGTGTAACCATGAATTCTGTTTATACAATGAGGCTGACTGTAACATGATTTTTATATAGTAAGTTCATGTGTGTGAATAACTCTACATACAATAGTAAACAGTTAATCTGTGTGTGTTTACAATACCTGTTGATGCATCTCTTGCTGTATAATTATGAAGAACTCTTCGCGGCAGAGCTGAATCAGAGAGCACTGCACTAAGGGTCTGCAGAGAAAAAAAGAAATGCAGTATTAGTATAATAATATAAAGTATTTGGGTTTTTAATGACGTATAATCTCCACCAAACCAAACTCTACATTGCTTAGCCCGTGATCTGAATTATATAAATTTATTAATTTTCCTTCAGTTTAGTCTCTATTTAAGAGGTTACATAAGTTTATTATTTAATTTTTTTATATATAACATGTATATGAATATATAAAACGTATGTGTTCAAAATTATGCAAATGTTTAGATAATTTGTGTGCAGTATAATTTGCAAAGTGATATTTTCTATGTCTTGTAGAGCAGGGGTTCCCAACCTTTTTCACTTCGAAGCCCACCTTTTTCACCGAAAATTCTTTGAAGAACTGATTGTCTAGAAAATGCTTATTTTATAACTTTATTTATGAGCAAAATATTTATTTAGCTTTCTATAATTCCCTTATATTGTAAATAAAACATTGTGCATGTTTATATGTTAAAAAAATCTATTATATATATATTTTTTTTTTATATAATATAATATATATATATATATTTATTTATTTATTTATATATATATATATATATATATATATATATATATATATATATATATATATATATATATATATATATATATATATATATAAAATAAAATAATATGTATTTAAATTTTCTTAATTCTTTGTGGAGTTGTTGGCGTGGGTTTTCTCCAGGTGCTCTGGTTCCCCCCACAGTCCAAACACATGCGCTATAAGCTAAATTGGCTGTAGTGTATGTGTGTGTATGGGTGTTTCCCAGTACTGGATTGCACCTGTAAGGGCATCTGCTATGTAAAACATATGTTGGATAAGTTGGCGGTTCATTCTGCTGTGATGTGGACCCCTTTTAACTAAAGGGACTAAGCTGAAGGAAAATGAATAATTGAATGAATGAATATTAGTATATGTATAGTATAGAGACAACAATACCATGTCTAGCCACTAAGCCATGTTGGTGAACTTGACTTGGCGTTGCCTCACATGGTTTGGCCACTGTAGACGTTTGGGACAGGAGCTTTCAGTGGCTTTAGCATTTGTGTAAACGCCACAAAGACAGCTTTGTCAGCACTGAGTGTGTATCTCAGTATTTGTGAGTGCATGTGTGTGTGTGTGTGTGTGTGTGTGTGGTTACTCCAGTCTGTCCCTTGTCGCTTTCTCTTAGGTATACTCACCTCTTCACGGAAGAGATCCCGTTTCTGCCGCAGTGCATTAACCCTCCTTTTAAAAGTGGCACAAAGAGAGCAGTATTAAAAGTGCGGTGACTGTGAGACTAAAGGTTCAGAAACACTTAAGATGCCACGCAGACACAGTCGTGCTGATGGACAGCATGATTCTCACGGAACTGGTTTAATGGTTACACAGCAAAACATTAGACCAAACACTTAACATCTTATCAGCGGCTGCATATATAACTTGACACTGCCTCTCGACTCAAAATACCCTAGTAATAGCGGATGTTTTATAGGGTCCGGCAGTTTTTAAACGCATCACCAGAGCACCATCTCATTTTAACACTTTTAACCCTTTAACTGCCCCACCAAGAAATAAAATGTTGGATTGCATTTCTTGTTGCTAGTTATCACACTCAATGCATTTTTTAACACATCCCATCATTTCTAAAATATCAGCCTCTACCAAATGGTTGATATGTCAGTTTATGGTAAAAGTACCTGAACTAATATGTAAACACATATAAAAATCTGAAAATATGAGGTGTCAGACCAATTTATTTGAAAAATAATGAAAATAAAACATGTTTGAGTGCTAAATCGTCTTTAATTTTTGAAGGATGAAATGTTTCAGATGCTCATTGAACATGTTTTGTTTTACAATAAAAAAGACCCAAATCAAGTGTAGTAGTGCAACAGGATTATGTTTGTTTGATTATTTTGCAAGCCAAAAATCATGGGTGTGTTAACCCTTAACTTAAACCATTATTATTTAACAGTCATTACTTAAAATGACCAAATTATGGTCCACCATTTAGTAGAGCAGACAGTTAAAGGGTTAAAAACCTAATACCATTCTAAACAAACACCTAGCAAGCCATCATAGTGAGCGAAAAATATTGGAAAACACATACCTGGGGAATTTATTTTCTGAGTTTGACCCCTGGCAAATAAATCCTGTCAAAAGCAAAACTGCATCAGCAAAATGCATGCATGATTATGAAAGAGTCTAACCTATTTGTCATGAAGATGTTGTTTTATTATTATTTATATTACATAAAATTCAATTTGATCGCTTTAGTTTTATATTATAAGTACAGATGAGAATAAACGGTCTTTAATATTTACATAAATATATGTCACTCTGTCTGAATGAGGGTGAAACATTACTTCACCCATATTATTAAGTTATATTTTCATTAAAATCAATTGTAAACATTAAAACAGACTGATTCATTGAATTAATACCCTTCCTATGCATTTTATTTGATTTGTTTACTATTATAGATTTATATCATTATTATTATTGATATTTTTATTATATATTATTATAAGTTTTATAAGGCTTGATATACAGTGCTCATCATAAGTACAGCCCTTACAAAACTCTCTTTTAAATTATTTTTTAATAGGAAGCTATATAATATTATATTTGTGCATATACATTAGATTAGTCAGTACTGGAGCCAAATCTGAAGCTCATCTAACGAAATAACTTACGATAACCGTCCAAAAACTAGTACACCCAAATTTAAGTTACAGAAAAATATTAAATACAAATTTTACAAAAAGGAAAAATAAAGAGAAGCAAAAAAAAATGCAGTTGAAATGTTGTAGGTTGTAAATTATTTTGCAATATTTTGCTTGAATTTAATTGTATTATGTTTCAATTTCTAAATCTGTTCTGTGCCTGAAACATTATTTTAATAAATAAATCTGTTTAATTAATCTGTTTTGTTTCAATGCACCAAAATACATTGCCTTTATTCACAGCAAAATTAATAAAAATATTCATTTTCAAAATACGGTGTACTCAATTATGCTGAGAACTGTATATTTACACATAATTCACATTATTTACATATAAATTGAAGCAACTTTCCCATCAAAACAGCAATAAATCTTAAGCTAAAAACCTTAATTTATTTTTAAAAGTATTGAGTGTTTATACCAATTTTTGTTGAATGTCTTGTGGCTAAAACAATATTACTAATATTTTTTATAAAAGCAGGAATACAAAAATGTCATTTTAGAAAACGTTTTAGTTTAAAAGTAATGTTATAATTTAATAAAAGAGTTTTTAACCTTTAACCTTTACCTTTAAGAGATCAAATATACATTTAAGAAAATCTGAAGCATATATTAAAGTGACACTTACCTTGGAGCACAAATAGCCTGAAAAGGAAGAGTCCACAGACTGAAAACAGTTTAATGTCCCGCTGTTCGTTCATCTCAGAGCGGCGTCCTTCACTATCAAATGACGAGTTTCATTGTATCGATGGAAATTCTCTGTCAGAGGAAGTTTTACAGGATTAATCAAGGATGTAATGTATGAGGTACGTATAACGAACTAATGTGCGTTTTCCCAGAGAGGTGAAGGATAAACGTCCATCTTCTGTTCAGTCAGAGGAGGATGATGATGCACCTGCGCGCACCTGCGGCATCATGAGGACGGAGCGCACCTGCGCGCAGGCAAAAGCGCGCAAACACGACCTGATGAATGAAATGACACACTCTAGTCTACAGAGTAAGTGAAGCACATTAACAAAAACTGGACCATTGTAGATATTTCACAGTCCAGTAAATTAAATAAGAGCCTATTGATATGTTGGTCGTTTTTTCTTGTATCTCTTCCGAAACTAAACCGTCACATGTTTGAAAAACCAACCGTGGTATTGTGTTGGAATACGGAAGTGCGCTTGTTTTTGCGATTGTTTTTTAGGATTGTTGATAGATACGGTTGCGGCAGGTGCTGTCAACGAGAATTATTTATATTATTTATTAGATTTCCCATTAACTCTATTTTATTAACGTCTACCCCCTGCTGAAAAATGGTTGGCTGGTTTTAGCTGGTGGACCAGCCTGGTTTTAGAGGGGTTTTGACAACTTCCAGGCTGGTTTACGGCCATTTCCAGCCTGGTCTTAGCTGGTCAGGCTGGAAAGTGGCCAGCTAAAACCATTTAAAACCAGCTTGATCATCCTGGTTTAAGCTGGACATAGCTGGTTTTGGCTGGGCTCCCAGCTAGGCTGGTCAAGCTAATTTTAGCTGGTCATCTCCCAGCCTGTCCAGCTAAAAACCAGGCTAGAAATGACTGGAAACCAGCCTGGAAGTGGCCAAAACCCTACTAAAACCAGGCTGGTCGACCAGCAACCATCCTTGGCTGGTTTAAGCTGGATTTTTTAGCAGGGCCCATAGCCCAACCCCAAACCCAACAGTCATAGTTACGTAAAACAGTAGTAACCTAGGGTTATTTATTAAAACCTAATAAATTGTATTTTATTTACATCTAACCCTAAACCCAACCGCCACAATACTGTAAAATGATTAATTATTGTTATAAAGTGACACAAAATGATACTATATTAATCTTCGTATCTGCAGCTGGATCTTCTAGACTTTACGTCCCAATTCAGTTATGGCAAAAATTAATAATTAATGAAACGGTCAAACGTTCATGACTATACAGACAAAGTAGAATAATTCATTCATTCATTCATGTTCTTTTCGGCTTAGTCCCTTTATTAATCTGGGGTCACCACAGCAGAATGAACCGCCAACCTTTCCAGTATTTTTTTATGCAGCGGATCCCCTTCCAGCTGCAGCCCATCACTGGGAAACATTTATACACACTCATTCACACTTATACTCTATGGACAATTTAGCAAACCCAATTCACCTGTATTGAATCTTTGGACTGTGGGGGAAACCGGACGTTAGATTGACATTGTACTCTAACGCCATGGAGACGTTGCATTTTGTTTGGAAATGAAAATAGATTTGATGTCTGAACTCAACGTCAGACCAACATCAATGTCCAACGTTCAACCTAAAACCAACCAAATATCAATGTCTAACGTTACAGCTTGACTTTGTGTACTACAATGACATCTATCAGAAGTTGGATTTTGGTTGCCATACCTGATGAATAAATGCAACGCAATCTACCGGCAATTCATAACTTTTTGATTTAGTGGCTAATTCGTATGAATTTGTACGATCTAATTCAAACTATTTAGTGCGATATATTTTCGTACGACAGAACTCTGAATTCGGAGGAGTTAGCCACTAAACTGACAAAACGTAAAATACTTACGTGTCCTCGTGAGTTCAGGCTGACAAATGTCAGTATTTGACGTCAATATGACGTTAGTTTAAGATGTTGGCTCGACGTAGGATTTTGGTCACTTTCTAGCAACCTAACATCAACGTCATTATTGGACATTAAAATAATGTACTTAGATGCTGGCTAGACATTGAATTGTGGTCACCTGACATCTCAACCTAAATCCAGCCTAATATTAATGTCTTATGACGTTGTTTGCCTGCTGGGACTATGCACTACAGAATGTTACGTTTACAAACACATGCACGAATTACATGTAATCCCATTAGCTTTTAACAGCGTAATACTCACTACTCTTGAGTACTTTTGAAATGTCTACTTTTACTCATACTTTGAGTAATATTTACAACACTTTTACTCTACTTGCTCTACATTTTTAGGCAAGTAATGGTACTTTTACTTGAGCATGATTTTTCAGTACCCTTTCCCCTCCTGGACATGGCCCATATGTGTGGACTTTTGGAAATTAATATTTATGCAGTATCTAGGCTAACAGGTGATTAAATACGCTTCTATTGATGTATAATTTGTTAGAGTTAGACAATAGCTATATGAAAATCTGAAATTCGGGTTAAAACAAAATCTAAGTTTGTTTTACAAAGTTGCTCAAATTAAGTTTGCAATGCACATCCTACTACTACACACACACACACACACACACACACACACACACACCTATATATATATATATATATATATATATATATATATATATATATATATATATATATATATATATATATATATATATAGAGAGAGAGAGAGAGAGGGAGGGAGGGATGGATGGATGGATGGATGGATGGATGGATGGATGGATGGATGGATGGATGGATGGATGGATGGATGGATGGATGGATGGATGGATGGATGGATGGATGGATGGATGGATGGATGGATGGATGGATGGATGGATGGATAGATAGATAGATAGATAGATAGATAGATAGATAGATAGATAGATAGATAGATAGATAGATAGATAGATAGATAGATAGATAGATAGATAGATAGATAGATAGATAGATAGATAGATAGATAGATAGAACATAAAGTGACAAGTGACAACATTAAAATAATGTTTTCTCAAATTGACTGGCCATCTCAGCAAAATAATTATTGGATGTATGCCCATTTAGGCTTGTATGAAAAATATAGTCGACTATTTGTGAAAGTAGTACAAACTTTTAATAAGAATTTTTATTTTTAAGTATAACACTGATAATGAACGGTTACATTCTTTTGACAATCACAGCTTGTGTGCTTACTTTTTTAACTTGTGAAATTAACACATTTGTGAAAGTGACAACATTTATAGCACTATTGTAATTTGTTGCTACCTAAATTACCAACAATTATACATGTTAACAAATATCAGTAAATTAACAGTTATGAAAAACAATCTAAGCTAGCGATTTACTCTGCTGAGTGAAGCCTGCAGCTACTGCTCTTTTGAGTCACTTTTTGAAAATTGACAAATTGGTTGCTAGTTGCTTTAAAAAAATTAAAAAAAAAGTTGCTAGGGTAGTATGAAAAGTTGCTAAATCTAGCTGCAGAGCACTGCTTTAGCGCGCAACAGTACATTCCCACAATGACATCATCAAGGCGCGACTGTGTCCAATAATATACGCGTACGAAGAATAATGGCGATGTGCACAGTTTTACGATGTGTTTCTGTTAGTTTGACCTCTTCTCTGCCTCGTCTTTCAAACATAAATGCTCATGCTCCGGCTAGACTGTTGGCCAGGACATGCTACAGAAGATCTCTGAGCACAAACACTCCGTTCTGCGCAGGTATTTACACTTGTGAATGTTTACAGGCGCCACGAGTCAAAGTTTACGCTCACGTTCATTTTGACAAGTGATATTAAGTGTCTATAAATGCTAGATACACTGGAGTTTATATGGCTGTATGTTTATGTAGTATAACTTTAATTTGAAACTTTTTTATGTTATTCTTCAGCACTGAAGTTCACAGACAAACACGAGTGGGTTCGCGTGGACGGTGGTGTGGCGACTGTGGGGATCAGTAATTTTGCTCAGGTTAGGAGAATTATTCATGCTTAATTGTTATAGAAATGGCTTTATAGGTTGTATTGTCATGTGTTTATGTTGTATTGTTTCCAGGAGGCACTGGGAGATGTGGTCTACTGTGGGCTTCCTGAAATCGGCGCAAAGTTATCACAGACAGGTAAAACTGTAACGTTACTGTCTTTTTTGAGGTAAAGTTGGTTTTATATTCGCACATTTTTTCATTTTTTAACAGTGACAACTTGTGCCAAGCTTCCTATATTGTACTTTTAACATTCAGTCTGAAATGGCATGTAAATATGACTTAAATATGACAAGATTGGCACTATTTCATGGACCGTGAACAACTTTAAGTCGTTTGGCTTCTAATATGAGTTCACCATTTACAATTAGCAAAATTACTTTTCTGAAATTGTATTATTGAGAAGAAAGTCTTAATGTGTTAATCTAAAACCAACTTTACCTCAAACTGCTTTTATGTAAGCATATGAAAGACATTTAAGCTGGCTCAGAGAAAGATAGGAATCAACTGTGTTCAGTTCATTACCTTTTTGTCATGGGTAGGGCCAGACGGAATCTGCGAACGTTTTTTGCTATTTCTGATTTTTATTTTGGTAAAAATCTGCGGATTTCTGCAGAATTATTTTGGAGTATCATAACTAAAACCTTAATAATACATACAATTTAAAAATAATATATTTTTACCTTTTATTTAATGTTTAAAATGCAAATCCAATTAGATTCACTTTATTTGGTAAATAAAGCAAGTTTGTCATATAATATATCTAGTAAAAGACAGAAAATATTAATGTACACACTGCATTGCACATAAATCAGATGAACATTTTCACATTAGTCAATAATATTACTGAAATTAATAAAAAAAACTGAATAAATATAGATTTACACACATTTACTCAAGTAAATAAGCAGAATTAATGATTGTCTTAAAATCTGCGGAATTCTGCAAGCGCAGATTCCAGGTGGGCCTAGTCATGGGGATAAAGTCTTGAAGGGATATAGCTGCATCATTTTTGTGACACTCACAACACAACGTTAATTACTGTTTTTACATTACTGTGATGGTAGGCGTCAATGAATTTTGGTTTAATGTGTAATTTAATAAATAATATGAATAATAATCTATATAATTACTGTTTTTACATTATTGTGAGGGTTGGGTGGGCTTTAATAAAATACAACCCAATATATAATTAAATAAATAATAATCAACATAATTACTGCTTTAAATTACCGTGAGGGTTTGGGTAGGGGTACACGTTAATAAAATGCAAATAATGGGCAATGTAATAAATAAATATTTTTCTTAACTTGCAGCTGCACACCGTCTAGCCACAATATGAATTATATTATTTGAAGCCTAATCTTTCTTTTGTGGTCACAACAGTGCTTAATTTGTAAGTTGCGAGGTCCCGCAATTGATCAGGGTAACAGATCTGGCATGTTACCAGAGAAGGGAGAGGTGTCGCAGACGAAAGTGAAAAGTAAAAAGAGCGGTAAATCGGAAAGTAAAGAGCGATAAATCAATAAAATGAGGTGCAGGATCCGGCTTGTTCCTTCACAAATTAAGCCCTGGGTTATAATTATGGCCAGTGGCTGAGGAAAAAGCAAACATGACCACCGTTTGCTGCTACTGAGACAGAAAATTACACACTTATTTAAAAGCATACTTGTTTAAAAGCTACCTTACATCGTTTATTTTTGTTTTTTAGATATTAGAACATTAAAAAACTTTTATAAATAACGTCTTTGCAGGCTGCAAGTTAGCTTATTTTATTTTGTGAGTGTTGCTCAGTGTCTTTTTATTTAAAGATTTCTCAAAATATATGTATATAATATGTACTAACTATGATGCACAAAGTGTTTGGTTCGGGTTTCATGCCAAATCACATTTTTAAAATGTATAATTTAACTGGCAGACTGCAAAGGAGTGAAAAAAATGCTCAGCTCAAACTGTTTTACCCTGTTTACATCTGTACTTTGCATTTCCTATTGATAGGATTGAGCCAAATGCCATATCAGGTGTAAACAGATTGCAGTAAATTGATTTTATATTTGCACATTTGGACTTTCTCCTTAATTTCAGAAGAGTATTATTTGCAAATTCTAAATAGGGAAATCCAATGAGAAAGACAATGACTATCAAAGTACAACATTGTGTCATTTAATTAGTGCTAATGTTGTTTTGAAGTCATTTGTATGCGATTTCAGAGCGAATATTCTATGTAGCATGGCAAACAAGAACGCATTTAGCTTATCACAAGTTGTCACTGTTCAAAAATGTACGAATCTGCTAATGTAAAACCAGCTTTACCTCAATTGGGCTTTGGATATCCTTTTTCAGCTGTGATTTCAGGGCAGTGTAGTTATTTCTTGTAGTGGATTCAACAAATACTATGATGGTTACTATTTTGTTTGAGTATAAACCAATATGTTTTCTGTAGATGAGTTTGGTGCTCTGGAGAGTGTTAAAGCAGCGAGTGAGTTGTACTCACCTCTGACTGGAGAGGTGACAGATGTCAATGATGCCCTGGCTGACAACCCTGGACTGGTCAACAAGTCTTGCTATAATGATGGTGAGGCATTCCTCTAAATTTCTCACTCCGACAAGCCTGAAATCCTTTAAAAGGGATAGTTCATACAATTATGAGAAATGTAATTTACTTGTCCACCAAAATAGATTGCAAACCAGTTTTTTTAACACAAAAGAAGATATTTTAAATAATGTTTCAAGACGGTAACCATTGACTAAGATTTACTAGATGACTAAGGTTTCCAATATTGTTCAAAATATCTTCTTTTGAGTCCAACCATAAAAACTAATAACAATTTGAAGGCACTTGAGGTTTAGTACATTCCAATTTTTGGGTGAACTATCCTTTAGGTTAAAAATTATGAGCAGATTCAAGTTATAATTCTCTTAAAACGTAAGCTGCATGATACTAGGAAAAAATACATTGTGATTTTTAGTTTTTATGCAATATATATTGCAATAAGAATGCAATTTCACCAGATGATTTAATAGCTCTATTTTAAAAGAACTTATTTGTGTGTATCTGCATAGAATATAATAAACAAATTACAAGCATAGGTGAATACAACAGAGCAAAGTAAATAAATAAAAAAAAACAACACACTATTTTCTAGAGAGTCCAAAAGTAGTCAGACACATGAATTGAATAATCAAATGTAAAATAAATGTATAGTCTACATTGTGTAAATGCTTATATACAATTAATCTGAGCTATTAAAGTTAGAATTTCTGGTGCTTAAATTCACTGAGTGAAAACTTTTACTCTTAACGCTGTGTCCTAACTACACAATCCATGACACACCAAAACAACAGCATAAACAACGACAACGATGACCTCAGGTACTGATTATGTGCATTATTCAGTGTTAAATGCAACCAATATGAGTTTGAACACCATATTATGTGACATGTATTGCCATATTACTTGAAAAATGTATGTACCCTACCATTTTGTCAGGACTGCAGTGGCTGGTATTTAAATGTTTCACGCAGCGTTTGGTTGCTTGTCTGTGGAATTTTACAGCATATATTTAGGGGACACTGTTTAAGGTTAAACTAGAACCGTAATGTCTGGCCAACTGTAATCCCAATTAGACAGGTCCTGCAATGTAACTTTAGAAGGTTTGCACATTGCAATATAGATGCTGAAACGATATATTGTGTGGCCTTGCTCAAATAAGGGCTGCACAATATATCCCTTTAACATGGATGTCACAATGTGCAAATCTGGTCACATCACAAGATCTGCAATGTTGAGTCTGAATTATAGTTGGCCAGGAGTTACAAAACACATGTGGTTTGTAGAGTCAGTTTATATTTAACCATACAAAAGTGAATCATTTGATTTTTTTTTTTTACTTAAAATTTGTGTCTTGTTTGTAGTCCAAATATCTACATTTCAAAGCAAAAACAAGATTAATTTACTTACCCCGTTGGCAAATAATTTTGCTTGTTTTATAGAAAAGCTTTTAATTTTGATTTCTCTCTGAAGGTGAAAATAAAACAATATTTTTAATTGAACTCGATCAAAGCAATGTAGGGTTACGGTTGGGCGATGTCTAATGTGAAACATCGTAATGGACGATGACATTGTCATCATAGGCGAAGGTGAATTAATTATTTATGAATTAATTAATTTATAACAAATTAATTATTTGTAGTCTACTTTTTAACTACCTGTACTGCATGGTCTTTTTTTTACCCATAAACAAATAATAAATAAATAAAGATATAAGTTACACACAAATTAGCACCTGTCAATCACTTTTTTCCGCGGGACTGTGTCGTTATAATGGCGTCCACAAACTTGCACGGTAAAAAAGGTGCACAACCAACAGTATCTGAGGTTTTCACTAAACTTACTAAGTACTCAAAGTGAAAGATTTAAGCAGTAGACTGACGCTGTGACATGTTACCTGATAGATTCAAAAGACACGAGTTGTTAAGAGACTAGATTAATTAAATATCATGTTTAACAACTATAGTGAGACGCGGTACATCCTTGATAAACTGTCCGACATGCACTGCTTTCTGGAGCTTAGATGAGCGCACGACAGGGTGTGTTTGCGTGTGAGTGAGTGAGTGTGTTGTCACATGATGTGCGTTTTCAACGGACGCAGGGCTGGATGTGAATCATTTTCGTTCTATAATTCTATTTTAAAACTAAGACGAATTAGTGTAATCGGGCCTAAGTGTGTATTTTTCGCGAGCAGGTTTGCGACGGGCTCGTGGCGGAGGATCGGCGATGCCGGCTCAGCATCATGTTGTCTATCAGCCATCGGCAATGGACGATGACATCGTCTATCGGCCCAACCCTAGTAGGGTTGTCACGATACTGGAATTTTAAAAACATCCATTTCCCACTAACATCCGAGCACGTTCAGCGCTGTTTAAGAACTTGCTGGAGCGTTTCAAAGTCACGCCAATCAGCCAGTTTGTCTTTAAACTGACATACGAGCGATCCGCTAATGAATCCCGGCTTTAAAATGCTCTAGTGTTCCTGTATCTGTGGTTACACTCAGTAAATAGTGGTCAGTTTAGTGATCTGATGACCTACAAGGCCAATCACAGTCATTTTTTTGTTGAGTGCGTAAACACAATGGCAAATCAGTGCTCCAATGTTCGCAGGAAATGGACGTTTTTAAAATTTCAGTACCGATTGGTATCCAATTCTAGTATCATGACAACCGTAAAGCGAAGTAAGAAAAGCATTTTTTGTTTTGGGATTTTTCAATTTTTGTACCCGATTACTGTCAGACTCCCCAGAAAGCCATCAAATAGTGCCATTTAAACCATCTAGTGCAACTGTATTCATATCACAATATTTATTACAGAAAAACAAAATATCGAAATACCCAATTTTCCCAATATCGTGCAGCCCTAGCTAAAATCTGAAAAAAAAAAAATTGTCAGTGTTTATTTTTGTTCACAGGCTGGCTTATGAAGATGACCGTATCCATTCCTGAGGAACTGGATGGACTGATGGATGAAGCTGCGTATGAGAGATACATCAAATCTATAGAGGACTAGAGCGTGTGACGCATTCGGGAGAGGATTTAAAAACCAATCACTTAAGGAATGTTTATTTCTTCATCAAATACATTTTCGTTTGTAGCTGATTTAATTTAGATGTTCTTCTAAAATATAATTTCCCATCAACCCCACACACCCAGCCAACGCAGGGGACCACATTGGACACAACACTATGCACTTTGCTTGGGAAAACAGCAAGCAAACCTGGTTAAATCGAGCCAGTTACTGTAAGTTAATGTTTTATCAACAAATATTTGGAGATCAAGCACGTAACGGCTTCATCTCTTTTGTAGATGTTGCACTGTTCTTACGAAAGCTTGTTTTTGCTTGAAATACGCTGCAAATAAATGTGGAAGTAGAGTGTCCAGTTCGAGGACGGGTATGAAGTTATGTTGGTTTTGAAATGATTAACTTTAACACTATTAAACAAATACAGAAAACTATCTGCTGCTTTAAATTGTTTTATTCATTTAGAAATGTCTAATGTACAAAATATACACCCCAATGTATGTAAATAGATTAATATGCAAGACCAGTCATAAATGGCCCAAAGTGTACCAAGAAAATACCCCTTTAATTCCTGTTCTCAGCTGACAGGAGTGGCACCCGGTGTGGTCTTCTGCTGCTGTAACCCATCGGCTTCAAGGTTGGTCGTGTTATGTGTTCAGAGATGCTCTTCTGCAGACCTCGCTTGTAACGAGTGGTTATTTGAGTTACTGTTGCCTTCAATCAGCTGGAACCACTCTGGCCATTCTCCTCTGACTTAAAGGCATTTGAACTGCAGCAGATCGTCTTGACCATGTCTACATGCCTAAATGCTTTAGTATTCAGGTAGATATTGCACTTTGCATTTTTGGCCTGGCATATGTAATCCAGCATTTTCAAAAATCTAGAATGGTTTACTTTTGGGAACTAGAGTTAACTCATTTAGGCAGTCAACTGAGAGATTAAAAAAAATAGAACAAAGTCAAGTGTGATGTGTTTCAGCCTATAGTGAAATAAAACAAACAATGCTTGACGTCACCCAATCAAAGTGAATAGGGCGTAAAGCAGGGGTGCTCAACCCTATTACTAGAGATCTACCTTCCTACAGAGTTTAGCTCCAAACCTGATAAAACACACCTGAACCAATTAATTAGGACCTGCACAGCACTTAATAATTACAAACAGGTGTGTTTGATAAGGGTTGCAACTGAAATCTGCAGAAGGATAGATCTCCAGGAACAGGGTTGAGCACCCCTGGCGTAAAGGGATAAGTCATACAAACTGGAAATTGTGTCATCAAATTTGTTTACTTAAGTTTGTTCTAGAAAAGCAAGGTTTTGTTGTATTTGTGAGTATCCACAAAATCAAAAACAGTTACTATTTGGATTGATATCTTTCTCTTATGTTTATGACCAAAATGACAATATTTAAAGGTTGTCACTGCCATTAGAAATAAGATGAGAATTTAAACATACCTGTGTTTGTCAACATCACGTGTTGAATCTTTTATTTAGTGTGTATTGCATACTTTTACAGGTGTTAAACTCTGTTCCTAGAGGGCTGAAGCTTTGCAGTTTAGTTCCATCCCTAATTAAACACACCTGATCAAACTAATTGAGTCATTCAATCTAGTTTGCAACCTACAGATAAAGCTGCGGTCACTGAACGTTTCTTCTCATAGACCTTCACTCACTTCATTTGATGCGTATGCGTCAGACTGGAAACGTAAGTTTGTGTGACAAGTTTCGCAGTGAACTTTGCAATGCAGTAAAAGCTTGTTGAACTCTGACCTGTGAAATCGCATCTCTTGACTGTGTGAGACCAATCGAGGATCATAGCATGACCTCTCTGATCAGAAATTTAGAAGTTTAAAATATGGACCAATTGCTAGCTTTCTTCAATGTCTAATCATCTTGTTTAATACCGCCGCTTTTTGCACACAAAACCTAGTGTGACTGCAGCATTAGTGTGTTGGAGCAGAGTTGCAACTAAACTATGCAAGGCTGCAGCCCTCCAGGAAATTAGTTTGAACCCCTGCTTTAGTGTGACCGCAGCTTTAAACTCTGGATTATTCAGTTTGAGCTTGCGAAATTCTGTCGTACAGCTCTGCAAAAAGGGACAGGATTAAACAAGATGATTAGACATTTAAAAAGCGAGCGATTGCTCCATATCTAAATTTCTGTCCAGAGAGGTTATATTTTAATACTTGATTGGTCTCAAGCAATCAAGTGATGCGATTTCGCAGGTCAGAGTTCACCAAGCTTGAACTTTCCACCGCAGCAACCTCCGAAACTTGACGCATGGTCCTTCGTTTCCAGTCTGACGCATTTGCGTACGTATGAATGGAAGTCTATGGAAGGTAAAGCCCAGTGTGATCACAGCTTAAGTCAGGTGTCTAAACTCGGTCCTGGAGGGCCGGTGTCCTGCTGAGTTTAGCTCCAACTTGTTTCAACACACCTGCCAAGAAGTTTCTAGTATCTCTAGTAAAAGCTTTATCAGCTGGTTCAGGTGTGTTTGATTAGGGTTGGAGCTAAACTCTCCAGGACACCGGCCCTTCAGGACCGATTTGGACACCCCTGGCTTAAGTCAAATTGATTGCTCATCGGCACAAACGTTTCCTCACAATAACAGATGGGTGTGCAAGCAGAAAATCACTGATTCAAGACAATCGCAGTTTTTTCACAGCTCAGACAAGTTTCGAGGTGAGCTGATTAAGATTGCTGCACACCCGACTTCCAGAAATCCTGTATATTTTAACCACTCAGAAAACGACTGCTAAATTGTTACCAGAAAAGTGTGCCATGTGCATCAGACATTTAGCCGCAGATCTGTGGATGGTGCTTTGCGTAACGTCTGAGGCTAGGACTAAGTAAAGGATGACAGAAATCTCAGTTTTGGGTGAACTATCCCTCTAAATCAGGGGTCACCAATCTCGGTCCTGGAGGGCAGGTGTTCCTGCAGGGTTTAGCTCCAACTTGCCTCAACACACCTGCTTGGATGTTTCAAGTATACCTAGTAAGACCTTGATTAGCTTGTCCAGGTGTGTTTGATTAGGGTTGGAGTTAAAATCTGCAGGACACCAGCCCTCCGGGAACAAGTTTGTTGACCATTGCTCTAAATAGTCAGTGTATTATTTGCGTGGAACAGCAACACCTCCAGGCACTTTGCTGTACGGGTCTCTGGTTTGAGTTCTCCTGGCTCCTCCACGTGAGGCGGTGGGCCGAGGTAAACCCTCTAGAAGACAGCTGTCCCTCTCTAACCTCTCTCTACGCTGTGCGCTCTCACACATCACGCTGGCTGTGAAGTCTCGCTCATTTAGGAAGGCGACGGTTTCATCCCGTTTGCGACTGACGTAGCCCTTCAGCACAGCACTGTATGGGTTATCCTGCCTGTCTGGATCCTCCGACTGGTGTTTAAACTCCATTCGGGTGATGACCGGAAGAAGGAAGCCGTTTTTTTCATGCTTCACAATATCCTCCATACTGCCTAAAGCATCCTGCACCAATCTGGAAGGAACAGGTACCAGATCACAACCTGATCGCTGGTCTACAAACTGCCTGAAACGCCTGCGCACCGACGCAACATCCTGCAGAGACTGTGCACGTCGCTCCTCAAGGTCAATAACGATACGCTCGGGGTAGCTGTCACCGAAAACTACACCTGTGAACAGAAAGGGAGGACAGTTTTCAGTCAAAGCCAAACTGTTACTATATATATATATATATATATATATATATATAAATAATATAATATAATATATATATATATATATTTATATGTATAATATATATATATATATATATGTATATATATATATATATATATATATATATATATATATATATATATATATATATATATATATATATATATATATTATTTATATTTATTGATATATATATTATATTATTTATATTTATATATATTATATATATATATCATACCTAAAATGAACTAGTAAAATATTATTTATTATTGTCATCAAAAATTGGTCATTAAAACTATCATGTTTATCACCATCATGGCTGCTAATTTTTACTTCAACTGTATATCACAATGTAGTTATTTTTGCTGGAAATAAGGTTGATGACTACATCAATTTTACACAATTCTTTAATTCTTTCTCCCTCACTACCATTCGAATTAAACTGGACTATTGGAAATTAAATTAGACTGTGCTTATGTAAATATGCACCAAGACGGGCATGTATCTATTTGACTATTTAAATGCAATAAACAAAAAACAGGACAAAATTTTGTCCCCACATGCTGTAAGTCAGGCTTTTTGTTTAGTACTTGAATGAATGAATGAATAGTACAGACATGGATCGAAATAAATTGCCTTCATAAACAGGTTTATGTACTGTATGTAAACCATACATTATTTGTGCAAATTAAATTACTCATCAAAATCCAGATTATTATAAACAGACCTGCTCTACGCAGCATTGATGTTGGGCACTTCCAGGGCTTATGGATGAGGTCATCAGGAAGAGCCTTCAGTTCAGGACACCACTGACGCACAAAGGTGCCACAGGGGTCACAGGTCAGTGCTGCGTCAATCGGGTGCATGACGAAGTTCCAGTGATCCAGACCACACATTCCTCCATTCTGCCACATCATGGCATCTATGGCAACATCAGCATCGACCAGCGTGTCCTATACAGTGGAGAAATATTGTTAAGATGCTGCGTTTAATACTCCATTACAGGTCATGTCTAGACATATGCCGATATTCAAATTGCACAATGTTATTGAATTATTAGCCCCCCTGTATATATTTTTCCTCAATTTCAGCTTAAATGGAAATGAGATTTTTTTCAACACATTTCTAAACTTAATAGTTTTAATAACTTATTTTTTAATAACTAATTTAATTTATCTTCACTATGATGAGAGTAAATAATATTTGACTGGATATTTTTCAGGATACTAGTATTCAGCTTAAAAGTGACATTTAAAGGCTTAAATAAATAATTAGGCAAGTCATTGTATAATGATGGGCCAAAATAAAACATATAAGACTTTCTCTAGAAGAAAAAATATTATCAGACATACTGTAAACAATTCCTTGTTCTGTTATCTATAAAGCTTTAAATAATCTAGCTTCTGTTTATCTAACTAACGTTCTGTCTCGCTACAATCCAACCCACTCTTTAAGATCTCAAAACTCAGGGCTTCTGGTAGTACCTAAAATACCTAAAAAGTCGAGTAAAGGAGGTCGAGCCCTCTCACTTATGGCTCCCATACTCTGGAATAGCCTTCCTGATAATGTCCGAGGCTCAGACACACTCTCACAGTTCAAAACTAGATTAAAGACCCCCTGGCATACTCATGCCGAGGCCCTCAGACTACACAGCACCACTGATTTGATCCAAGACCAGCGACGAGATGATCCCAAGGTTTCCATATCCTTGACCAGGCCGTATCCTGAGCAGCTGCAGCGGTGGTCATGGAGGACTGGAGAGCATGACACTGATTCCTGCAATGCTCCAGGGACAGACGAGTCTTCGCTGACGCCCGCTTCCTGTCTCCGGCGCCATGACTGCAGCTCTGCACAGGACGTTTGGCCGGTGGAGAAATGGTCATGCCGATCTGAGCTTGGTTCTCTCGAGGTTTTTTGATTCTTCACTTTCGCCAATTGGTGAAGTTTTTTCCTTGCTGCTGTCGCCACTAGCTTGCATGGTTCGGGATCTGTAGAGCTGCGCATCGATGCATTTGCTCTTCAGTGTTTGGACTCTCAGTAGTGATTATTAAACCACACTAAACTATTATAACTTGAACTTAAGCCGTTAAAGCTGAACTCCACAGTTTCAATTTACTATGATCTTCTATGTAAAGCTACTTTGACACAATCTACATTGTAAAAGCGCTAGACAAATAAAGTTAAATTTAAATAAATTGAGGGCGAAGCAGTGGCGCAGTAATTAGTGCTGTCGCCTCACAGCAAGAAGGTCGCTGGGTCGAGCCTCGGCTCAGTTGGCTTTTCTGTGTGGAGTTTGCTTGTTCTCCCTGCATTCGCGTGGGTTTCCTCCGGGTGCTCTGGTTTCCCCCACAGTCCAAAGACATGCGGTATAGGTGAATTGGGTAGGCTAAATTTTCCAAAGAGTATGAGTGTGTGTGTGTGTGTGTGTGTGTGTGTGTGTGTGTGTGTGTGTGTGTGGATGTTTCCCAGAGATGGGTTGCGGCTGAAAGGGCATAAGCTGCGTAAAAACTTGCTGGATAAGTTGGCGGTTCATTCCACTGTGGCGACCCCAGATTAATAAAGGGACTAAGCCGACAAGAAAATGAATGAATGAATTGAACTGAATTTTCAAACACCATTTGCGAAATATTTAAACAATAAAAATTCACAGGACGGCTAATCATTTAATAAACGATAATTTAATAAACTGTATAGTGACAATGAATATTCATGATATTGTGAGCACTTCAAAAATACTATGAATAATTCTTTCAACTTTTGAGTTGTCTTTCAAGAATATTCCGATTATTGAGTTCAAAATTGATCAAAGTTATTATAGTTTTGTGCTTAAGTTCTTACTTTGATATGATTTTACATTTGATGTACATTTTGATTCAATATTAGGTGGTTTTATTAATGGGTTTTGTTAGTTTTAGTTTAGATTTCTATTTTGTGAACACAATTCTATTTAGGGCTCAGTGGTTAGCACTGTCGCTTCACAGCAAGAAGGTCGCTGGTTCAAGTCCCGACTGGGTCAGTTGACATTCCTGTGTAGAGTTTGCATGTTCTCCCCATGTTGGCGTGGGTTTCGTCCGGGTGCTCCAGATTTCCCTACAGTCTAAAGACATGCGCTATAGGTGAATTAAATAAACTAAATTGGGAGTAGTGTGTGAGTGTGTATGTGAATGAGTGTATGGGTGTTTCCCAGTACTGGGTTGCGGCTGGAAGGGCATCTGCTATATGTGAAACATATGCTGGATAAGTTGGTGGTTCATTCCGCTGTGGCGACCCCAGATGAATAAAGGGACTTAGCCGAAAGAAAATGAATGAATGAATTTCTTTTTAGTTTTTAATTACTTAATTTCAGTTTTAGTAATTCTAGTTTACAGGTAGCAGAATTCTAGTTTCTACTTCATAAAATGATCATCGTTTAAAACATTTTATTACTCTTTATATGCAATGAAGAAATACTTATTTTTTTAATCAACCTTATAAAAGGAACCTTATTTGCAACTTGCGTCAATATTGTGATCATGCCATTAATTCAATCCTTATCCTTTAGCATATTTATCAGGGGTCACCACAGCGGAATGAACCATCAAGTATTCCAGCATATGTTTTACGCAGCAGATGCCCTTCCAGCTGCAACCCAGTGCTGGGAAACACCCATACACACTTTCATTCTCACACACACTCATACACTATGGCCAATTTAGTTTATTCAATTCACTTATAGAGCATGTCTTTGGACGGTGGGAGATTTTCTATACAGAAATGCCAACTGGTCCAGCTGGGACTCAAACCAACAACCTTGCTGTGAGGCAACAGGGCACCATTGAGCCACCGTGCCTCCTGATTGTGACATATATTGTGTTGAAAAAATTCAACAATAATCCAAAAACTTTCCAGGGTGTTGCTAAACAGTTTCTAGGACATTATAGCTAAATATAAATGCGCTTTATTTATTGTGAATAAAATATTGACAAACTATGCAGGGTAGGTAACAAAAAGTATCTAGGCATTAAAAATTAGTGATGAAATTCATATTTCTGATTCTACCTTTCATAGCTGATGCCTGTACGGTCAACATTGGAAATATGAAATGCTATTTACTGTCTATTTACAGTGTTTTCATTATGACTGCAAGCTTTATAGCCATTAAATATTGCCTAGATAATTTTCACCCACATAATGCTGTGTTGTCATCACTAAATCAAAGCCATCATAAGAAATAGGATTTGATGTCTACTGAATGTCACCTGAAACCAGCGGTATCCTTCCTGCCATGGAAAATGCAGATAAGCAATGAGGAAGGAGGCCACAACATGCCTCATGTAGTTGTTCATCCATCCGGTCTGCCACAGCTGTCTCATTGCTGCATCTACAAGCGGATATCCTGTGCGTCCACGCTGCCATGCTTTCAGATGGGCATGGTCTGAGCTCCAGCGCAGAGCCTGCACATGGGTAGACTTTTAAGTATACAAATGTGACATTTCATTGATAGGGATAGTTCCCAACCTTTATGAGTTTTTCAAACACAAAAGAAAATATTTTGAAAAATGTTCCAGTGTAACCACTGACTTCCAATGTATTTGCTTTCCTACTATGGCTGTCGAAGGTAGCAAGTTTTTAGCATTCTTCAAAATATCTTCTTTTGTGTTTGACAGAGGAAAGAAAGTCATAAAATTCTTCCGGTCAGGAGGAGCATTTTTGCCGGATTTAATTCAGACAGAAAGTACAGAACAGAAAGTGTAGAATCATTTTTGAATGAACATGAAAATGGTTTCACATTTTTAAAAAAAACATAGATAAACACAAAGTCCTATGATAGCTTTGTAGATTATTAGCGATATCAGTGCACAGGCCCGATTGGCTAATCCGGAGGACCGGGAGAATTCTTATTGGGCCGGTCAGTTGTTTGGCCGTGAGGGCCGGTGTCCCTAGCTGCTTGCACTCTCAGCAGTCGCACTTTTTTCATTTATTTATTTATTTGACCATAGCTTCACTCTTTTTATTCATTATTTTGCTAAAGCTCTACTCTTTTTATTTATTTTCTCGCAGCCCCGTAAGCAAAATGCAGCCTGCAAGTTAATAATGAAGTAACTATCTTTCGACCCCAAACAGCGGCACCTTAGTGAATATAAGTTCAAATAATTAATATTAATGAATATTATTCCTGCTCACTAAAAATAAGATGATTCACTACATTAATAAATCTGACATAACTTGATCAGAAATCTAAAAAGGGGAGAAAAAGGTTAAGCCATCAGTAGAAAGTAATACTGTGGTTAAGAGTATTGCAGATAGTAGTGCAATACTTATTTTTTATTTCAAACCTCACCTGAGTAATTATTATTATTTATTTATTTTTTATTGTTAAGATATATAATACTGTTAGGGTTGTTGAATATTTGAAGTTCTAAAGCAGCTGTTTTCTTGAGACAGATGTAATCGTGTCATTAGAAACTGAATTGTAAATGACGTTATTTAAATATAGTCAGTCATGAACTGAGGTGGACCGGTCTAATGCTTGAAACTCCAGGGCTGAAAAGGAGTCCCACTTTGGCTCTGTCAGTGCATTAACCTTTGAGGAGTCAGTCAATGCTGGGAAACACAGTGATGTGTTTAAGATCTTTATGTGCAATAATACACAGCAATCAAAAAGAAGCAATTTTATACACAGCATACGCCTTTAAGTATACACAGAAGTATTTTATAATTACAGTAATTTATTACAATATTGTAGTAATATTTTTGAGTCGTTAATTTTAAATGATCTATTTTTTATGCATCTACTCTTTTGGATTCTCATGTTTAATTGTTTTGTATATTCAATGTAAAAAAAACTCTGTCTCTCATACATCTGTGAGTAAATGTACACATTTACAAAAGCATGTTCAGTGCTCTCTGCCTAGTCACATTCGTTCATTCATTCATTTTCTTTTTGGCCCCTTTATTAATTCGGGTTTACCACAGTGGAATGAACCACCAACTTTTCCAGCATATGTTTTACTCAGCGGATGCCCTTCCAGCCGCAACCCAGTACTGGGAAACATCCATACACACTCATTTACACACATACACTACGGCCAATTTAGCATACCCAATTCACCTGTACCACATGTCTTTGAACTGTGAGGGAAACCAGAGCACCTGAAGAAAACCCACGTAAACATGGGTAGAACATGCAAACTCCACACAGAAATGCCAACTGACCCAGCCAGGATGCTTTCTGCATTTGTACTGTAAATTCTGTACAGCTATTTTTACAATATTAGATTGAACTATAAGAAAAAGCATATCCATTTACTTGGAAAGGGGTTGCATGTGAGCAAATGATGAATTAAAACACTAGCTGTAAATGGTCATGTGTCTTGCTTGTCTACTTTTGATCTGATTGGCTGAAATAAAAATATATATATATATTAAAAATATTGTAAAAAAAGCTAAGGTTAATATTATTAGCCCCTTTAATTTTTTTATGATACAAAAAAAAAATCACTATTGTCCAATAACTTGTCTAATTAACCTTACTTGCCTAGAATAACCTAATAAACTATTATGTTTTAAAAGATTCCTCTGTTAAACAGCACTTGGGAATTATTGAAAAACAAAATGCACGAGTGCTAATAACTTTCTCCTGATCTATATATTAGCACATTCAATACATGGGAATAATAAATGTGAATCTTGCCTTGTACGGTGGCCTGAGGGACTCCCAGGGCAGGTCTGGGAAAAGGCTGATCTGCCAGTACGCCAGATCTCTCCAGGCCAGTTTGCGCTGGAATTTGGGAGATTTGCAGCGAGCTCCACGAGCAGCCCATAAGACCTGGCGTGCACTCAGCTGACCGAAGTGCAGATATGGAGATAGACAGCTGGTGTTGGGGGCATCCGCACGGCATGACTCCTTTTCATAACGGTACACGCCTACAGTGAAGTAAATAATGACTTCAAAATGACAGATGAGCTAATAATGCTACATACAAATCACCATCAATTACCATCTCGTAGGAAGGCTTCAAGATGTGTGTGAGCTCCTTCTTCACTGAAGTCCCATGTTTTTCGAATGTCCACAGCCCAGTCAATCTGTAAGCATCACATGCAAACAGCAATTACATCATTTAAAATGTCAATACAGTATTTATGCATTGCTTTGTGCTACATTTACATTGTTTTTCTATGCAAGCTTGATCCTCGAAATCATGATCAGCAATGCTACGATTGGCTGACGGCACAGCAGCGTACTGACATCATCTGATTAATATTCAATTATCCATGAGAGCAAAATTACATAAAATTCATAAGAAGCGGTTTGTTAAATATGATACGCAATAACTTTTAAACTTTTAAGCTTTAAGCTTTTTTAACTTTTATATATATATATATACACACACACACAGTTAAAAATATATTTTCTATTTTCCCAAGTGTATATTACTACTGTAAGAAAATATCAGCACTTGGTACACACTTTCAGTATTATCTTTGCTTAAACTGACCCAATCTAATCCTGTTTATATGAAATGAGCCAGCTCCCTAGCAGGTTTGAGCTACCAGAACTCTTGCTATGACAACAACTCTCGGATCAGTTTTGAAGAACGAAACAATCCTGGATTGTGTCAAATTGTCAGTAAACCCTGCATGTCCAAAGTTCAAACCTGGTTAGCTCAGACCTGCACAACTGAATCACATGATTACCTGAGATGACTAAAAGATCAAAATGAGACCTCTCCGTACAGAAATTGATAATGTAGCATCCACTCGCTTAAGGTCTAATCATTTTGATTTATCCTGCCCCTTTTCCCATAGCTCTACAACAGAATTTTCATGCTCAAACTTTAATTAAAGACAATGGATATACACGAGACATATCACTCAAATAGTTTTGAATGGGGAAAAATGTAACAATCAATATGGCAAATGAATCGTCCATCGATAAAGACTGATGATTCACCGGGGGAGGGACTCGGACCAGACGTGAGTTTCTACACATTTTGTGTGATCTGAACGTTTAGAAATGAAACTAAAGAGACGGTTGTTGTTTAGTTTTATTTATGATTCCTAATATGAAATTTAATTTTAAGCTTGGCAAACAATTTGAAGAATTTGATGTTTACCCTTTCAAACAGAATGCCCAAGAGGAGTTTCAAAGACAGTCGGCGAGTGAAATGACAGAATGAGTTATTTTACCACTGTGCCATCTTTTCTGCGTGGCATGCGTGCCAGTCCCAGATCAGCAAGCGGGCATCCCTGTGGCCATGCTGAGGGAGAGGGCAGGGTAGTGGGGGCATCCAGTGGAGACCCCAGTCCACCAGCAGGGTTCTGCTGACAACAGCTCATGAAGTGAGACACGGAGCCGATACCTGCAAGTACACATAGAAACATTAAAAATAAATTGCTTTATAACTGCTAAAGTATTCTTAGTGGCTTTTTCATGTGCTTTGGCGGATGTTTAATTGAAGCCGAATGTTTAATGCACCAAATGAGTTTATACGATTTTTTTACCACTTTTATCATGTCAAGCAAAAATCTTGATCAAATGTCTTAATTTGCTTAAAAAACAGCAAACCTCGCAACATGATTCATAGCAAGACACACAGATAAAATATGCACATACTGAAAATGTATGTGTAGCCAGAGGAATGTATGGCTGCATTTCATCTTTAAAACAAACGCAAACTATGAGGCGGGATGATGCCATTTCTTTTTGCGCTTACCAGCTGTATTGTACTGTATTATGAATAACTCTGTATTAGCGCTTTTTCACTGTTGTCAGTTTGTCTGTGGCCTTGCAGAGCGGAGTTGATTGTGATAACGGGGTTCGAGTTTGATGAAGAACGGTTCCAGAAAGGAGGTAAAACTAAAACAAGCCAAAAAATAAAATAAACAAGTATATAACAGGGAGAGAATGTGGTAAAATCTGAAAAGCGTGGTAAATATCAGGCTGCTACGAGGGCTTTTCTTTTTCTGGATTGCTTTTGAAAACACTGTCGGTTGGGTTTAGGAGAGTGGGTGGGCACTGGTCAATCGGTGCTTTTGAAAACACTATTGATTGGGTTTAGGAAAGGAGAAGGGTGGGTCAGTTAATCAGTCAGTCAGTCGACAGCGGCCTCTGGCGGATTAATGCAAGAACAGCAGGTGCAAATGGGAATTGTGAGAGAATTGAGATCTCAAAAAGCGTACACAGCCTTCGGTGGATTAGCGAAAAAAAAAAACTGCAAAAAAACTTTTTTTTTTTTTTTGCTGAACATACGGCAAACTATCTATGCGATTGATTTTTTAGAAAAAGATTTTTTCACCTTCTGACATAAATATATAAATAAATAAATACATAAATAAATAAATAACTTTACAGCTTTAACCAATATTTTTTTGATTTTGGTAGCAATTCAGTAGGAAATATATGCAAATCTGCGGTGGATGGATGGATGGATGGATGGAAAGTGATAGGATAGACAGACAGACCGAAAGTGATAATATAGACCGAGAGAGATTATATAGATATACAGAAAGATAGACCAATCGAGATCGATAATATAGATAGACAGATAGACAGACTAAATGTGATAATACAGACAGACATGTGCATATTTCATTTTTAAAAAATGTGGTAAAATCTGAAAAACGTGGTAAATATCAGGCTGCTACGAGGGCTTTTCTTTTTCTGGATTGCTTTTGAAAACACTGTCGGTTGGGTTTAGGAGAGTGGGTGGTCACAGATCAATCAGTGCTTTTGAAAACACTATTGGTTGGGTTTAGGAAAGGAGGAGGGTGGGTCAGTTAATCAGTCAGTCGACAGCGGCCTCTGGTGGATTTTTGCAAGAACAGCAGGTGCAAATGGGACTTGCGAGAGAATTTTGAGATCTCAAAAAGCGTACACAGCCTTCGGTGGATTAGCGAAAACAAAAACTGCAAAAAAAGGTACCTCCTGGGATGACTAATATTAACATAGATTAATAAAACTGTAAAAATTCATTGCTCAATGGTAGTTTGTTTTAACTAATGTGAAATAAAAGCATTATTCTAAAGTGTTTCCACATTTACAGGCCTTTTTTCCTCAAACTGAACATTTTTTTTTTCTCATAACCATAATTCTCCAATAACATATACTGAACATACGGCAAACTATCTATGCGATTAATTTTTTTAGAAAAAGATTTTTTCATATATCAACTTTCAGACATAAATAAAAATATAAATAAATTAATAAATAAAAAAATAAAAAAATAAATAAATATATTTATTTATTTATTTATTTATTTATTAATAAATGAATGAATGAATGAATTAAATAAATAAATAAATAAATAAATAAATAAATACATTTATCTATTTATTTATTTATTTATTTCATAAATAAATAAATAAATAAATAAATTAATTAATTAATTAATTAATTAATTAATTAATTAATTAATTAATTATTACTTTACAGGTTTAACCAATACTTTCTTGATTTTGGTAGCAATTCAAAAGGAAATATATGCAAATAATATAGACCGAAAGTGATTATATAGATAGACAGACAGATCGACCGATCGAAAGTGATAATATAGATAGACAGATAGACAGACTAAATGTAATAATACAGACAGACATGTGCATATTTCATTTTTAAAAAATTATTCAGATATTTAAACACAACATTTAAAAAATCCTGTGATATTAAGCAAAGTTTTTCCTCATTATGATTAATCAGCTGTAAAAACTCTGGTGGCCGCATATATAATACATCTCAAAAACAAAAAAGGAACAAATAATTTAAACAATGAAAAAGAAAAAAAAATCCCAAAAATTCCACTATATCACCACTTACTCACCTCGTAGTCCAACGCCTCTTGTGCTGACCGTGTAGGGATCTCTAAGGCAATACGAGTGGTATATATGGCACGTAACGCCTCGTTTCTCCAATGTTTCCCACAATGCATCATCTCTCTCCTTCAGCCAGGGCTCATACAGTGCCGTTGCTACAACTGAAGCTGCTCCCGTTTCATCCATTAACCCTTGCAGCGCAGTCAAAGATGAGGGCTCTGCCTTCAGGGTCACCAAATGACTTCCACGCTCCTCCAGAGAGCGCTTCAGACTCACTAGTGCCTGATGCAGCCAGTATTTAGAAGCCCCACCAGTTGACATAGTAACCCCAGGACCCTCCTCCTCCATTGCATTCCATAGAAAGACCGGTATGACAGGTGCACCGAGCTCCAGGCAGCCAATCAGAGCAGGGTTGTCCCACATGCGGAGATCCCTTCTGAACCACAGCACAACCGGTCGTGGTCCTGATGGGTTCTTCAGCAAATGCTGCTTCTTACGCAGACGACGCTTTTGTGATTTTGTGATCTTGTCTCCATTTATGTGCTTTATTGCATTTCTGGTTTTATGTACTTCAGTATCAAGTGTACATTTCGCAGTAGGCTGGTTCTCTGGTACCACAGATCCATCAGCACCAGAGCTTTCTGTACGTACGTCAGCGTAGGTTTTGTAAGACCGAGGAACATGATGCTGATGATCAGAATTGTGCAGTTTGTCTTCTGGGTCAATTTGTTTGGTTTCATATAGAGAGAGCGTTAAAGCCAGCTCCAATTCCTCTGATTCATCCTGGAAAAACAACATTTAGCATTAGCTTATACAGACATACAGTTGAAGATTTCTGTTTAACGGTAGGAAGATTTTTCTCAACATAATAGTTTTAATAACTGATTTCTTTTATCTTTGCCAGGATGACAGCACATAATATTTTACTAGATATTTTTCAAGATACTAGTATTTAGCTTAAAGTCACATTTAAAGCCTTAACTGGGTTAATTAGGCAAGTTAGGGTAAGGCATTATTTGTATATTCCACTAATTGTAAAGCGATGGTTTGTTCTGTAGACAATTAAAAGAAAATATTGCTTAAGAGGGCTAATAATATTGACCTTAAAATGTAAAAAAAAAAAAAAAAAAAAAGCTTTTATTCTATCCAAAATGAAACAAATAAGACTTTCTTTAGGAGAGAAAATATTATAGGAAATACTGTGAATAATGTCTTGCTCTGTTAAACATCATTTGTTAAATATTTGAAAAGGAAAAAGAAATTCACAGGAGGTGATAATTTTGACTTTAACTGTATGTCAAACTACTGATCTTACCTTTGACAAATTTTATTAATACACTCTTGTCCAAGCTTTTAATTATTTTTAATCACTTTTTAAAAAATTAATAAGTTATTAAAATGTTTAAAAACAATTTTCTTTTATCGGGTGAAGAACCATATGCTGTAACTTCATTGACATTGATTACTATACCATTTAAGTCATGTAATAACCCACAATAACATTCTAGGGTTTTTCTAGTGAGCATCCTTTAAAGCAGGGAGTGTCCAAACACAGTCCTGGAGGGCCAGTGGTAAAGTCTAAGTTGGATATGCGGCTGGCCGGAAGTGTGATATGCACAATAATAAAGCAGCATTTTTTATTACACTGTATAACAATAATTAATATTTTTACAGTACTGTGATGGTTGGGTTAAGGGTTGGGGTGGGAGTAGGCGTTAAAAAAAAACTATTTATTGGGTAATTTTATAGATAGCATAAATAATACTCGGTACAACTACTGTTTTAACAGTGCTGGGATGGTTAGGGTGGGGGTAGTAGACATTGACAAAATACAATAAATGGGAAATTTAATAAATAATATAAATAATTCTTGTTAACTTCCGGCCAAAAACATATCCGATCTAGCAACAACCAGGGCCAGTATCCTGCTGAGTTTAGTTCCAACTTGCTTCAACACATCTGCCAGGAAGTTTCTAGTATATCTAGTAAGAGCTTGATTAGCTGATTCAGGTGTGTTAGATTAGGGTTGTAGCTAAACTCGCCAGGACATCAGCCCTCCAGGACCATATTTTGACACCCCTGCTTAAAAGGGTTAAACTATTTTCTTCTCACGAAGACAACAATTATTTGATTAAAAATATAATAACCAAATATTACTACTTTTTGAGTATAATTTTAAAATGGATTTTATTCCTAAAATGCAAAGCTTTATTGTCGGCATCATTTACTGTAGTCTTCAGTGTCCCATGACCCTTCTGAAATTATTTTAGTTT